CGATAAAGATGGTCTGATTAAGGGGGAGTTTATGCATGACGTGGCAGCATTTTATTGGTTGGGGTGGGGAAACTTTTTGTCTGACACATTCTCATACTTAGAGAAAAATTTATCTCTTTCTTTCACGTAAATTTTGTCTCGACTCTTCAAACTTTCTCTTTCTTTCGCATCTCCTTCTTTCAATTTCAATATTTTGTATTTTTTTATTTTCATGTAAATGAATAAAATTGTTTTCATACAAAATTATATATTTACAATTATATATAAAATTAATTATTATGAAAAATCGAATTATTTTTTTTTTATTATTACTATGAACTCCATAAAAGTTCACCATTGTATGTGTGATATTATGAAAGGTTCTAATTTTTATGGGAAGAAAAATTTTATTATTATTATATAAAATTAGAACCCATATGTGGTTCACCGTGCTCTTAGATTGAATGCCAAGTTACGCACGTCTTTCACAAAATTTAAACAAAATCTAGTGAGAGTCAAATGTAGGGAACGAAAAGAAACGTGTGGGTTGGGTTTGTTTTATCAAATTTGATTTCCATATTATATAGTTCTTTTTTATTTGGATGATCTTTTGTATGAGAAAAAGGGGAAGAAATGATCTTATATACTGTATATGAAATCGTCGTTTACAAAGTTCAAATTATTCTCCATAATGCTGGTCATGAATGATGAATTACGCAGAAGCAGAGTCTCTGCTGTGAACTTGATCATATCATTCTACAGATTCTTACTAGAACGGTCCATCAAGCCAACTTAAAAAAACTTCATAAATCGCAATGGATTACGATCTAAAATAAATCGCAGAAATTGAAGTCGTGGTCGTCGCGGTAACATTTGCTAATCCCAACACGGAAACACTAGCTGTAATCCTTGTAAAAATACTCCATCGTTACCGTTTCTTCTCTTCTAGGAGTATATGTTTTTCTAAATGTATGCACCATCTCTACTTTACTCTACTTGTTTGAGTTTCAAGTAGTCATCACTTTATACTGTTTGCAGTCATAGCTTCTAAAATGTTCTTTTTTAAAAAAAAAATTGAAACCCTTTCTGAAAAAAGAAGAAGAGAATACATTATCTGCTTAAAAACTTATATAGCTTCGTGCACGCCTCTTTGTTATTATCGTATAAAATGGGTTAGCCTCAAGAGGGACAAAATTACGTAATTTTTTTTTTATTCTTTGTTCCCTTGATCTAGTCGCCTTTGACTCTGAAAGTCTGAAGCGATACAACTTTTTGGTTGACCACCAATCTCTATTTCAGACTACTGGGCCGGATGTGCCAAATCTATTTCTGATCACTTGATTCTATATGGGATTTTATGATACTTTTTGAGTGGGCTTTTTGAATGAATATAGTAGATGCGCTACTCTTGCTTTTATTACGTCTATTTGTAAATTTTTAGCAAGAAAAGATAACCAACTAAGATGAAAATTTAGTCTTGACTAAACTTTACTTGAAACTGATTAATATCTCCATTCATTTAGCTTTATTTGTTTTTCTTAAGAGTGTTATTAATTTTGGTATATTTTTAGTAAATCTGTATACATAATATGAGGCATACCATTTTCTATATAAATACCCTAGAATCTAGATCAGATCTTCAAGCCAATTATATCAAATGACAATACATTCAAATCAATGACTATAAGGGTGAAACATATTTGTGTGTGAATAGTGTTTCGACAAGGAGTAATACTTGGATCAGGTTCACATAGATCAATACAATTTGGATGTTACATAGGCGCTATACAGCTTGGGTTTGAATAGGGCTTTATGTGCCGAAAAAAATACTTTATTAGTCCATGCAAAATAAAACAGAAGAAGTAAATATATACAATAGTATGTATCTGTTAAAAAAAGACGCCTAAAAAATGGAATGATGGAAAAAAGAAGGAAATCTTTGGATAAAACACCGAAGGTGTTCGTCCTAGCCGCATGTTCTCCGCCTCTTCTCTTCCTGAAAACCACCCTTCTCCTTTGTGGAGAATGTATTTAGAAGCCGGCGGTAGTGTCAAAGAAGAGATTCTCAACGCATCTGAGAAGGCAAGACTCTGTGAGAGATGTTCCTCAGCCAAATTTCAGCATCAATGGCATCAAAAACTAAAATATTTGTTCGGTCACCTTTAACTAACGGAAGAATTATTAATAATCTCGACACTCAAGCAAGTTCGAGAGTTGAAGATCGATATCTGATACTAGTCTTAGACTCCCAATAATTGCGTAAATCGATCACTTCCGAAACGCAGTTGATGGAGTTTCGAGATATTTTTAAGAATATCATCAATCTATTATGCGTTTAATGTATTTTAATTTTTGTTATGTAACAACTGAGAACTTTTCGATCTTAACATTAAAAATAATAATAATAATAATTAATAATAATAATAATAATAATAATAAAGTGTTAGAATCTCGAATACAGATTACCATATTAATTAAACATTCAATATCTAGTTCCATAAAGTGGAAATATTAAAGCTCAAAGCGTATAGCTAATGACACAATTCTAATCACATCAAAATGATGAAATTTAAATTCAAAAAGGCAAAAAGAAATCGAAGATTCCAAGCACCTTTTATATATTGATTAGTATCTTTTCACATTTGAACCACGAATATTAGAGTGTTATGGTTCATGGGATATATATATATATATATATATTTTTTTTTTTTTTCGACATGGATGATAGACCTCGTTGGCACGAGCTTGCACTATCCCATCGCACCTAGTTACCTACCGTTAATCATCTCCTTGATTTTTCTTTTTAAAAAGAATATTATATATTGTCTCCACCAATTTTGCTTTTTAATCGATATATTTATTATCTACCCCTCTTTGTTGAAAATTGTTAGTCCAATAATAATATTCTCACTAACAACTGAAAAACTTATATGACCGCAGTATATTTCAGAAATTAATTAGTTAATTTGGTTTATAAGTTGTAACCCTCCGATGATTAATAATATGTATGGTTTGGTTACGAAAGTAACTCACTCCAATGTTTTTAGAGGGTGATTTAGTTGGCTATCTCTTTCTCATAATGATTTTTAGTTTTTTTTTTCCCTCCATAATCCTTGTGGGTTTGTTAAGGATAAGATAGTATGTATGATTAGTGGTGAGAATTTTAGTAAAGGTGAAAAGAGCAAATGGGTGAACGATAGACATTAAAGGATAGTAGTGGATGAAAGAAGCAACAAAGAAAAATATTGCCTTGCCAGAATCATCCTCAAAATGCGTTAGTGTAAGAAAAATAAGTAACCAAATTAAAGAGAGTAAAATAAAAGCAAAAATTTTTTAAAAAAATAAATAGGCTTGATCTGAAGAGATTAGAAAGTGATGAACTTTAGGGCTATGTTTTGTCGGCAAATCCGTTCTCTTCGGTCTTTGTCTCCTTTTTGAAGTGTTTTTTGATTTCTTTAGTTGCGATCGGAAAATATACTCTGTTGTAATCATAATTTAAATACTAGTGAGATTGTTTTTTTTTTGTTTTTTTTAATTGTACGGTTTTAATTTATTTGTTTTAACAACAGAGTTCATCAACTTTATTTATCTTCTCTTTGTTTGAGTTTTCTTTTGTCTGAGTTTCAATAACAAAGCATAGAAATTGAATTAGCAATCTCTTTCAAAAAAAAAATTAAATTTAAATAGCAAATGAATTCTCGAGGCCAATGAATGAGTTATCCGTCCTTTTTTTCTTTGAGACTTTGATGTTATATACTTTTGTTGTTGTTTGACCAAAAAAAAAAAAATACTTTTGTTGTTGTTTTTTTTTTGGAGTGTTGTTTTCCTATAAATTTTTTGGTGAAAGTTAAATTAATGCAGTAAAAAAATCAAATAGATATTGATGTGTTTATATACATAAAAATATCAAAAAAATTACCTATAAATAATTACTGTTATTGAACTTATTGTTTAGTGGAGATGGTATTTTTCCAATAATGATAAATCAATTTATGAGATCATTCTGTGACGTCCTTTAAGAAATCAGTTTACCATCCAATTTAACGCACGTCTATCTATTCAACCATTTTATATATGTATCCAAACACGTGCATGGTATTTTTCGATTCCATGAGATCAATTATCTGTGAGTACGTACAAACTAAGAACGTTCCACGCAACACCAAGATGACGTGGAATCATATATGACTTTTGAATCGTACGTTGTTGAAATTTTGCAGCCCTTATAAGATGCCTTTACTATACTTAGTAACCCTTCAAATTTTAATCAATGACATGTTTATGTGTATATAATGGAGGAAATGTCAATTATGTGGGAAGATCTAGCTACTATGATAATTGATCTATCAACCCATACCTTACAATTTTCATTATAAATTATTAACAAAAGAAGGAACTTTCATTTTTCAGCTAACTAAGGAGGACAACCCCCATGTTGTTTGTCTCCAAATGTTAATTTATAATCACGGGTAGAAATTAATCAAACTATTATTGCTGATGGATAAATGGAGCGTTTAGTCTATGTTGTAGAGAAATTTCTTTGTGAATTCAGCAACTAGAAGACAAATCTTTTGTAAATAGAGAATAAACATGTGGTAGTTTAGAAATATCGATATAGCTAGTGTCCACCGTCTTTACGTTGGAAGGTAATTTTCAGTATCGAATAATATGGAAAAATATATATAGCTAACAAACGCATTATAAGCCCAGTTATCTTAAAATCAATCGATAAGAATAAATTACTCCATGTCAGTTATATATTAGTTAAGTATTTCTAAACTTTCAATATCTTAACATATTATTTCGAGATATTATGTCACATCTCGAACCAAATTCAATTACTACTATTCACAAATGCAGCGTTTATAGGTACCATGAGCAGAAATATCAATGAACCCCTAAGTTGCTAATCTCTACCTTTTGACATCTTTAATTACTTTCCTCTTTAAATTTTGTTGTTTATATATAATCTATTTTACAATATTTCACATAACCACTGTAATAATCACAAAGCTGACTTTCTTTTTTAATGTCTCAACAACTATATGGTATGATTATATCTTTCTACACAAATGTGAGATATCTTCTTTCTGTGTGTGTCTCCCTCTTTTCCCTTATCCACCACCATTTGACACGTGACAAAATGGGTCAGACGATGATGATAGAGATGATGTCGTCGTATTCCATAGCTCCATCTCCGGTGTATATTCCTGCGTTAAACCGGCGTTGTACGAACCGGACCGGTTTAGGCTAGGGTAGGGAGATCGGACGGGAGGCAAGGCGAGATGATCTTGATCCACGTGGCTTTCGTCGGCTGTGATTGAGTACGATGTGGGGCCGTTTAGCTGCGAGGCCACAAGCCGGTCTAAAGCGGCCCAGCTAGTAACGAAGCTAGTGTCGACCACGTTGCTGACGTGGACATCATTATTTGTGTCAGGAGAGCTGACGTGGCACATGTTGTTGACTGTTTGACTGTTAGGGCTCTCGAGGTTTGGGAGTTTTATGAACGGGTCTAGATTTAGCTCTTCTTTACAAGATCGCCCCATAAGTTCTAGGAATTGCTCGAGAGTATCATCGTTGAAGATCTGAGACGACGACGTCGTCCTCGCCGTGTCTCCGCTGCCGACACTCATGGAAGGTCCTCCAATGGGACTGCTTAGGGTTTTGTGAAGATTCTTCTTCTTGAATATTCGACACACCACCCATCCTTCGTCTTGTGACGCCTCCCCAATAACACTCACCACCTTAGATATTCAAAATATAAATTAACATTTATCAGAGAGCTTGCTCAATCCTCACTTTCGAGTGAGTCATGTCCACCAAAGTTTTTTGTTTTTTTTAAAAAAAAATTATTGATTTATTTTAAAATAATGTTTTGTAAGATATATGTGTTAGTATAGTTTAGTAATTTAAATAGAAAAGAATAAAATAAATATATATCTACACTTTTTACACATGATAGTGTTTGATGATAGTTTTCAAATGAAAATCACGACAGCACTTTAAAGAAATGTTTTTTTAACAAATGCATGTTATTGTCAATATATGGCTCATAATCAAAATCAAAATCGGGATTTTTGTGATGTTAAAATGAGACTTAATTAACAGTCTCAGCATATATGTCTGAATTAGATGTAACCGGCCCGTATAAATAAATTCAATGAAATTGATATATACCTCACGAACGGTGATATCCTCAGAGGAAAAAATGTTGTCGTCGAGTCTATATTCATGCATGATCCAATCAGATTTTTGGCCGTGAGGAGCTCGACCTTTGTAGAAGACAAGAGTCTTTCTCATCCCAATCCTACGGCCATTACTATATATGATCTTGTCGCGGCCCGTTGCTTTCCAAAATCCGGCCGCCGTGGCTCGGTTAGTTCTCGTTCCCGTTGGATATTTTTTGTCCTTGTGGCTAAAGAAATACCAGTCGTTCTGAGGCGTTGTTCCTATTTTACACATCTCTGCATAACGACAAAAATACTTTACCATTACTTATATTATTAACCATGCCTATCTTGGATCTTTGTCGTAACTAAGTCCTAATATAAACAAGCAACAACAACGACTAAGTGTAGATTCTTTGTACTCTAGTCATATTCTCGTAAAAGGATACATAAGAACGTCATGTATCGAAAGTAGTATAAACAAGACAACCATATATATAAAAGTAAAAGTTGATCAAATTCGGAAATTGAATTAGGAAATTGTGCAAAAAGAGAAAAAATTAACACATAAGCCATAAGAATTGATCTTATACTTAGCAAGCAAACAAAATAAAAGGAATTTATCTTATGCCGAAAAAGTAATTTATTTATGGAGCTAAACCTTGAATATCCCAAGGCTCAAGCTTGTTGAGATCGACGTCGCGAATAACGTCGAGATCGATCTTGATGCTATTGACTTTCTTCCGGAGATAATACTGCAACAGCTCTTCCTCAGTTGGGTGAAACCTAAACCCGGGAGGCACTTGAGATTGTCCGTTCACTGATATGCTCATAGATTCCGACACCATGATCAATAATTTTCAAGATTGACTATATAAGGAATCAAAAGATCAAGAACAGAGCATCTACTGTTTTTTATTTTATTTATAACTACCAATATGAAAGTAGAGAGAATGAGAGAGTTAGCAGAGGATGAGTCAATATATATATTGTTGTCTAAAATCAAAATGCATGAGGAAAATGCATGTGTCTCTTTGCAACTTTTTTGTTGTTGTCGATTATTAAATTCAACTCTTATTATAGCTTTTCCATTTGTTTTCATTAACTAGTTAAAACTTAAAATATAGGCCTTTTCAGTTATTAATAATTATTGTGTTTTTTTCTCAATTATTGTTACAATTCGATCACTTTTGCTATTTTTACCATTAATTATATTAATTTGCAAATTAAAACACGAGCCTATTAGTACTAAAACACAAACCTCTAAATGCACAATATGTGAGTATTATCTACTTATCTTCATCCATTCGTTCACAATTTTTATAGAACTATATCAGAAAAAAACTATTCGAGCATCAACCGAAATAAGTAACTCAAAACCATGATACGTAATGATTTTGAAAAATCGTTCTTGATCTATTTGCTATGTTTTCAGAAGACCTTAGTTCTGTATATTGACATTTATGGCAGCGAGTAAATTATCGTGAAGACAAAAAAAAAGAGAAAAGGAAAACAAAAAGGTGATGTAGTTATCAGAAAGAAAAAAAAAAGAGAGTAGGGTCCATAAGGCAACTAGATTGTAGGAAGCAAGCCCACATCGTAACGATGACCCTTGACCTTAAAAATCTCTATAGAAAAGCTCCCTTTAAACAAATTAACAACCCACACATCGTAATAGTAATGCATCCGTCTTCTTCTTTTTCTGTTGTCTTCAAATTTCTTAATATATTTGTAAATGAGCTCTTTTTTTACGTGCACACAAAATTTTTAATATGGCATGTTCAAAGTTTCCCACCGGCCGATGCGGCTTTTGTCATTAATAATCAAACGTTTCACTACAAACGTTTTTTGTTATTAAACCAAAAAAGTTGATCATTATTACAAAAACTATTTGATTTGGCGAAGATTGTTTTTGTGCATGTGACGAAATGTTTAAATATATTTATTTACGTGTAGTGTGTGTAGTATACATATGTTAATCAAATTTGTGAAATTATCTCCGGGAGAAACTGATAAATTATACGCCAAAATCTACAGATAATTTGGGGGTTCGAGAGATGAAGTAACTGGGCGTTGAATGTTCCTGTCCCATCTAAAATGAGGGGTTAATTTTGTATTTATTTTGTTCATTCACCAAAATTATTACTTGATCCTCGAGACGATTTTGTATTCATATGATCATATCTTACTGTAAATATAGAAAACCTGAATGGTGACAACGAAAAGACACATGTGATTAAATAGAACTAACAGAATCAATGTAATTAGTATAGCGAAATGAATTGAAACTGCATTGTAGAAAAAGCTGAAGAAACGTCCACTGATGTCTAAATGTCTATAATAGAACGATTTTATATGTGATGACTATGAAACTTTAAATAAACTTTTTCAACCTTTTTAATGACAAACAATAGTTTTTCTTTTCATATATTAGTTTTCTATTGTTATTCGTACCGGTTGGTTGTTACGCTCCCTGCTAGAGTCACTACATTAAAGGTGAGGCGATAGAAAAGTAATGATGACGTCAAAAGTCACGTAGTTATCACTAACAATGTAAAATTGAACTGTGTAAGTACGTATACTTTTTGTGTAGAAAGTAGAAAACGTACTAAGAAAACAAAGTTAATGGAGTGTTAATGTGATTATTAACAGCGGGTTGGAACTAGACGTTGTTTACGATTAGTTAAGAGGCCTTTTTGCAATTTTCTGAACACAAAATCATTTTGTTTCGATTCCAGAATTCCATGCTTGTAATCATTATTTTTTAGCTTGATTAATGACATTGCACCCAACATTTTGTGTCTTAATTCCATGTGTTTATTGGGTGAGCTTCTAAAATTCGAAAACTCTAATTAATATAAAAACATATCAAGGATAAAAATTTACACGTCATTAATTATTTCCAGTGACGAAGACAAATTTGTTTTGTAGTAATTTTGTTTGATAAAAGTAACTTTCCATCTATAATAGGGATATATCATATATAGATATAGAACTGTTACTTGAAATTGTGATATTAACCAACTGAATAGATAAATAATACTTTCTAAATTAGTATGTGTGCAATTTTAGAATTCAATTTGAAAATATGTGTTGTTTGATAATACAATTAGTCCTCTTTTAACAAACAAATATAACGGTGAATTCATCAACAACTTTACTTTATAGGGTATCATAATCATCATCAAGATAATTAGATACTATATTGAAAACCTCGTTTTACAATATAACCATCGAGATGCGTATCGTTATGTAGGCATTGTGTTTTTTCATAGGGCGCCCGTTATTAAGTACGTAGTTTTCTTTGGTGCCTTTGTCAATTTATATGTTGATGTCGTAAATCTATCACATTACTTTTTCGAAAAAAAAAAAAAAACTATCACATGCATATTATATTTACACGTACGTTTTTAACGACACGCGCGCGCCCATAGAGTTTATATAACAACGCGCCGCCATATTCAAATAATTACTTCTTCTTTTTTTGTTAAAAATTTAATTGATTACACAATTATTTTCTTTCAATTCCAAACTATATTTTTTCACATATTTTGTTCTTATATTAATTATTATTCTAAAATCTATTTATGGGATTGTGTCTAGGTGATAAATTACTGTAAATTGGTTATTTAAATTTGATCTTTCGTTATTTTTTACTAAATATGGAATGAGTATGTTTTCTCCAAAAAAATATGCATACATATGTTTTCTCTAAAAAGAAAATTCAAAATTTCAAGCTGAATCCAAAATTGTTACTGTTTCATCTAAGCTACAGAACAGAATACGTATTTTTCGTTAGTTGTGCAAAGTTACATATACAAACAATTTTTTTTTTTTTCAATTTTCTTAATATCATCATATTTTTAAGCGCCATGGATGTATTAATCGTACATGTTGTCCTGATCTGAGTAGGTAAAAATCGAAGAAAAAAAAGTATGGGATTTTTTGGTATATTACTGAATAAACAGTGAATTATTTATTTTATTTTTTCGACGAAATGGTATAATAAACAATGAAAGGAACTGGTCGTGGTTATGAACTTATGATTAAACTGAGGAAAAAAAGTATGGATACTCACTTTTAACCCCAAAAATAAAAAAATAGAAACTCTCTAGAAGCTGAAGAAAGTTTGCATGGGAAGCAATCTGAGTTTGGTGAATTTTCGTCAAAATTTGTTAAGCCTTAATGGTGAGACGTCATGACTACACACTCCGTCTTGTAATGGCTATGGGTAAATTCGTAGTTTCCACAGAATTTGGACCCATTCATGATATCCACGTGTGTTCATATAACTTATAAGTTCTAATACAGTAGCTAGTATGTTTTTTACATGGTTCTGTTTAACATCTATTTGTGTTGAAGCCTGAAAGGCTACAATTTAAAGTTTAGTTATTGTCGATTTGACATAATATTAGTATTCCTAAATCTTTTAAATAAGAACATTTCTTCTGAGAAAACTATTATTAAAAAGAATTACTAAAGGTTGGGGTTTTGTTTACCATGATAACAAAAAAACTTGGTACAACCTGACCTTTTTTTACTGCTACAACTTGACTTGACTTTTATCATTTATAAATGTTTTCTAATGAGAAACCTCGTTAATTTTTTAAAAAATTGATGATGGTTGATGATGCTGCTGGGACAGCTGATTCCGAATCGTTGCTAGATTTATAATAAATATTAGTCGCTTAATATCCGTGTCTTTCTACGCATTGGTATCTCTTGACGACCTCGTATTAATTGATTGCATGCAGGAGAGGAAGGTGCGTATCTTTTTCAAAAATAAACTAATACGATTGTTTAATTTTGATTCTGATGAACCAAATTTGCATGGTCAAATTGCTTTTTTTTTTTTCCTTTTAATACAAAGATGTCTTTAAATATTGATTTCTAAAAACTATAGTAGAACGTTTTAAGCTTACTTTATGATGCATTGTATGACCACCCAATGGATGCTTATAGAATAATTGTCTCTTCGTGATGATTATGTCCCTATAGATTGGGAACATATATAGTAAATTTTGTATAGCTAGGTGTCCTAGGCTGGAGCATAGCGGTTTGCTAATTCTGGTCAAGGAGTGAACCGTTTCATGATCAAATGTACATTTCATGGAAGTCTTTATCGTACGTTCAACTATAGAGTCGGGCGCGCAATATATATTAGATATGTGTATATTTTAGGATCAAAATTAGATGCTATCTTTCATTGTATTAGTTTTGTGGCCAAAACACTGTACTAATGTTGTAAAAACGTACTGAAGTTTTTTGTTTTTTTAGTCTATCAGGTTTAGCACATATAACAGAATTGAAAAACCAAACTCTAACAACACCAAACCAAAACTAAATCTAAAACTTTGGCTAGAGTTTTTTTTTTTTGTTTTTAAGCTCAAAACTTTAAATGTTATGGAGCCTTTTTGGCTAGAGTTCGGTTATAGTTTTAATTAATCTGAACTAACTGAACCAAACCCGAAACAAGATAGACCGACAGATACACTCATACACCCTTAATTTTACGGGTAAAGAGTACGAGTTTTCTTGAAGTGAAACTGAAACCTTAAATAAAACTTGGTTGGAATAGAAAACATTGTGCAGATGGGCCTAGTGCGATATATGCATAAATAGCTTAATACAGTGTGAACTTCGTTAAATGGGCGTAATAAGAAAATGGACTTAAGCCCACGAAGAGTCTTGCTTCTTCTTGCTAAGTTAATAGGACTAATATAATTCAAAGACATGCTCGTAGTACTGTTAGTTCCCTTTTTGATAAATGATTTACCCTTTTTATTAATATAAGTTCCATTTGCTAAGGAATATTCCACCACGTGGCACAGAGCGTTGACGGTCAAAATAACGGAATCCGTATCACACGCTGTCACGTTCATACGCCACGACACCAGAAACCAATAAACAGAGTCTCTAACGGATTTCAGACTTTAAGGAAACAAAATCGCTGGACACGTCACGCGTCAATACTTTTATAAGCAAAAAAAAAACATAAACATCACTGAGATCAATGATCCCATGCACGCGGGACCACGTACGCGTGAGAAAGTGTTATCATTTACACCGTTAGATTGAAAAGTGCAATTTATCTAACGGTACTCTTGTGCAAGTAGAGAAAATTATCATATAATTTTCTTTTTTAAGTGATACTATTGGAAAGTGGCTGACCACAAACATGTGCATGCCTGCCTGTATCTTGCAGCCTTCATGTGGATTTATCAGTGCGACACTATCCATTTATCAAATAACTCATATATACACTTTCATATATGAAAATATACGTACATTAAAAACCAAATATTGATATCCCAAAACTAACGGATTAGACGTGCCAAAATCAAAGAGATATGCGAAACCCATAATTTGGATAGTCAATGCAAATGAGTTAATTGGTGCCAATCAAAGCTACCTAACAATTTTTTTTAAAAAAAAAATTTTGAAGGTGATAATCACTGATGGATGCTGTTAAGAAAATTTTACAAAGAGTTTTGGCCTGCCGAATTTGATCTCCAGTGCTAAATTGACTTTAACACCTTGATCTGACGATGCATATATGTTGACACAATGGTTCACACTACATATATAAATTTCACTTTTTTCGTCATAGCCAAAAAAAAAAGAAAAATATATCATTGAGATCTGCCAAAAAAATATATCTATGTAACAATCAGTGCTTTGGTTTTTAGACATGACAATTAATTCGTTCTTGTTGTATTGTATCCGCACGCGAGGTCACTTTAGTAAATATGTTTAGGTGGAGCTCGGAGATTCTTGATTAATTAGGGGTGATATCGATGTGAGTATTTCGGGATTGTTTGAACGAGGTAACTAAACGAGGTAAGAGTTATGATTATAAGTCTCGAGTATTTTTGTCTCTATTTCAGATTACGGATCCTGTAATAAATGAAGTTACAGGGCTATTTATAGTGTTCAAATTAGGTTACATCTCGGTCAGAGTAGCTTGGGCGGCCGGACAGTTAGACCTGACCGACCGTCTATTAGAACGTCGTGCTGGCGAGCTGTTTCATCTACGTCAACGTGGCGAGCTGTTTCATCTACGTCGACGTGGCGAGCTGTCCCATCCGTGTCGAGGTAGCGAGCTGCTCCTTTGATATAAAAAAGTCATCTCCCCGAACGACCTCGTTTCACTCTTCGCGCATGGACTTGGTGGTCTTCGATCTTACTGGGCTTTCATCTCGCTAATGAGCCTAAATGAAATTACGAAAAAGGGGTTGTGCTCAGCCCACCTACAATAGTTCTTTGGTAAATCATCGTTACGGTGAAAGATTCTGAATCATGTATTATATTCTCTGTTAAATCGCCTAATGATTGGTAGACAATCGATCGCTCCTTGAGAGATTTCAACTAAGTTTGAATATCAATCCAACTAAGAAATATTTACGACTATTATTATAATATGGAAAATGCATATATTTCCACAATTACCGTTAATACTTAATAGTGCCCATTTGACGGCTCTGATCAAATAAAAGAAAAAAAAAAAGTTGACAAGAAAAAAAGAAGTAATACAGGAACTTCTTAAAAACAAGAACCAGATTCTGGAAAGTAGTCTGGTTCTGTGTTTTAAAACCAGATGCACCTTACAATTATAATTATCTTATTGTTTAGTAAATGGATTTGTATATTGTTAAAATTTGAGAAAAAAAGAGCACCCAAAAAAATTCGAAAAAAAGAGAGAGGTTGTGCCAAGTCGAGAACCACAAAAAACCATTATTAATCATAGACAGTATAGTATTATTATATTATCTTTTTACTGCACAAAGGTAAAATAAAGAAAAAATTGAAAAGCATTTTTCTGGGTAATAAACTTGTATACAAAAATCACCAGCTTATTCTATTGTGATCTCACCGTTATTTATATATTCTCGGAGACGAACGGTCAAAGTTTGGTTTATTTATCACTTATTTTATTTTAGTTTTTATTTACTAGTGATTGCAGATTTCAAGAGAGGAGGTTGAAGACAGCGAAGCAAATGTTTATGCAGCGGACCCAACACATATATATGTATACACGGAAATATATCGATATATATATATATATATATATACAGCGAAAAAGGTGAATTTGGGTCTTCTGGCTTTTCTCATTATTTCAATTGGTTCTCTCTCTCTCTCTCTCTTCTCTCTCTCTCTTCTCTCTCTCTCTCTCTCTTCTCTCTCTCTCTTCTCTCTCTCTCTCTAAATAGCCATTGACGTGGGATCCCACTAGCAGCTTTCTTGTCTTTTTTTTTTCTTTCCTTCAATCAACACAAACAGAGGCTTTCACTCTTCTTCTATTGTTTCACTCTCTGCGTATAACGATTTGATCGTTTTTTTTTTTTGGTTGGGAAAGTGAAAAGTTACATTTTTTTTTCCTTCTTCTCTTCTGTAATCAAAATTTCGAAGCCGTAGATGAGAGATTAGGTTGAAACTTTGATGCGAATTAGGGTTTGTTAAGGTTTTGATTTTGGGGAAAAATCAAATGGCTCAACAGAGACAGTTTCAGATGGAAGGTAGTAATAACAATAACGATACCAAGTTGACGAAAATCTTCGTGGGAGGATTAGCGTGGGAGACGCAGAGAGATACAATGAGACGTTACTTCGAGCAGTTTGGTGAAATCGTTGAAGCTGTCGTCATCACTGATAAGAACACTGGAAGATCCAAAGGATATGGATTTGTATGTTCTTCTTCGTTTCTGATTCTCTCAGACAAAAGTCTATTCTTTTATTCTTAAAAAGTTTGCATTTTTCCTAAAACGGTTTTATTGATCAGGTGACGTTTAAGGAAGCGGAAGCAGCAATGAGAGCTTGTCAGAATATGAACCCTGTCATCGATGGAAGACGAGCTAATTGCAATCTTGCTTGTCTTGGTGCTCAGAAACCTCGTCCTCCTACTTCTCCAAGACATGGTTTTTTTTTTTCTCTCTCTCTCTTTCTCTCCTTATATATATTCTCTCTAGAATGCACTAGAACTAGCTTAGGTCGATAAAAAAGTCTGATCCTTGGATCTTTCTTACTTGATTAACACGTGAAGGAGTTGAGTGAATCTTGAAGAAAACATTGATTTGCAGGAACAGGGAGATTTAGGTCACCAGGAGGAGCAGGATTAGTTGCTCCTTCTCCTCAGTTTCGAGGCTCTCCTTCTTCCTCTGCTTTTGTTCATCATCATCAACAACAGCAACACGCTGGTCAATTCCCATTTCCTTACTCTGCTTACGGGTGAGCAGAATGAATCATCACATCAATAACAAATAGATTGTGTTCTTATGTAACGAAAAGCCTAATGAAATGTTTGTGTTTCTTCTTGTGCAGGTTCTCTGGTTATTCTCAAGAGGGAATGTACCCAATGGTTGGTTAATTTTCATTCATCTTCCACAATAGCGCGCGATTGTTTCATTTCTCGCTGGATCTTGAAGTTCTTATCTATGTGTTCTTGTTGCAGAGCTACTACAATCATCATCTCTATGGAGGGCAACAATATTCTCCATATATGGGACCTCCATCATCAGGATCAGCAGGAATATTCCATGGTTACTATCCTTTTTACGGTCAATACAATGCAGCACAAAGCAGCAACCAGGCTCAAGCTCAAGCTCATCATCAACATCATCAAGGTTTCAGCTTTCAATATACTACTCCTCCTCCTCTGTTGCAGTACCCTTACATGCCTCATCAGCAATTCAGCTCTCAGCCTCCTCCGCCTCCAATCCTCTCCCTCCCAACCTCTTTGGCTCTATCATTAGCATCCTCAGCTTCATCTTCATCCTCTTCAACTTCCACCTCAGGTTTAATTTCACAAAATATCTCTTCTCTGTAATTGAAAACCATTGGTTAATTTCGATTCATCCGTGGTTTGTTGATTCTTGAATGTTTTTGTTTTGTTTTGTAGTAGCTGCAACAACAACAGCAACAAAAACAGTAGTTATTACTACAACAGCAACGAAAGCAGCAGCTGAAGCTAGCAACAAAGATGGTCATGAAACAATTACATCATCCATCAAGATTGAGGATTGATTCAGTACCGCAATAGCCAGAGCCAAGTGACTACTTCATTGTACACTAACTCATCATCAATCTCTCCAACGTGTTCTAGAAACATTTATTCATATACCGTTTTTAGGATTCTAGAATCTTAATTAGTACTTAGGAGGAGGAAGAGGATGAAGAAGAAGAAAGAAACCATCATCACATTCATTGTTTTATTTATTTTTCAAGATTCATATTGCATTTTAGGATAAAGAATCAAAGAGAAGGCATTGGTGGCCTTTTTTTGGATTCTTGGATTGATGCAGAAAGCATCATTCAATTACATTGATTCGGGGATTTATTTCAGGTTCAGAAGAATTGTTTTATGTCTTCTTTTGAACCCAAACAGGATTCCAAGCTTCGGATAAGCTTGGAAGCCCTTTTTCACATTTGTAATTCTTAAAATTTGTTATAATTCAATCTCATTGCTTGTTCTTATTTTTTGTTCGACATGATTATAACATTTAAAAGATAAGATCTTTAATCTGGTTCGTTCTGGGGAAACTCAAACCCCGTTCATAGTTCCCTTTCAGCTGGAATCTTCTCCCTTTTTATTTCTCAACCTGTTCATATGAATTTTTGTCGGTTTTTTATTTAAAACTAAAACTTTAAGCTTTTTATATTAATTTTAATTTTGAATTCGCATGATCATTTTCTTATAACGGTTCTCAGTGTAAATGATCATTGTCTTTGGATTCCAAAGGGGATCTTATGAAAACAAAAGTACCGGTCAAAAGACCGTTGGAAAAAACGGATCTTTTTCTTCGTCTATGGATAAAATTTCATGATTATTATTGCTTAAAAAATAAATTTGGAGTAAACCCCTCTATTTGTTCAACCCTTGTATTTGTTGAACATATATCATCAAATATAATTTGTGAAATTATGTGAGTTATTTTTATTCTTTTATTTTATCTTATATGAGAATTTTAGCAGAAGCAACAAAAAATTGTTTCTGAAAAATGGACAAAAAGTCAGAAACTCTAACGATATTTTCTTTCTTTCTTTTGTTTTGGTTTATCGACAGCTGTTACATATTTGAACAGATTTGAATGAAACAACCAATGAAAAATATGATTAGTCTTTGTGTAATACAAAACTTGAGTGAAATCAGATTCGGGCCTTCATATGGGTTTCAGTTTCACTTTCACCGATGCAAATATGGTTTCAAAGTTGAGCTAAAGTATACAACGATGATGGGCTCTTGTAAATCTTAAGGCCTAATTTATTACAAAGTCCATTAACTTTTTTATCCGTAGACGTATGTGGGCTGGGCAAAATATCCGTTATATTTGCTTCGATCCGTTATTCGTCTTGATTGGATCCGAAAAATCTGGATATCCGTAATTTTATGGAGCAAAACAAATACTAAAATTCAATATCCGTTAAAAACGGAGCAAATCACAAAATAATAAAAACATTTAAGACAGATATCCGCTCTGCTCCGTTATAAATATATATGTATATATAGATAGATAATAATTCATATAAAGTGTATAATTATTATATATAAATATAATTTTTGTGAGTTTTTGTTTATAAATTTGATTATTATAAATATTAAAATTTAATAAGTTAAGAAAAAAAATATTTTTTAAAGAAATATTGTAATTTTTAGCTAAATTTTGAATTTTTAAACTTTTATTTTAAATATATTATTATTTAAATATTTTTATAGAGCGGATCGGATATCCGGCAAATATTTATATTTTTGGCGGATATCCGAAAACCGGATAATTACGAAGTGGATACGGATCGGAAAAATGATTATCCGGACGGAGCGGAACGGATCACGAATATCCCCAAAATCTAGGATATCCGCTCCGCGCTCACCCTGTGCAAATAGTGTGTAACCACATTGGCCATAAAATGCTAATAGCCTTACATATGTAAACACGCAAGCATATGAGAAGTTGTTTATTACATATTAATTGTCTACATCATAGACCAATAATTATATTTTGGCGGATATCCGAAAACCGGATAATTACGAAACGGATACGGATCGGAAAAATGATTATCTGGACGGAGCGGAACGGATCACGAATATCCCAAAATCTAGGATATCCACTCTGCGTCCACCCTGCGCAAGTAGTGTGTAACCACGTTGGCCATAAAATGCTAATAGCCTTACATATGTAAACACGCAAGCATATGAGAAGTTGTTTATTACGTATTAATTGTCCACATCATAGACCAATAATTATATTTTTGTTACTATTTTGATGGGACATTTTTTCCCTACGCAAAGCACCGTCTACAGATTGTTCTAGAACTCAATCCACAGAGAATTAAACAAATTTGCATTTTCATTTGGAGTCCGAGTTTACACGGTGACCACAAAATATGATTTATCAATGCTTCTGGAATGAATTGATTTTTTAATTCCGAAAATTTAAAAATTTGTGTGCAAATTTTAAAAGAAAAAAAATATGATATATACTATGCTTTTTTGAAAAGAAAAAGGCCATCCAATTTGCACGATTATATTTATACAGAGCTGCTAAAAGTAAAAATATATCTACTTTTGAAGCAAACCAAAAACCCTAAAATAAAATTTAGCCACACAGATACATTACAACCCACGTGTCATCCACATGACCACTAGATCATCATTGCTTACGTGGCAATACGAAGACGAAGATCTTCACTTCCGTAAAACAATATCATACTGACACGTGTGCTGTGGACCTGCGAAAGCAGAGGACCACCTCCACCGAATCAGCGGCGATACAGAAAAATCAAAATAATGGCCCATATTCAGCCACGTCAGCCCAATGGCGGCCCGCCTTATTATTCACCGTTAATTAGATTTCCCAAATTGTTTATTTCTCTTTGCGATTTCCTCTAAGCATCGAAGTCGTCTTTCTCAGGGAAGATATTTTCGCGATTTGAGCGGTTGTGATCGAAAGTAAAATTAGATACTAAATATACAAAGAAAGAGTTCTTCTTCCTTCATCCTCACTGCGACTTCACATATCTTTTTCTCTCCTTTAATCCTTGATCGGAAACGGTTTTCTCGGCGAATTAAGATCCAAAATCTCATTGATCGAGATTCTTGTTTCGTTTACGGTGTTTATTTGACTTTGTTGCTGTTATCAAGTTCTGCTTTTCTCTGTAATTTTTGTTTTGAGCTCCGATCGATGGGAGAGTTTGTGGTTTTAAGTAGCGACGATGGTATGGATACGAATGAAGAGATGATGGTGAACAGAGGCAAGTCGTCGGAGGTTGTCCGGTGGGAGAAGTATCTTCCGAAAACAGTGCTTAGGGTTTTGCTAGTAGAATCTGATGATTCAACTCGCCAAATCATCACTGCTCTTCTTCGCAAGTGCTATTACAAAGGTCGATTGATCATTTCTTCATTGCCTTATCTGTTTTATACGATGTCTTTAACTTTCGTTATATGTCTTGATTTGAAGCTATAGATATATATGTTCGATCTGTGAAATTAAACTCGAATCCTGCTTTTGATTCTAAACAGTTGTTGCCGTTTCCGATGGTTTAGCTGCGTGGGAGACTCTAAAAGAGAAGTCGCATAGCATTGACCTTATACTTACCGAGCTGGATTTGCCATCTATATCTGGTTTTGCTCTCCTTGCTTTGGTGATGGAGAATGAAGCTTGCAAGAACATTCCTGTCATAAGTACGATGGTGATCCCCCAAGTCCTTTATAACTTTGAAAACGCTTCTCTTGAGTTATTTTGTTCTGATGCTTTTTTTGTTTGTTTTACTTGTGTTGCGAAATGAATAGTGATGTCTTCGCAAGATTCGATAACATTGGTCTTGAAGTGTATGCTGAGAGGTGCCGCTGATTATCTAATTAAACCCATGAGGAAAAACGAGTTGAAAAATCTATGGCAACATGTGTGGAGAAGACATTCTGTAAGTTGTTTTCCCTGCTTTCTTTTTGTTTCGACTTATGTGTCCTGGTGATATTTTCAAGTTTGAATGACTTATGTCTTTTCGGTTATGAATCAGTTGCGTGATGATCCTACTGCTCGTGCTCATAGCTTACCAGGTTCGCAGCAGAACCTTGAAGATACTGATGAAACTTGTGCAGATTCCAGATATCATTCTGATCAAGGAAGTGGTGCTCAGGTATGGTTGCGACCAATACAATCTCTATGTTCGGAATTGCGTTTTCTATGCACTTTTCCAGACCTTTTGTTGTATCGCATTTCAATAGAAGCTGATATTGTGTACATGTAAATTACGCAGGCTATCAGCTACAACGGCCACAATAAGCTAACGGCGGATGTCAAACCGCTGGATGAAAGAGATTCTGGTAGAATTGACAAAAAGCTTGAATCTTTTGATGTGACAATGGATTTGATTGGTGGAATCGACAAACGGCCTGAGTGTTGTTTTTATGGAGACAACACTGGTGACGAGTGTGTTGGTCCCGAGCTTGGGCTTTCTCTGAAAAGATCTTGCTCTGGAAGTTTGGAGAACCAAGCTGAAAGCAAGCATCAAAAGCTTAGCTTCTCTGATGCATCAGCCTTCTTAAGGTCCGTTTGCTTGCTTGAAACAAATATAAAAAAATAGAGTGACTCAAATCTATGATTAGTTTCTTAATCAATAACATTACGTAACTTGCAGATATGAGAATAGCAAGCCAGCAGAGAAAGCAGTCGTTGCTTTAGATGCGAGTAGTTCAGCGGAGCCAAAGACACCAAGCGAATCACATGAGAAGTTAAGAAAAGTAAGATGCGATCACGGAAGCGCTACAACGAGTAGCAACCAAGAGAATATCGGATCATCAAGCGTAAGCGGACAAAATGAGTTAAGCTTCCGTAACCAAGTTCTTGTTACAAGTCAGAAGCCACACCCGCAAGATTCTCCCTTTCCAGTAGAAACAAGTCGCCTGAAAGCAAGCAAGGAAGTAGAAGTTGGTACTCAAAGCACGTGCAACACCAATGAAGGGATCGCAGGACAAAGTAGCAGCACGGAGAAATCAAAGGAAGAAGAAGGTCTCAGTGCCCAGCAACGTTGGAGTCAGAGAGAAGCGGCACTGATGAAATTCCGACTGAAGAGGAAAGATAGATGCTTTGATAAAAAGGTAAGAGACCCACAAGCTATAGATTCAATTTGATTCATTATCAGCAAGGATCAACAAATTGATTCAAAATTGGCCATATGTATGAATTGGATTACAGGTTCGATATCAGAGCAGGAAGAAGCTAGCAGAGCAGCGACCACGAGTGAAAGGCCAGTTCGTGCGTGCCGTAAATTCAGACGCTTCAACTAAATCCTGAAGCCCAACCAAAGCGTTTTCACTATTTGTTTTGTTGGCCTGGATCCGGAACCAAGGAAAGACTTATCTCTCTTATCTACATGGAAAGACTTATCTAGATTTGTCATGTTATGTCATATATTTTAGTGTTTGAGTGTTTTCTTCTTAGCTAATCTGATCAACTACGGGGCGCAATTTTCCCCATTTTGTACAGATTTTTTATTATAAAATGACTCAAAAGTAATTACGTATCAGGTGCTTAAACATTCTTTCCGCTAAATGTAATCCTTTTCTTTTTTGTCGTTCCGCTAAATGTATATCCAAACAATGCAAATATGATTTTCTTTATTTATTTAATCTAGAGTTTTAAATATTTTCCACTTGTTTTATGCTTAAATTCATGAGAAAGTTGAAACAAATTATCTTTCTCACAACTGTAAGCCAATAAAACCTAAGAAAGAAATCTGAATATCAGAAATTCGGCCTAACCGTGGAAAACCAGTTCCCAATCATTTTGATAAACCGGTTGTTAATCCAACGGCTCCGTCAAACCGTGAGAAATCCGCTCGGTTTAAAGAGAAAACTTTTAAAAAGGCAAGAGAGCAAATATTACGGTCTCTAGCTTTCGTCCACGTGTAGATAATTTTGACCGTCAAAGAAAAACAAAAACAGCAACCATACAGATTCGAGATCCGGAACCAAGGAGATAAGAGAGAAAAGGGACCCAGAAGAAGAAAAAGGTAGGTGGATCTCGTGAAATCGGTGGAGATTCTTTTATAAAAGGGTTCCTCCTTTTTTTTTGAGCACAGCACGAGGAGATTCTTTTAAAGGAGGAGTGTATCAATCAATCAATCAATTAATTGTGAATAATCCCCAACCAGGAACTTGAATCTCGACTCTAAGCTCTTCCTGGTGAGTTTTTTTTTCTGTATTAGGGTTTTCGATTGTTGCCGCTCTTCCTCAGTTTTTAGTGTTTTCTATTCACATTCTGACTTTGATATCTGGAATTGGTCTTGAGTGGGACGCTGCGATTTTGTCATAGTTTATTATTGGGGGGGTCGAACTTGATTCAGTCTTTTGCCTAAGCATCCCTGTAGCTCATAAATCTCGGTTTAGGGGTTTTCTAGATTCTTCTTCACTTTCTGATTGTGACATCTGGAATTGTTCTGACTGTGACCCTTTGATACTCTCTTATACTTTAATTATTTGGGGTCAAAACCTTTGCTGTGTCTTCAATTGTATTTATGGGGTTTTGACTCTTGTTATGATGATTATTATATGCTGTGTAAGCGTTGACTAGTTTGCTGTTTTGTTTTTTTAATAATCTTTCGTATGCCTATGCTTTAAGAAACTCCTCCTTCTGCACTAGCCGTAGTTGGATGCATGTCCTCTTCCTCTGATTTGTTCTTTGTGGATAAATTTCTTTTCTTTTTGTTGAATAGATTGCCATATTCGGTACACAATTGCGCTCGAGATTCAGCGATCTTCTTGTAAAGGTTACTAATTTGTTGTCTAGTATTGAGCTCTGTAGCTCCTTCGTTGTTATCTCATTCCCTTTTTCATTTTTATTTTTTCAGATGGAGTCCTCAAGCCCCCAACATAGTAGTCACATCATCGAGGTTAATGTAGGAAAACCTGATGAAGAAAGAATAATCGGAGGAAGTAAAGTCTGTGGAGAAGCGCCGTGTGGGTTTTCAGATTCTAAGAATGCTTCTGGTGATGCCGCAGAACGCAATGCTTCTATGCGAAAGCTCTGTTACGCGGTGGTGTTATGCCTTGTGTTCATGTGCGTTGAAGTTGTTGGTGGAATTGAAGCTAATAGTTTGGCTATACTAACCGATGCGGCCCATCTTCTCTCTGATGTTGCTGCCTTTGCGATCTCGTTGTTCTCCTTGTGGGCTGCTGGTTGGGAAGCGACTCCGAGGCAGACTTATGGCTTTTTCAGGATTGAGATCCTGGGAGCTCTTGTATCTATCCAACTCATCTGGTTGCTCACTGGCATTCTGGTTTATGAAGCCATTATCAGACTTCTCACCGAGACCAGTGAGGTTAATGGATTCCTGATGTTTATTGTTGCTGCGTTTGGCCTAGCGGTGAATATCGTAATGGCTGTCATGCTCGGACATGATCATGGTCATGGACATGGACATGGTCACGACCATCACAATCACGGTGGGAACCATAGCCATGGGGTGACTGTCACCACCCATCACCATCAGCATCATCATGATCATGGTCATAGTCATGGAGAGGACAAGCACCATGCTCATGGGGATGTTACTGAGCAATTGTTGGACAAAGCGAAGCCTCAAATCGTGGATAAAGAGAAAAGAAAGAGGAACATCAATGTCCAAGGAGCTTATCTTCACGTCCTTGGGGATTCCATCCAGAGCGTTGGTGTTATGATTGGAGGAGCTATTATTTGGTACAATCCGAAATGGAAAATAGTCGATCTGATTTGCACACTCATCTTTTCGGTCATTGTCTTGGGAACAACCATCAACATGATTAGAAGCATCCTTGAAGTGTTGATGGAGAGTACACCCAGAGAGATTGACGCTACAAAACTCGAAAAGGGTTTGCTCGAAATGGAAGAAGTGGTGGCTGTTCATGAGCTTCATATTTGGGCTATCACAGTGGGAAAGGTTTTACTGGCTTGCCATGTCAATATCAGGCCAGAAGCAGATGCAGATATGGTGCTCAACAAGGTAGTTGATTACATCCGCAGGGAGTACAACATCAGTCATGTCACAATACAAATCGAGCGATAAAACCATAACAAACATCTGAGAGTTATTTTGTATCAGCATTCTCATTAACAATAATAAAATCAATAAAGTTTCTACCTTTTTGTCACTTTCTCGTGTTCATCTCTGCTTAGGTATATTGGTATCGTTTGGTTCAGCTCAAGTAAGCACTATTCCTCTTAAAGGAAGAAACTTTTTGTCCTTCTCTTTAAAAGTGTTTCCAAGGACACGACTTACTTAGAACAGATAACGTCATCTTAACTTTTCTGAGCTTAGGTCTGCTTTCATTTAGATCCATCATCTTCCTAGGAGTCACAAGGCTTGTTATTGTGTTAGAAACAGAATCTGATTGATTGTTAGGGTTTTAATTTGATATGTCACAAGTGGGCCATGTTTGTCCTGAGAGTAAGTAACCAGAGTTTGTAAGTTACATCAACAAGTACACACAGAGATGAAATCTCCAAAAACTTAAGTTGTGATACGGTTCCTAAAGCATAAAATACAAGGACTATGCAAAGGTTGAATCTTTTTAACTTGCTTAGGCATTTCTAGGCTGGTTCTTATTACATTAGTATGAACGAGATCTCGAGAATGCAGACAAATTGATTTCGTGCTTCTGAGTAATCTGTGTTAGATCTCGTCGAAGAAAGGGACTAGTTTTGGCTGTGTTAGACTTAACACGTGAGATAAACAGAAGCCACAGTTGAGAACATGGATAAGGTTTCTTATTGTGAGCTTTTATGATCAAATCTGCGTTCTTGTTTGCCCACAAAGAGATAAGAAAAACTTCGGATATGATTGATAACAAAAATATTGCAGAGAAGAATGGGTTGGAAAGGGAAATTGGATTGATTCACTACGACTTTTGTAAAAGAAGGGAAAGAAAAATTACAATTACAATTTTTTACGGCTCGTAAAAAGAATAAATCTGATGAAGAACAGAAAGGATAGTTAGAGGCAGGCACTGGTTAGTACCCGTAAAGCCAGGGCATCGACACTTCTATGCTTAAGAGATAAGAAGCCAAAATTCACGCGTTAATGAATTGATACTTCCTTCACGATTTCACACTTCTATGCTTCCATTCACGAAGAAGAAGAGGGGAAATTCACACTTCCTTCAAAAGGTTCAACTTTTATTTATTGGGTCTCATAAAAAATTAAAGCTTTTTCAAGACACAAATCAATGGAAGCTTTCATCTTCATCTTCTTCTCCTTCTCCTTCATCATCTTCTGTGTATTAACGAAAGTCCCCACAACTGTCTGTCTTCGCTGCCAGACAAAACTGCCACAGCCAATAATGTTTCTTTGAGGGACCTTTCTTCTGTCAGAGACTCTCTATCTCTCTCTTCTCTTTCTTTCTCTCTCCTGTTATTTGCTCTGCTCAGCCTCACCAACTCATCTTCAGTCCTCAAACAAACATCTGCTGTCATCTCTTTTTATTTTTATTTTACCTCTTTGTTTCCTTCCCTTTCTCTTTCATATCTCACTTTCAGTTTCCTATTTTCTCTTCAAAATCTTCTTAGCAATTTAAGACTACTATTCTATATAAAGCTAACGGCTTTAGCTTCAGAAGCTCTCATAACCAGAAGCCAGTACATGAATTTCTTGTTTTTACCTCTTTAAAACCCCTCACAATTATTTCTCCCCAAAGTTGGTCCTAGAGAGAGAAAGAGAAAGAGGTTTCAGCTTCTAATGGAGAGGATTCAGGGACAAAACAAGCTCTGTGTAATGTATCTTATCTCAATTTGGAACGTTTTTCTTATCTTCTAATCTCAATTCTGTAATCAAAGATGTGGACTTGCATTTACTCCCTTCTTTCAAATGACTCCAGAACGGGGTTGCATTCAATGCTATGATGTTGGTTATACCGAAAACACTAACAAATCTGCTCTCAACTGTTTACCTCTCTTTGAAACATTCCATTTTTCATTCTAATTTTGTTTCTCTACACTGACCCACTAACCAAAACCCACAGTAGAATACCTAATTTCACATCTTTCTCTTTCTCTCGCTCACTTGGTAGGTAACTCCTTCCTCTGTTTTTTTTTTTTTTTGTTGTTTTCTTCTTGCAGTCTTTGGATCAAAAAGTGAATGTGAGAAGAAGCATAGAAGTTGAAGGATCTGCAGAGTATAAAAAGAAATTTCTCGAGGACGAGCAATACTCAACTCCAAGCTTGCAAGATACAAGAATTCCATTTCTACAAATGCTGCAACAAAGTGAAGAAGACTCTTCTTCCGTTTTGTCCTTTAAAGACCCAAACTTTCTAGCACTACTCTCTCTCCAGACACTCGAAAAGCCTTGGGAACTCGAAAACTATCTCCCGCATGAAGTTCCAGAGTTTCATTCACCGATCCATTCTGAAACCAACCACTACTATCATAATCCATCCTTGGAAGCCATCTCAAGCCAAGAATATCAGTTAAACCCAATAGACAATGTGAATTCAAGACGCAAGCGCAGAAACAACAACAATAATTTGGCAACATCAATGACCAGAGAAAAGAGAAAGAGAAGGAGAACTAAACCAACAAAAAACACAGAAGAGATGGAGACTCAAAGAATGACGCACATTGCGGTTGAACGAAACCGCAGACGCCAAATGAACGTTCATCTCAACTCACTCCGCTCCCTCATTCCATCTTCCTACATCCAAAGGGTAATGTCGTGTGTATAACCAAAAAACAAAAATTCAGCCTTTTTATTCATTTAAACAAATTTCGTTTGCAATTTCCAAAGGGAGACCAAGCGTCAATAGTAGGAGGAGCAATAGACTTCGTGAAGATCCTCGAGCAACACTTGCAATCCCTTGAAGCGCAAAAGATAACTCAGCAAACCGATATGTGCAACAGTGATAATCCGAGTGGCATTCCGTCGAGCGAGTTGCGTGCGAGTACCGAAGAACAAACTAGTAAACTCAGAATCGATGCCACAGTGATAGAGAGTCACGTCAATCTCAAGATCCAATGCTTGAGGAAACAAGGACAACTTCTCAGATCAATCATTTTGCTCGAGAAACTTCGATTCACTGTTCTTCATCTCAACATCACATCGCCGTCCAATGCATCTGTCTCTTATTCCTTCAACCTCAAGGTACTTAAAAACAAAAACCAAAATTATTTACTTGTCGACATTTGGTGAAAAATCCAATCTTTTTTTATGTTTTGGTTTCTCAGATGGAAGAAGACTGCAATCTTGGATCGGCTGATGAGATAACGGCGGCAGTTCGTCAGATTTTCGACTGCTGATTATTGGATTAAAAAAAAAAAACACGAAAATCCCAACAAAAAAGAAGAAGAAGGAAAAGTAACGATCTTTTTCGTAACTTCGTTTTTTGGAGGAAGAGATGCTTTTGTTGGTATGTAATTGGAGTCTTCTCGGCATGGCACTTGACTTGGTTTAAGGCTACTCTACAGAATTGGGTCCCACCTGATAGATGTATATCAAGTTTGACCTTTGTGTCTTTATATCCATCATCATTGTCTTTTTATTTAGCTTTTTGCCTCTCTTTTGGGGTTGACTATTTTTGTTTAATAAAAGATCTTATCAGATGGCATTGGGTCTGAATGTTCGAGGAACTGTTCGGTCCAAAGATAAATAGCCCACATGTTTTTGTGTATATACAAACGAGGCCCGTTCCATGTTTTCTAACCAATATCACAATTCACACATTTCGATTTGTAATCTTTTGAACATACCTTTCACATTTGATATTTAGGATATGATAGGATCCGTGGAAAACCCGAATTTTTTTTTGGTAAAACAAGTTAGAATAGTTTAACTAGAGCGTGGTTCAGGAATTTTAGAAAGCAAAACGGACTATTTGTAATTGAAAGGACTGCACTAAAAAATTTTGTCGTCGTGGTTTATAGTAAAAATTACAATTTAATTCCGGTAATTTGTAATAAAAATTACAAATTTTTCCTACTGTGTTCTTATATTTATTCCAAAAGAAAAGAAAAAAAAAATCCAAATTTTAAAAATTTAGGCCCAATTAAATTGTAAGAAACCAATCCTATCCAATGAAAACTCAAAGATCGCCTGTAGGACAGCCACGTCAACACTATCCTGATCGGGAAACCCAAAACGAGTGGTTGAATCGCTTTCGACTGGTAACAGAGAAACCATCTCCACAATCCGGGGCCAAAGTAAAGTATCAAAAATCTCTCATCACATTTCTTCTCCACTAATCTCTCTACTAATTTGTTTCCGCCAACATTGTTGGGTTTCAAGCGCCAAGTCATGGCTTCCCTTTCAATCTCTTCCTCATCGACCATCATCGATTCAAGAGCTCCTCCTCGACAGGCCTCCGCCTCTTCTCCGTCTTGTATTTCCCTTCCCACGCTTCCTCCTCCGCCGCTTCAGTCCCAAAGCCGCGCCGCGAAAGCCACCGCTTACTGTCCGTTTTCCACACTCCATAAATCTGAAACCTTTTCTTAAAAAACAAATCTTTTATGTCCGATTGATTCGTGTGTCAAAATGCTAAATTTCGAAAATGGGTTTTGATTTGTAGGTCGGAAGATTGTGAGGAATGTTGTGACGAAATCTACAGGTGATGTTCCCGCCACTACCGAAACTGACACTACAGAGTTACCGGAAATCGTTAAGACCGCTCAAGAAGCTGTAAAGACATTTACTTTACTCCACTTGTTCATAATCCTAAATGATTATCTTGTATTATCTATCTCTGCTATGAAGTGAATCTGATTGTTTCGATTTGTTATTCAAGTGGGACAAAGTGGAGGATAAGTATGCAATTGGTTCTCTTGCATTTGCTGGCCTTGTGGCTCTTTGGGGATCCACTGGAATGATTTCGGTGAGGAGAAACATTCATTCATCTTCAAAACCAACCTTAAAGTGTTTAAGTTCCTTTATCTGATTCCAAAATTTGATCTTGTGAAACAGGCTATCGACAGGCTTCCGTTGGTTCCTGGTGTTCTTGAACTTGTAGGCATTGGTTACACAGGGGTGAGTTTCTAGTTGTACTTGTATCTTATATAACCTGAATCGGAACATGCTTTAGCGAACCTGTTTTTCAGGGTTTAGATGATTCATCAATTACCATCGCTTTTAGATTTAGGATCAGTCCTCTGATTAAAGTATCCGAACCAATTCAATTTAGTGTTTACATATTGAGATCTGATTTTACAAATGGATTGCTGCTTCTCATGAGTGCTTTTGAATCTCAAGACTAGCTTCAATCTCAAAGATTTGTTAGTTGCTTGATTCATTTGTGTGATGGAACTGAATGAGCATGTAGTTTAATCCTGTCGTTTTCTTGACGCAGTGGTTCGCTTACAAGAATCTGATCTTCAAACCAGACAGGTCAAGCAATTCTCTATAACCTGTGTTTGGTTTCTTCCAGTCGTTTAGAGAAAATAAAGCTCACATTAGCTATCGTGTTTATTACGAATGTTTCAGGGAGGTTTTGTTTCAGAAGGTCAAGGACACGTACAAAGACATATTAGGGAGCAGCTGAATCTGTGGAAGAAAAAGAAGAGAGAGCCGTTTTAGGCCGCTCATGAATTCGAATGAAGGAAATCAAAGAATCTAACAAATGCTACACCCTTTCCTTCGATCTTTCCTTGCGTAACTAAATAATTTTCATCCTCTCTCTTTCTCTCTGTGTGTGTGCTCTTTTTTAGCTCAAAAATATCATCCATTTATGTCAATGTTGTAAATTCCTCAAGACTACATATGAGATGTTTATTTCATTTTTCGTAAGTTTTCAAACTCTTATCTCCATTTAGTTTTCAAGAATACGAATCAAAGTCACAAAAGAAACATGATCATATAGACAAAATAAAAGAGGGTAAATTTATAAAATTTCATAAATGTGGGATTAGTTGGTGTAGTTTATCAAACAAGTGGCATAAGAAGCTCTTAAAGCTATAAAAGCGTCTAATATAAATTCACATTCAACTGGTCCCTGATAAACAAATTACAAACACACAAAACAAAAAAAGACAAAAGCAAAGGGATATACAATAAGAAGCTCTACCTTGTGCTATAGACAGTTTCACAACACACTAGTTTCCTTCAGCACATCGTAAGCTCACATGCTCTTAAACACCCGACGTTTGTTGACCTTGGATGACTCAGGGAAGACAGTTGCGGTCACCTATTACTTTTGGTTACAATGTCAAAACTGTCAACCAATCCCGGAGTTAGAGTGGGTGTATGATTGTCACTGTTACCAAACACGCATCGTAACGGGAGTCCCCGTGAGTCTCGTTCCTTGTAGCAAAGAGAAGGAGTAACCTTTAGATCTGACATTCCGTAATTCTTAATCTTTCCCTTGTTAAAATACAAATCTTTATTTTTTCTTTACATTTTATATTTCTTCTACTTACACGTATTTTCGTATACATAACATCGATGGGTAAGTTTAATAATAAAACGTTGATTAAAACAAGAGATTAGCGTTTTGGAGTAAAAATAGGAGAAGCTCGAGGTCCAATGGTGATAAATGTCAGCTAATCAACAGACCATTAGTCTTCCAATTCCCCAACTTCTATACTCTCCTCTCCTTCGCATCTCCACCCTCCATTTCTCAACCTATGCCTCTTATGATCTCGACACGTTTCATATCTCTTTCGCGCTCTTTTGGTCCAAATTCCAATTTTTTTTTTTAATTGTACCTTCCCAAGTGATTTCTAACAAAGACAACTGTGCACACACGCATGTCGATATTCAGTATATACTTATATATTTTCACAATTCCCAAATTAAAAAGTAAAAAAATTCAAGTCCCACGAATGTTGCTTTTGATGCATTGATACAAAGTCTTAATTATTTCTTTTAAGTTATGCAAAACATCTTTTACTCGTTGATTGTTGGCCGAAAAACCTGAAATGCATCCTCTGTTTCTCCATTCTTCTTCCTCCTCTGCTCTGTTTCTACTTCTTCTCCTTCTCCTCACTCTCCAAACCCTAACCTCCATCTCTCTCTCTCAGCCGGAAGCTCTCCGTTCACCGGAAAAGTGTGGAAACTTCTCCATCTCCTTCCCTTTCCATCTCTCCTCCCCTTCCTCCTCCTCCGTCGCTTTCCATCTCTCCTGCGAAAACTCATCAACTCTGTTTCTCCACATAAACCACCAGACCTACCGAATCATCGAATTCTTCACCGACGGTCTCCTCGTAGACTTCCCTTCTTCTCCTTCTTGTCGTCAATTCAACGACTTACGCTCTTTCCCATTCTCCGCAAACCAATTCTTCTCCATCTCTTTCGAAAACGTAATCGGCCTTTACGACTGCGAAGATTCCTCTCTCTGTAAAGCCGGCTGCGAAACCAACGACCTCTTCGGCTGCGATGGCAGAGAAGAAGACGAAACCTCCGGCGGAGATATCGGTTGCTGCTACCCTTTGTCCGATCACAGTGCGTGGCGTGCCGGCGAAGATTTCTCTGTTTTTGGTAAATATGGATGCAGAGGATTCTCTTCGTGGGTTGTTCCGAGAGGGACGAACAGAGGAAAACGAGGAGTTAAGTTAGAATGGGCGATTCCGAGAAACTCTTCCGAGGCTATCTGCGATCGTGAGGCTCGAACTGTCAACGCTACGGCTATTCAAGCAAGTGTTCGATGTGTGTGCCGAGATGGGTTCATCGGCGATGGTTTCTTCCATGGAACAGGTTGCTTAAAGTGTGAGTTTTTCCTTTTTTGGTTGTGATAAAGTTTGGTTATTTTTTAGATATTGGTCGGTTTAAAATGTAACTTCGGTTTACCCTAATGTAATCAGAAAAATGTTTCTTGAGTCACAATCAACTAACTTGACTTACTGGTTTACAGCTTGCTACAGAGATGGGAAGGAAGTATATGGAGACAAATGCGAGATCAAGAAACACAACGGGAAGAAACTCACCGTTTTAGCCGGTAATTAAGATAGCCTCATCTCAATAAATTTAAAATTTTCTTGCTAAAATCGTTTATATGTGTATAAATTATGCAGGAGTTTTAGCTCCTCTCTTCATACTCGGATCACTCTTAGCACTCTTCTGTCTCCTAAAACGTCCAGTAACAACAACTCACAATGATCAACAATTCGATCTCTCTACGAGAACAACTACTACAAGTGTTTCGTTTCGGAAAGGTTACAACAAGACTCGTCTCTTCACATACTGTGAGCTAGAAGAAGCCACCAAAGGGTTTCAAGAATCACAGAAACTCACACAAGGCAAGACCGGAACAATCTACTCAGGCAATCTAACAAACGGAACACGTGTGATCGTCCACAAGGTTCTCTGCGAAAACCAGATTGAATTCTTGGAGATTTCGTCTCAGATTGATCATCTATCAGCGGTTCTGCATAGAAACCTCGCCAGAATCATAGGTTACTGTATGGATATTGGACACAATCCACTCGTTGTTTACGAGTATCCTGTAAACGGATCGCTTGAAGATCGATTGCGTCTAGGGCTTGACTGGTGCAAGAGAGTTAACATTGTAGCTGAAGTGGCTGGCTTACTTGCTCTGCTTCAATACGAGAACTATCCACCGATTCTTCACAACCACATTGGTTCTGGTTACATCTTCTTAGACGAAGATTTTCAAGCTAAAGTCACAGGTTTTGGATTACAGAGGAAACAGAGGATTGATTGCAGTATGTACGATTTTGCGGTTTTGCTTCTGGAGATTGTGACTGGATTGAAACAGAAAGAAGAGACGGTGACTCAAGCGTTACAGAGGATTAGAAGCGGTAAGCTTGAAGAGATCGTGGATCCTTGTTTGTATTTTCATGAGCAGCCAGTGGCTTTGAGGGAGCAGATTGGTCTAGTTGCTGATATCGCAACCCGGTGCGTTTTGTTCGGTGGTGATGGGAAATTTGGGGTGGTTGATGCGGCTAGAGAGCTGTTACAGATCGCTGGAAATAACGGTGGGGGCGGTTGCGATAAGAAAGGAGATGGAATAGAGGAAACGTTTTCGAATTCGAGCTTGCTTCAGATGATTTCTATGTCACCTGATTCTATCTACCTCCCTAAGACCTAAAGAAAACAGAGAAAATTTAAGGGTTTTTGTTTTTGTTTTTGAATGTATGTAATTTAAAAGTGCTTTGCTTGAGAGTAAAGATACGTCTTTTTTTTAACCTCTTCAATGAAGAGATCGTGTTCTGAAAAAAAAAAATCGTGACAAGCAATTAGTATTCACGATTATAACAACGTGCAGGCAAAAAAAGAGAAGAAAGACCTTAAACAAGTACAATGTTTAGATATTCACATTTTCTCTAAATTAGATATTGAATTTCTGCAAAAAAAAAAAAAGAAAAAAGAAATCGAAAGGCTGAGAAAGAATATCTCCGGTACCAAAATCGCTTTTGACCAAATCGTAATGCTATTATTAAACACTTGTTTTTCTCGTGTATATATATTAAGAAACGTAGCTCTGTCTTTGCAGAAGTTAAATCTGTTTTGTCCCTTGTAAACGAAAGAAGATCCAAAGGTAATGAACACGAATCCCTGATTGTTTCTTGGTACAAAAGGTTGATGCTTTTGGATACTTGTCTCGTGACAAATCATCATCATGCTTTGCGATTGATAATAATCTTAACAGATGAGTGAAGAAACATATGAAGAAACTCAGGAAACAAGCCAATCTCCTCGCCCTGTTCCAAAACTCAATGAGAGGATTCTATCAACTCTATCCAGGAGATCTGTTGCTGCACATCCATGGCACGACCTTGAGATCGGTAACTTCACCATTTCTCTCGAGCGATATCCCTTATAATCGCATCTGATTCTCAGAACAGATTCTCAACACAAATTGTCTTCTTGCAGGTCCTGAAGCTCCATTGGTCTTCAATGTGGTATGTTCTCTTATACATACCTTAGAAATAAACCTTTTTTTCATTTCTGTTTTTTTAGTCTGTTAATGAGAGAGCCTCTCGGGTTAGGTTGTTGAGATCACAAAGGGAAGCAAGGTGAAATATGAGCTCGACAAAAAGACTGGTCTTATCAAGGTATTTGAAAATATGAACAACTCTGATCTCAGATTGTGATATTCTCTTCTCCCAATTAAGTGGTTCTGATTGATCCCATGACATTGGAATTCTCGATCTCAGGTTGACCGGATCTTGTACTCATCGGTTGTTTATCCTCACAACTACGGATTCATCCCAAGGACATTGTGTGAAGACAACGATCCTCTTGATGTTCTTGTCCTAATGCAGGCAAGTCTCACAGAGATCAAAAAATCATTTCATCATCCAACCCCATATTGTGTGTGTTTTAACTCGTGATTCTTCGTATAATAGGAACCAGTGCTTCCAGGATGTTTCCTGCGTGCTAGAGCCATTGGGTTAATGCCCATGATTGATCAGGTTTTTAACCTCTGCAAATTTCCTTTTGCAAAACTAAATCTTTCTTAAAAACCGGTTAAGAGCTAAAAAGTGAAAGCTTTTAGCATTGAGATCTAGTGCCTATAGTAATTAGGGAAGAATCAAAGATGAAAAATTTGTAATCTTGTTTGCTTTCAGGGAGAGAAAGACGACAAGATCATCGCCGTTTGTGCTGATGATCCTGAGTACAAACATTTCACTGACATCAAACAACTCGCTCCTCATCGCCTCTCAGAGATCCGTCGTTTCTTCGAAGACTGTAAGAAGAAGATCCTTTTGGACTCACATTTTCGAATTCCAAATCAATCAAATCCCTAATTTTTCCCTAATTTTTCATTGATCGCGTTTGCTTGTAGATAAAAAGAACGAGAACAAGAAGGTGGCTGTGAATGATTTCTTGCCATCGGAGAGCGCACATGAGGCAATCCAGTACTCCATGTAAGGAGTTTTACTAAAACCCTAAAGCCGAATACGTAAAATTAGAAAACTTGAGAAACGAATCTGCAATGAATTTTGCAGGGATCTTTACGCTGAGTATATTCTCCATACATTAAGGAGATGAAGAACACGACACGTTGATTTCCCATACGCGACAGAGTTGCTTCTTCGCACCATCCGCATATATAAATATATTTCTTGGAATATTATTATTTTATATATTTTTCAGAATCATTTCCCTGGAAAAAATATCTGTCTTTTACATCTCTTTTTTTTGTTTTTTTGGTTATGTTTGTTTTTCTTGTGCTATTGCAATTTTGTTGATTTTGTAATTTGATCAAAACTGATACAAATGACAAATGCATTTTTTTCCTATTCTTTTTTTCCCTTTGGTCTATTCACTAATTACAGTCGAAAAAAAGTCTATTCACTAATTACCAGACTGTTAATTGTTAACTCGTCCACTAATGGGCTTTAGACGCTATTTAGGCCCAAATATACCAAGTATTTTTTTCGAATTCAAATGAAATGTAATCAAAGAAAAATCTAAATGCAAATCGAAAGTAAAATTGTACTAACAGTAAAAAACTTATAAATTTAATTATAAGAGAATTTTTTCTAAGTTTATAATTTTATAAAGTATATTTTTATTAATAAACAATTGGAACCTTTTTCACACGGTAGAATGACACGTACTAAAATTGGTTTTATTTGTTATAACTATGCACAAAAAGAAAATCCTAACGAAAGATCTCTCTGAACACTACACTACAGTACAGTGAACATAAACAGGTTTTCTTAGTTGGGAAATATTGTGTAGTGTGGATCCAAATGAGAAAGCGACTAAACATGAGTAGCACATTTATAGATAGAGAATGGGCTTTTGGATTTATCATTTCATATCGTATTTATTTTGGGCCTCACTTCTCTTTTTATATAGGGACCACACTATAGTCCCCTCCATATTTTTCTTTCCTTTTTTCTCTTTTAATTTTGTAATCAACTAAATGACGAAATCAGTCGTAAAATATGGCCCGACATGTGTACGTGTGTATATATGTATATTTATAAATAAAATAAATACAGAAATAGATGCATCTATATAATATCATCAAGATTTAAGAGTGGGAACAGTGATGTAATGAATGAATGAATGAGTAAATGTGAATATAGGAGCTGCAGGGGATGCTGACTTTCGCAGCTACCACAGGGTCCTTATATATCCATGAAGTCAATACATAAAATATTCCAAAGTGTAAATAATATAAAGTTAGAATATATATACAATGCAAATATATAAACTCCTATTTTTGCAAAGAAAGCCTCCAACTTCAATAGTGTTTTTGGCCTTCAGAGTTGAGACAACCTGAGGTGGTTAATTCCTTTGTATCCATCCTTCCATACAAACCGACCCCACCGTATATATTTGCTGCATTTATATTTCATCTAAATCTTGAACAAATCTTATAATTTTCATTATTTGTTTGCTTTTAACTCTAGCTCTATAGAACTCAATTATAAACTAGGTGACACCATTAACATTAAATAATAATGAAAAAGTGAACGAAAGTAAGAACAGCAGAGCATGAAGACAATTTTTTGTGTGAAAATATTTGAAAACCATTTATCATTTTTCTCTGATAATATGCATTTGTTCAAGTTTGAAACTGGATATGATAGAGCAATGACACTGATATCAACTGATTTTTAACGAAAAAAATTAAGAAGTACGTTGAATTATATACAATTTTAATCGTGTACATTAGTTCTTTACATGATCGACTCGATGTTTAATACTGTATAGTCAATTTGGTAGAAAGAATTTCTTCATAACATGTATGTCATAATATCCAATCAAAATGCTATATAGCTTGAATCCATTTTGAAATGCCCATTGTCCGGTAGAGAATAATACTATATATTGAAAAATATAGGCATGAAAAATATAACTTTTGTTGTCTATACGATATATATTTCTTTGTCTATACGAGATTGAAATTTCAAGAATACATATTTTAACTAATTTTCCACAACTAAATCAACTTTCTTCTTTTTATTTTCTTTTTGCACATGAACTTTCTAAGATGCATGCTTAAGAATTAATTATGTTTTTCTTTTAAAAGAGAGGGTTGGCTAGAGAGATAGGGAGAGAGTCCTAGACTCTGGGGGCAAATTGACAACTGGTGCATGTTGTTGCCACTATCGCACCACCAATTCTGTATTTTTTTATATATCTTATAAATATAAGCAAAATAAAATTATAAAAAAATGGACCGCCTTCTACTTCACCACTACCTCTTCGATGGCGACCGATCTTATATGTATTATTATCAGATCTTTTTATACTCAATAATAGTCGATTTAATTAATTTAACCCGAGTGGCTCTACGGAGATCGCGTCGGTCCAAAAAACCAACAATTAATAATATATGATATTTTCTTTTTTAAAAACTGTGAAACCCTAATTTTCTAAGGGCTACGTTTTCTTGCATTGCCCCCAGACAACACACCTCGATGGATCGAACAAAAGACAGATTATAACCATATGTAATCAATAATTAATGTAATTCTACATGGAATTATATGTGTAGGTCGGAACACATATCTATGTTGCAAAAAAATATATATATGTTGGATAGTATAGAGCATTTTTTTGTTGATATTTGATTTATATATTTAAAAAAGCTTTACAGAGATTTTTTTTTGGTTTTGAGATCCAAATGGAATTATTGAGGATATGTCTAGAGTTTGGCGTTGGCATTTCAAAGGAAGCGAAGACTCGAGGGGAAAAGGAGGGTTTCAGGTGATGGACAAATTAAGAGAAAGGAGCGCGAGTGGGATTTAAGCAAGGGTTAATAAGTGTGCAAGTCTGGATTTTTCGTTATACAATTACAAAAGTGGTCCTTAACCTAAACCCCATCCTTTCCTTCTTTCATTATCATATGCTAATATATGTATCTCTATACGTACACCTACTCTACGCCATCATTATCTTAAGCTAATTTGGTACATTAAACAACTACTATAAAGCGGGTTTGCGAAATCCTAGTTTAATCCCACAAAACAACGATTTAATAAACTACTTCGATCCGTTTTTGTTTGTCAGTTTAAACCATAGTATAACGTAAATTGGGTACAAATTTTTAAGGTCAGGATGTTATCGAGGGTCTAAGACCATATATGCATGTTGCGGTTGTGATTATGAAACTATTGCTATATATGAAAATTGGCTATTTTACTTGCTTTCGTTACCAAAGTGTTTCGTTTTCAAACTAGTGGATATTGCATATTATTAGCTTTGAAAGAAATCTGTAAATGATTTTGAAATCTCTAGCAGCTCCAAAATTAATGCCAATTAACCCCTTAATCAAAGAAAGTCGATACAAAAGTATATACTGAAAAAGAGGGCTATCAATTATAAAACGTGATTGTATATTTTTTGAAATCTTTATGATTATATAAAGTATTATAACGGTAATCATTATATTTTGTACTGTCAAAAAAGGAATAATATATATGTTATATAACAGTACTGGTAAAACTCATGTCTGATCCGTTATGCGTTGATCTCTAGCTACACAACTCGAGCTACCGATATCAAGTAGAAACAATTAGAACAGATAACAACTATATGATCTGTTAAGACGTTAAACATTTTACATGCATTGAAACTGTTATTGCTATTTAGAGGATAATTAACACTGTCTATACTTTTGGAGAAGAGGATTTGTTAGCTGAATCTCTCTGGCTATCTTGCAGTTTGAAGATCGATCAAAATCAAGTTGATACATTTTTATAGTTTCAATTCAAGTATAAAATTTAGAAATGGTTGATAGGAATTGAAGAGTGGGATATTAAGAAATAGGGAGGTCCCCTTGGCTAATAGGGCATAGCTTGGAAAAGGACGACGCTACGGTTTCCTCGTAATTTCTTGATATTTATTGTATTGTTCTTTCTTTTTCTCTCTCTCTTTACAAGAAACTAAAGAAATAGTGAGTTGATAATATGTGAATATTAACATGAAAAAACAGATGTAAAAAAAGAACAAAAACAAATAGGGTTCATTTATATAAAGAAAGATTTAACCGTATTCATGCCTTATAATTTGTTGTGTTTCGCTATATTTGCCGATTTTTGGGAAAATAATTTTATCCGTCATATTTGTTTTGCTGATATTATTCAGCATAATACTATAATCTATACATATTAGTAGGGGCATCAGGCGACAAACCAAAAATTAGGGGCGTCATATTATATAAGATGCGCATATAAAGCAACACAACCCATTGTATTTAGAAAGTTTACAACGAAAAGGAGATAAAGTGATAAAAACCATATGCAAATGATTATGTATAAAAGCAAAATTTATCACATGCAATTTGATATATATTATTGTAGTTTTGATTAAGATACGAAAAAATAATCATATAGTAGTGTTGATTAAGATTCGAATTGAATCAATAACGATAAAACAGAAGAAAACAATGTACCGACTAGAGCTTTTGTGTCCAACCAATTATGTACTAAGGATGAGATATTGGACCACGTTTATGAATGTTCCATTACCTACTGCTTTATGTATAATTTCACCTATTTATTTATCTTATGATCAAATTCTTTAAGCCAAACTTAATATTGTAAGCTCAGCCGTCAATGAAATTTTTTGATATACTGATACTAAAAAATTAAAACGTCGGTTAACATGAAATAGACTGGTACAATTCTATTTTTAGTTCTAAGCTTTAATCATTAACCAGCCATTGATTACTGCTAAGTCGCTAAGCTAACCGAAGCCGGAGGAACATGAAGAGTGCTTATACGATTAATATTGACAAAACATGAAAACAATTAATAATTCCTTATTAAGTATATGTGGGTTCAAGTCACTAGTATGTTGTAGAGCAACATATGTAATGCTACTATACTAACCTTGTTACATGGATTATAAAAAAACGTTGTTAATTACATGCAGTTAGAATGCGCTGGAACAAACAAAGGTATCGATTTTCGTTTTATGCGAAAAGTTTATATATCTTGAGCCATAAACAATACGAAGTCTATATTTTTTATTTTTATTTTGGATTGGTTAAAGAGGTTCCTATTTGTTTCTCTCTCATATATAGATGGATTTTATGATGTTCCAAGTGATCATCATGATTTTGTAAATTCCGTGGAATTATACTCATATGCACTGTATATATACATGATCGGCAATTCACGAACCGATGGACAATATTCAGGATTTTTCAAGTAAATATAATATATCAGCTATGCAATTGTACATACAATGGTTTTTTTTTTCTTTTTTAAACATCAATTCATTATCACACGGTAGAAGCTAATACATCACAGATTAAACTTTCTTTTTGTCAACTATATATACTGTCATTATTTAACCAGAAAAACTATACTCATTAAATTTGTGTATCCTATTTTTAAATTTTTGAAGATTTTTTTTTATTAATTGGCCTGGCCAATTCTTTTAAAGAAAAAAGTAATTAATCGAACAACCATCATACTAAGATGGCGATTGATAGGTACTTTTAATTTCATTAGTCATAACTTTGAGAAGGTACAACAACAAATTAAATTTTATATTCTCAATCGGGAAATGCGTTTTTATATCTTACAGAAATTACTTAAACTTAAACTAGCTATATAATATTGATAGTAGACCGTAGATTTAATTTAATTTACCTGTGAAATAACTATTTTAGGTTGAGGATGTTACGTATGTTATAGCTCAGTTGTTAAGTTCTAAATTCTAATCTTCTGCCGACCAAAAGAATAAACTGGTCCTAATTTTCTATTATGGTAAGTTTTGGTGGTCTCACAGACTCTCAGCCCCAAACAAAAATTCTCTCGCATAATATTTGTCAAATAATAGTATGTTTTATAATTAGCGTGATTATAAGTTTATAACCGAATCAATTTTTTGATTGAACTATGATTTTGAATTTAATTATCTATATAAATAGCAAGGAGCGCACAAAGTAAAAACGAAACAAAAAAGGGGTTATTGGATTTTTCAAAAAAGGACGGGTAAGAGGTATAAATGTGTGACGAATATAAAAAGAATCTCTTACAAGTGGGGAAAAGTATACAACAAGTGTTGCAAATGGCAATAGTAAAACATGTAACACTCTCAAACAAAAACCCTCACACACACAATAGTAGAGTATATATGTGTGTATATGTATACACGAAGAAGAAATTAAGAGAGACCAGAACAAAAGGTCAACAGTAACGACCAAGACTAAAACAACATGCCAATCTTGTTTTTGTGAAACCAAAATTGCAGCAAACCTAGAAAAAAGTTCCCCTTTCGATAATTAGCATTTATTAGGGCGAGATTGTTTATTAAACTAAGTACTTACTGTATTAATCATTTGATTGTTTATACTCCACTAGCTTAAAGATTCTAATAATTTAAAGAAAAAACAAAAAGTTCTCCCTAAGCCCACGACATTATCATCTCCCTTCTCCTCATATCCCAACCATCCACGACCTGTATTCGTTGGACAAATCTGATTCTTTTTTCGATTTGGCAATAAAAAATAATTTTTTTTGGGAAATTAATTAAAGGAATATTTATGCAAGGGATGGAAAAAAACCAAAAAAAAAAAAAGAGAGAAGAAACTAGGATAGTGGTAAAAGGACAATAAGGTCACATGAATTGAACCAGATTATCCATGGGTCCCTCTAAATTGGTTCTCTCTTGCCCATATCTCCATCATTCTCATCATAACATTATAACATTCATGATTTCTCTCCTTTCTTTTTTCTCTTTCTCATTCTTCTTCTAAAAAATCTTAACAAGACTTCATTTGTTTTCTTCCTCTAGATTTCAAAGAGCTAGCTATCGCTGAAAACAGTGAGAGACAGAGAAGACAGAGAGAGAGAGAGAGATGGTGTTGATGGTCAGTGAAGTTAGGCAAAAACCAACTTTCTATTTATGTATAATTAGGTCAATCACATCACCAATTTAACTTTTTTCCTCCTCCAATTCTCCTCCTCTCCTAACAAAATTAGGGTTTCTTGCTTCTCTACTCTTTTCTCAGATTCCGAAGTCATTTCATCGGAATTCTCATCAGAAAACCATCGAATTCCATTGAAAAACCCAATCTTGGCCAACAGCATTAATCAAGAGATACTGAATTGTAAAGATGATGACGAATTTGTCTCTAACAAGAGAACTAGGAGAAGAAGACGAAGAAGCAGAAGCAAAGAGGCCCGTGGAAGAAGTGGAGAGAGAGCACATGTTCGACAAAGTGGTGACTCCAAGCGACGTCGGGAAACTAAACCGACTCGTGATCCCAAAGCAACACGCAGAGAGATACTTCCCTTTAGATTCATCCTCAAACGAGAAAGGTCTGCTTTTAAACTTCGAAGATCTCACAGGAAAATCATGGAGGTTCCGTTACTCTTACTGGAACAGTAGCCAGAGCTATGTCATGACTAAAGGTTGGAGCCGTTTCGTCAAAGACAAGAAGCTTGATGCCGGAGATATTGTCTCTTTCCAGAGATGTATCGGAGATTCAGGGAGAGACAGTCGTTTGTTTATCGATTGGAGGAGAAGAGCTAAAGTCCCTGACCATCCGACATCCATTGCTCACTTTGCTGCCGGAGCTATGTTCCCTAGCTTTTACAGTTTTCCGACAACAACTACTTCGACAAGTTACAATCTTTATAATCATCATCACCAGCCACGTCATCTCCAAAGTAGTGGTTATAGTTACCCTCAGATTCCGAGAGAATTTGGGTATGGTTATTTCGTTAGGTCAGTTGATCAGAGGGCGGTGGCTGATCCGCTAGTGATCGAATCTGTGCCGGTGATGATGCACGGAGGAGCTCGAGTTACTCAGGCGGTTGTCGGAGCCGCCGGGAAGAGGCTGAGGCTTTTTGGAGTCGATATGGAATGTGGCGAGAGCGGAGTAACCAACATTACGGAGGAAGATTCTTCATCTTCCGGTGGGAGTTTGCCACGTGGCGGTGGCGGTGGCGGTGGTGCTTCTTCGTCTTCCTCTTTGTTTCAGCTAAGACTTGGAAGCAGCAGTGAAGACGATCACTTCTCTAAGAAAGGAAAGTCTTCATTGTCTTTTGATTTGGATCAATATTGATGATGAGATTAGTTGGTATATATATCAAAATTAAGGAATACACATAATTCTCTTTCTATATATATATGAGACTACTTAATGCACTCGTTATAAACTTAATGCATAGTCCATACAGAGAAATTTTATGGAAATTATATGGATCCGGATAGTCTTTTGTTAAATGTTCTTTGAATATATTGATTGTGTATATAGATGAAGTACCTCTAGCATTTTTAACTCTTTTTTGTTTCGTTTGTCTCAAACTCTCATCATCTATCATTTGATTAAAATACATTTGGCAAAACATATCATAGGCTATGTAACTGTATGGAGTAGACAAATTTTGGTACAAATAAGTGAAATTTATAAGAAGAGACATGAACTAGGATTGGGATCAGTGTAAACCCATATCTCTCTTGTATGTCTCTGTGGTCAGAAAGTTTCAGAGTTTGATGGGCTGTCTTAGAAAAGTGAATTGTTTCTATATAGATTTATTGCATTTTATATATATATATATATATATATGCATCATTAATTATTGTCACTGCAATTAATTGCTTATGGGTTTCTATGTTTGGTTACTAAATATGGCTGCTGCTGCTGCTTTTCTCTGAAGCTATTGCTGGATATTAGTTAGGCAGGTAGACTTGCAGGAGATGGGCAGTGACAAAACAATAATTTTTTTAAAAAACTTATTTCTTTATATAATTATAGCAAAATAAAAAAGAGAAAAAAAACTTTTTTTTTTTCATCTTGGGGCGATCGAAAAAAGGTCTGATCTGTTTTCACATATGTATTCCGATGAAGTAATTAGTTATTAAAAAAGCTAAAGGCTACGAAACTAATAAAATTAGCAAACAGTGTTTTTTTCAGTTATGTAATGTATTTTTGGTTTCTCTTTTCGTCTCCTGGTCTGAACTCTGCAATGTCTATGTCTAGATAACATTTCTGAGACACAATTAATGTAAATACATGTTGTGTTTATACACATACGTAAGACGTGTGTTGATATTTATACCATATACGAGCATCTAGCTAGTAAGATTTATCACATGTGCATCTTTACCATGTAGCTAGCTAGTTAGATCTATATTCATAGATTTATCATAATGGTTGCTGTTATAATGCATATATTCGATTAGTCGCATCTCAAACGTTAGGTTTAGGGTTTATTTATATATGTGGTATATAGCTAATTTAACTCGCCTTATAGGCTCGGAATGGAATATTGATGATGAAGTTGCAAAAATGCATTTGCATGTATCTAAGTCGTGAAATCAATACATTATTATCATCACAAACACATGTTTTTGTAAGTCATTTGTTTCCATAGTTTTTACATCATCTCAAATTCTCAATATAACTTTTTAGTAGTCTTAATGATAGTTTTCCAACGGCTCCCCAGTCCCCAACGTCCATAGACTCCATACTTAGTCTTCTAAAATTTATTTGTCATTAGTTAAGACTACTGTATTATATAACTGAAACTAGAGAGAAAAATAGTTATATTGAGATGATGTGAAAACGAAAACCTAGTTTGAGGAGAATTTGGGATTAATTTTCTCGACTTTGTTGGCGGTAGAACTCACAAGACAAACATGCAGTTCTTGATTAAAACATCCAAACGTTTCGGCGTTTATTATTCGACTTTGATTTTTGATCCTCGGCGCTTGCACTCTTCCGGTATTTTTTAACTCAGTCCCTACACTAACTATTTATATACTTTATTAGCTTGAAAATAACTCATCAGTCCCTTCTTCATATCAGCTGATGCGAACATGACATACACACATGACACATATAATACATCCTAGGTGCTGTCAAGAACTTTCATAATTAACATGTTAATCAACATTACACCATTGGAGAAGAAACAATTGCCGCCGCAGGACCCATACCCATATTTGATTAATTAAGCATGAGTTTGCGGCTTTTAGTTTTGTTTTTTAATTAAAAAAAACTGGCTTTTTGTTACCACTGATTCAATATGACCCCTTTACATAAGCATCCAGTATTAAACTTCAATATATATATATATATATATATATTTTTTAAATACATGTTGTAATGAAAAACGGCCCGATGTTTTAATTTTGTTTCGCAGCTTATCTAAAACTTAAATCTGGTTCTGTCCCAATCATATGCCACAACTATCCATCCCCTACAATTATCGGCGTTACCATAAAAAAAAAAAGAAGGAAGCAAGTTTATATATTTCACGATATGTAGACTGTAGTTACATAATTGTCTACAATTGTTCAGTGTCGTTTATAATTTCCTATCTAAGAAACACCGTCGAATAAAATGCATATTGTTCTTCTTGATTACCTTCTGATCCTAACTAGCTACGTATTATTGTAATTTGTATCCATGGAAATTTTATCCATAAAGTAGCAAAAATAATCTTTTAAAAAAAAATTATAGTCATAAGTATTGTAACTCTATCTGTTTTTGTCAACAACAAAGTTATGATCTCCAAGCGGATGATTGGCCAGCACAATCAATAATGAATAACATTTTATTTAAAATTCATAATATATGATTGAGTGGAACATGGAAAGGGTGAGAGTTTTGCTTAAATAATGAACACTCTTGTTTAAACTCCCGGATATATTTTTATTTTGTATTTGATCACGGTCATTGCGACAAAAATAGGTCCATAATTAAACTGCAACACAAATCAGTTAGATTCAATGTTTTTGTGACAAACCATGAAGAAACAAAAAACATTTTTGAAGATAGCCAATTATGTTGTGGTTTGTCTTTAGATCTTTTCAAAATTATTTCATTCTTGAAAATTAACTTAGTTTTGTTTTTGTTTTCACAAACCATATGACTTGTGTGTTAATATTTTCATATTACGTTGAGCAAACATACATATGACAAAAAACATTTTGGTATGTTCGATTTGCACCATAGATAGCCATTTGATCACTCATATATTCTTGTCATTGACAATATAAATATATTTTGTAATTTAGTGGAACATAACGATCAGTGCATATATAAATGCATTTTACAAAAGATAAGCATAAAGATTTATGTAAAACATTTAGTACATCATTTGGGCAAAAATTTGTTATAGTGATCCCTAATTATGAATTTCAAACGGTTTTCATTCCCTAAAGTTTAAGTATATTGAAATTTTAGTACATCAATAATTCAAGTTCCAAATAATTCTTTAATGATTTTTAAGTTAATGAGTTCAATCACACACAAGAAAAACAAGCATGAAAAAAAATATCCAGAACTTAGTAAATTTTAACAAATAATAGTTTTAACAGCCCTAGAAATGTTCATTGCTCTGAGGAGTATTTGAGGTGGGCACAACAGCCACCAGGGTTCATGCAGACCTTGCATGTGGGATTCTGTGATAAGCAAAGGAAGAAGCTCCTTAGTTTCATCAGTGTTTTACTAGTATAAATCAAATTGGATAAAGAAGTTTTAAAATGATACAGATAATCATCTTGTGTTTTAATGAGTCTGAGAGGAAACATGGGTATTTGAGAAAAATGGCAGAAAATGATTTAGTTGAAGAGTATAAAAAGCAGTTTTTGTGTCGTAAGAAGGTTTTGATCCCAACTGCCCACTACTGAAACTATTTCTTCAACATTCACAAGATTGATTGAAATTGTAGCTGTTCATGCAACAGAAGTGAGAGAAATCTGTGAGTTACCATCTGACTCCATTACTCGAGGATTTAGGAGAACAAGAAAAAATACACTAATAAGAGAGCAAGAAAAAAAATTATTTTAATGCGAATTTAATTTACACAAACCAAACGAAACATGTCAAAGGATAAATAATAATGACAAGAAAAAAAAAATGAACCAAAACCATGCCAATAATACACAATGAAAGGATCTCTAGAGACCCTATTAAAACAAACAACAAAGTAATGACAATGTCTTCAAGTGTTTTTGTCTTTAATGGTAGCAGAATGAGACTTGAACCATGGAATCCATACGGAGGTTGTCTTCTGATAAGCTCTATAAGCTTGAGCTCTGTATTCTTGTTTCACCATACGACGCTCAACAAGAATTGTTACATAGACTAAACATAGAGTATTGACCAATGCACCTATAAAAGTCCATCCTTGACCAAGGTTCCAAGCAAATATGACCAATCCCCACCACCACAATTGTTCTCCCAAGTAATTAGGATGTCTAGAGTAACGCCACAAACCCGAGTCGAGATTGGGGATTTTGGGATGTCCTTGCTCCTTGAGTTTTTGGTTTCCGGTTACAAACTCGTGAAGCTGCGTGTCTGCGTAGTAGGCCATGACAATGCCCGTCAAACAGATAGCCGAGGAAATCAAGTCCCAGATGTTTAGTGGCGCATCAACGGAATGGATGATGTACAAAGGTAGACATATCCCAATGAGGAAGATCTTTTTGAAAAGAAACAAAAGAAAACGAAATAAGAAACAGAAACAAAAATATCAAGAGGATACGTAGAGGTAGAGAATGCATAACGAAAAGAATCTACTTTTCTCCAAATCATCCATCATCATAAAGGCATTTAGAAATCGTAGCAATAATTCACATAGTTAATCAAGATCTCTGCTCCTCTGAAAAGCAAAGCTCGTTCAGGCAAATCATCGAACAGTTGGTGGATAAAAATTACCTGCTGCGAGACGTAAACGGAGAAGAACGAGAGCCACCACCAGTGTTTCCCGTACTGCTTCCGTAAGTCGTTGAACCTCCAGTCTTCTCTAGCACCCCATTCCCAGTTTTCCCGCCGGAAATAGTTATGAGTCAACCTAATACTCCAGATCCATGTCTGGATTATGACAATCATGGATCTCCACTTATTGTATTGCCCCAATGGATGCGATGCGAAGTAATGAGCCAGCATCACGGGTATCACTGTCCAGTACACATCGATCATCTGCAAAATCAAGAAAAATAAAAATCTGACATTTCAGAAAGAGATCAAATTGCAAAAATAAATTGTGATATTTTTCTGGGTATGTGTGTACCCAGTGGCTAGATTGGAGTAAACCGATGACCCAGAAGAGCACATTGACGTTGAAGAAGAAGAGAAGGTTTGCCAGTAGAAGCGGGTGATTCAAACACCACGAATGAATAAAAGAGAGCTCGGAAGTGGAGGTGGAAGAGTAATTACGGAGAAATGAAATGTAGAAGACGATAGAAGGAAGTGGAGCAAGGAATGCGATAATGGCGTTTCGTAAGTTCCGATTCATTTTTCTCGTCGTTGATGGTTGGCTAATACAAGCAAAGAGGAGAGTGTGCAATTCCCTTTATATAATAAACTTAGCTAAAAAAATAACTTTTTCTTTTTTGGGCTTTTGGGTTGAGTTCTCTGTGGCGTGTATGGGCCCACTTTGATCACTGCTCTGCTATGATGAGAGTCTTCTGTTTAATTATACTTTTTGGTGAAAATTAAAATATACTACAAAATCAACTGTTGAAAAAGTTTACCTTTTGGTAAAGGAGCCGAAAAAGTGAGTGATTTTAACAAATAATTCAAATCGAATTGGACAATGATTTTTTTATCGTAATGATAAGGATGGTTTGAAATCTGTGACTATTAACAATATCAAAAAATGAAAGTAACAGTGTAAAGCATACACTAATCGATATATAAATCCAAAATTGTGTAATATAAGTGGTTCAGCAAAAATAAGACGGATATAATTATCGAAATTCAGAGAGAATCACAATCATCGTGAATTCGTGATTATACTACTTTATTATTATATATGTATGTAAAAGTGAATATATATAATCACTAGGAGATAATTAGCGTTGCTCGTGGTGACTCTAATTATTAGCTTAGCCGAAAGCATTGGATTCTAGTTTCAGATTCTTCAAATTAAAATCAATAAATTTCAATGCGGTCCAAATTTTGAAATTTTAGTATGGTTTAATACGCTATACATTTTCTTACACACCATGAGCTAGTTCGATTCCAACTGTGAACAAATATGGAAAACGACGACGGCTGATGAGAACGGCGTCGTTCTTATATGAGAGCCCAAATTTGACCGGTTTACTAATTTGATAATATATGACCGGTATCGAATTGACCAAAACATGAAGGATCGAAAACCAAAAATGCTAGACTCAAGAGTCTAGACTAACAAGCGAAGGATTAGCGTATCGAGATATCATCTCATCGGGTGTCTCCGCCGTCTTAAATCGACCTTGTCGGATTCCGAGACGACGAAGCAGGAGTAAATATGTCTGGGAGGTTGCTGAAGAAAGTTCTCAAGGAACATGAAGAATCGAAACACAGGAATCATCACGATGAAGGGGAGGAGGAAGAAGAAGAAGAAGAAGAAGAAGACGAGAATCTTGATGGTTCGAGAGGCCGTTCTTCGATTAATCCTTTTGATCTCTTGAACGAAGGTGATGAAGATCCTGACTCCGAAAAGGTCAGTCTTTTGGATTTTTACCACCAAAAATTTGACGATTAGGTTGTTTGGTCGATTGTAGTATCTGGAATCATGTCTTATGTTTATATCAGCATATGTCTTCATAAGAGCAATCGTAGATGTCAAATTGGGTATAAGTTGATTCAAATTGAATGCAGATAGTTGATCGTAGATGTTTCTAGTTTTTGATGTGTGGAGCTTATCCAAAATGCTTAATATGTATAGCACTTGGGGGTTTGATTGCAGGAGATAGATATAGATGATGAGTCTATAATTGAGATGAAGAATGAAGATGCTGATAATGTGCAACCGGCTTCAAAGAATAAGTCTAAGAAAAAGAAAAAGAAGAAAACCAAAGAGAGTCGTTCTAATGTGGCAAAGCCTGAGATCACTTTGGATGAAACTTTAGAAGCACTTTCTCTCGATGCTAACTCTAAGAAAGAAAAGTTTCAGGAAACAAAACCACCTTCTGATTCTGCGAAAAGGGCTTCTTCACGATCCGTGCTGGAAATAGATCCCAAGTATCTAAATCTTGAAAACGAGTTGAGGAGAATGTATGGTTCAAAGGTCGTTAGATCACTTGAGAGTAGCAGTCAAGCTGGTGGTAGCTCTAGACAGGGACGAGTAGGAAGACGTGGAATCCATCACATCACAAAGACGGTTTTGATTTCTCCGATGGAGAATTGGTCTCGCTGGGATCGGTCTTTCTCAATGGAGTTTCTAGAGACTAAAGATGGATACAACTACTTCAGGTACACAGATTTTTGTTTTTGTTGTATTTTTGGTGTGTGGATATAGAGATTGTAACTCTGATGGAAATACACATTCCTTTTTATGCACAGATATACCCATTCATCCACATATGAGCAGGCTCAGAGGGCATTTCAGGCCGCACAAGCCATTCATGATTTAAACGGTGTAGCAAGTGTCCTTATAAACCATCCTTACCATATTGATTCACTTATAACTATGGCAGACTACTTCAAGTTTGTGGGTGAGCATCAAATGGCTGCTGATGCCATCGGAAAATGCTTGTACGGTTTGGAGCGCGCGTGGCACCCAATGTTCACTCCGTTCCAAGGTAACTGCCGGTTGAAGTTTAGTCATGAGACAAACAAGCCGTTTTTCACGACGCTTTTCGCTCACATGAGGAACATGGATAGGCGTGGCTGCCATAGATCAGCATTGGAAGTCTGCAAACTCTTGCTTTCGCTGGACACAGACAATCCAGTAGGTGCATTGTTTTGTGTCGACTATTTCGCTTTGAGAGCAGAGGAGTATGCGTGGCTGGAGCAGTTCTCGGAGGAGTACCAAAGTGATAACTCTTTATGGCTCTTCCCGAATTTCTCGTATTCGCTTGCTATTGCCCGGGTTTACCTCGAGAAAATGGAGTCTTCCTCTTCCTCTGAAGCTGGTAGTCTTATGGATACTTCAAAGTCAAGCTCTTTAGATCTCATGATGCAAGCTTTGAAGCTTCATCCGACAGTGCTCAAGAAACTAGTGGACAAGGTACCTTTGAAAGATCAGGCATGGACAAAGATTCTCAAGCATTCTTACTTCCGATCAGAGCAATCAAAGAACCCGTCCTTGGATCACCTTATCAACATATATGTGGAGAGGAATTACCTTATATGGAGGCTTCCAGATGTCCAGAAACTGCTTCGTAGTGCTGCTGATTTAGTCATTGAGTCACTGGAAGAAAACGCAACCGAAGGAGAGGACTTCTTGCGTGCAAGGGAAGAAGCTTTCCCTGCTAAGAATAACGAGTAAGTATATTATTAAAAAAACTCACTTTCTCGATTTTCCTTTTGGCGAAAGCTGATCACATATGGTTCTATTCCATTGCAGGTACTCTCATTTATCAACACATGACTTCTCTGATTCGGTGCCGACTCTCCCACCAGACAATTTGCAGAATTTTGTGGCTGATCCAAGAATGGGAGGAGATCAAGTGGCTGCAGGAGTCGGTGGTCACCACCACCAAGCACCACCACCGCCACGTGGTTTGGAAAATCGGAATGCATTGGCTGTGTTGTTTGAGTCAATTCTTCCATGGGCACAATACGGAGATGAAGATGATGAGATTGCACATGATGCTGATCACCAGCCAGACAACAATGCCTAAATAAATGGGCTCTGTTAGGACTCTATGTGCTAAAAAATGTCGACTTTCTTTAGCCTGAGACAAACCAAGATCTGAGACTTTGAGTGACAGTTAACAGAACACACTTCAAGAACAGAGTTCTAAAATAACAGAGGAAAGAGATTGCAGAGATGATGAAATGCAGAAACTAACTGAAAGAAAAGGAGCACATACAAGTTTAACGAGTTCACGCCGTTAAAGGACGCTACATCTCGCCGAGGCTCACCTCGGAATCCACTAGAACCAATAGAGAACAGCTGTTACAACAAGAAGAATCAAGAGATCCGCCTAATGCCCTTCACTAGCACTTAGACACTCTTCGATTCTTACTTGTATCAAGAAAACTATTACAAAGCTTATGCTAAATAGAATTTTCTCTTAGCTACAATCTCTCTACAACCTCTCAAGTTCTCTTCTGTTCTCTCTCTATCCCAAAGCATCTTCCTTTTATAGTGCTTAGGCACCAAGGGCTTCCTCATGACCCAGCCGCTTGCTCCAGTCGATCCAAAACGCTAAACGCCAGTTGTTGTTTCTTGCTTTAGCTGTTGCAGACTGCAGAGCGTGACTTACTGCTTTTGTATACACGCGACAATAAGCCCTTAGAGGATAGACAATGCTCTTGTTCTTCCATTTTAAGCAATCGCCATTTCCCCATGTATGTGGTCCCAAAAGTAAGTTCACCTTTAGTTCAAAAAATAGTCACTGCAGTTAACTTCCATTTGTTACCGTTGGGTCATTCAAAGAAGAGACTTGCTCATCAAGACATTGTCTCCACAAATCTCCACCTGATGATCAAGTCATTTTCTTGTTCCTTTTGAGAGAGAGACGTTCCTTGAATTCTAGTTTCCTGGATCCCGGCCTCGGATTTCCTGAGTTTTATCACTCAGACCTGACCTGCAACAAGTTCAAAGCGGATTGAAACTTGTTCACAGGTAGAATCTTGGTGAAGATATCAGCTGGATTCCTTTCAGTCGAAATCTTCACAACCTCAACATCACCATTAGCAATCACTTCTCTGATATAGTGATGCTTGACATCAATGTGTTTGGTTCGCTCATGATGCACGTTATTCTTCGAGAGAGCAATAGCACTCTGGGAATCACAGTGAATCTCTACACTCCTCTGTTCGAAACCAAAATCCTTTAACAGCCCTTTAAGCCACAAAGCTTCCTTCACGGCTTCGGTCAATGACATGTATTCAGATTCCGTTGTGGACAGAGCGACTACTCTCTGCAACCCTGACTTCCAGCTTATGGTATTACCTCCCAATGTGAATACCAAACCTGTAATGGATCTCCTTTTGTCAGGATCAGCTGCAAAGTCAGCATCACAGTAACCCACAATCTTGAATTCAGGACTCTTTTTGTAGAACAATCTTGTCTTCAGTGTGCCTTTGATGAATCGCAGAACCCACTTTACCCCAAGCCAATGCTCTCTGATCGGCTTGCTCATGTATCTACTTATAATGCCTACAGGATAAGCTTGATCTGGTCTTGTTCCGATCATTGCGTACATGATACTACCCACAGCATTTGAATATGGAACAGACTTCATGTACTCTTCATCTCTTGCTAGCTTATCTTCGGTTGCTGCACTTAACTTCAAATGAGCCCCTAATGGGGTAGCCACTTGTTTAGCTTCTCCCATTCCATACGTTTCCAGAATCTTGTTCAAATACCCTTCTTGTGACAGCCACAAAACACCTTGTTCTCTGTCTCGAGTAATCTCCATACCCAAGATCCTTTTTGCAGCTCCCAGATCTTTCATTTCAAATTTGTTTCCGAGTTCCATCTTCAACTGATCTATAGCTTCCTTGTTTCGGGCTGCAACAAGCATGTCATCCACATAGATGAGTAGATACATCATTGAACCATCCACCAGAGACTTCACATAGGCACAATTGTCATGTTCACTTCTCACAAAACCGATCTCATTCATATAGTTGTCAAATTTTTCATTCCACTGTCGAGGTGCTTGCTTGAGACCGTACAAGGATTTGTTGAGAAGGCACACCTCATCCTCTTTAAACATTGACTCGTATCCTTCAGGAGGAGCCATGTAAATCTTTTCTTTGAGTTCTCCATGGAGGAAGGCGGTCTTGACATCTAACTGCTCAAGTTCAAGGTCTTCTTGTGCCACCACTGAAAGTAGAATCCTTATGGAGACATGCTTTACAACCGGTGCAAAGATTTCATGATAGTCTACCCCTTCCTTTTGAGCATATCCCTTAGCCACGAGTCTAGCTTTGAAGCGAGGTTCCTCTACACCAGGGATCCCTTGTTTATACTTGTAGATCCACCTGCAACCAATCACCTTCTGTTTCTCGGGCCTTAAGACCTTCGTCCAGGTGAAATTTTTCTTCTGAGAATTCATTTGCTCATCCATAGCTAGACTCCATTCCTTCCAGTGAATGTCTCTTTTTGCTTCTTGAAAACTATCCGGTTCAATTGCATCACCATCTTCAGTTGTGTATAAGGCTTCGGCATAATAGTCTTCATCATCAAATCTCCTCGGTGGTCTAATCTCTCTTCTGTCTCTGTCACGAACCAGACGATAACTAAGAGGTACATGATGGCTTCTTGATGCAGAGTCATCACTTGTTCCTTCATTTCTGTTCGGTGAGAGTGGATTTGATCTTGATGAGGACGTAACACCGGAGTGTTGCAGTGAGGCTCCACCTGAGCTAGAATCTCCTTCTGGCTCCAAGTCAAGATCAAGCAACGATCTGCAGGGATCATCCTCTTCAACTACAGGATGGTCATTCTGACTCTGAAGATCCTTGTAGACTGCATTTTCTTGAAATATCACGTTTCTGCTCACTGCACACTTCCTTTCTTCAAGTAACCAGACTTTATATCCTTTTACTCCAGTGGGATACCCCAGAAGCACTCCTTTCTTTGCTCTCGGACTAAGCTTGCCATCGTCTGTATGTACAAACACAACACAACCAAATCTCCTTAGGTAGCTGTATACAGGCGTCTTACCAAACCATCTCTTGTCGGGAATGTCATAATTGAGAGCAGAAGAGGGGGTCTTGTTTATGAGAACAACCGCCGTGTGAGTGGCCTCCGCCCAGAAGCGTTTAGGCAAACCTGAGTCACTCAACATGGTTCTCACCTTCTCCATAATTGTACGGTTCATGCGTTCTGCAACGCCATTCTGTTGGGGTGTGTATGCACATGTTCTATGCCTCTGAATCCCCTTTTCTTCACAGTAATTATCAAAGGCTTTGTTGCAGAACTCAAGACCATTATCTGTCCTGAGTGTCTTAATCCGTTTGTCACTTTGATTCTCCACCAAGTGTGACCATTCAACAAAACTCTCAAAGGCTTCATCCTTTGATCTCAGAAAATAAACCCATACTTTTCTTGTATAGTCATCGATAAAAGATATAAAGTACTGACATTTACCAAGAGACAGAGGTACGGATGGAGCTCCCCATAAGTCAGAGTGCACATATTCGAGTCTCTCTCTTGTGTCGTGTTGAGCCAGGTTGAACCCAACTCTTCTTGCCCTTCCATAGATACAGTCTTCACATGTATCAAATGTTGACACTTTTTTACTGTCGAGAAGACACTTTCTAGTCATGATACTCATGTATTTCTGACTCATATGACCCAGTCTCCTATGCCACAGCACCGTGTCATCTTCCCTTCTTGTTACTGCAAGTGACTCGTCAACTGCAGGTCTCCAATGAAGTAGATACAGGGTGTCAAATCTTCTTCCTGTCAGCAGATTTTGATCACCAGCTTTAATGCTGATATATCCATTTTCTGATTCAAACTTGTAACCGGCTTTCTCAAAGGTTCCCAAAGACAGTAGGTTCTTATCCATCTCGGGAATGTACCTCACATTTGCAAGTGAAACCGTCAGACCATCTTCGTTCTTGACTTTAACCGTACCAACACCTCTGACCCTGGCTAATGTCTTGTTTCCCATTCTGACAGAACCTCCTGCTTCTTCATTTAATTCATGAAACCAGTCCTTTCTATACGTCATGTGATAACTGCAACCGGTATCCATGATCCACTCATCTTCAAGATGTATGTCTGTAGATGACAAAGCCTCAGACACATAAAGCCCTGTCGCTTCAGCTAAGTTACCTTTCCCACTTGAGGATTCCCCCTTGTTGTACTGATCTTTTGCTTTACTCTGAGGTTTCCCTTTATTTGGACATGAACTTTTATAATGTCCTTCTTCACCGCAAGCCCAACATCCGCGTTTACTCTTAGACTTGGACCTTGCTCTTGACTTTCCTTTCTCTCTTTGTTCACTTCTTCCTCTGGTCTCAGTCTTCTCCTTGGCATAGAGACCTTCTGCTTGACCCTTTATACCCTTCTTCATAGATCCGAACTCAAGTTCCTTTGAGTGTATAGCTGCAACGACTTCATCAAGTGTTAACTCACGTTTTCCTGAGCTGTACTTGAGGGTATCTCTGAGCTGGTCAAACTGTTTAGGTAGTGACATCAACAAGAGAATGGCTTGATCTTCATCCGAAACCTGCACCTCCGTATTCTCCAGATCTTCTATAAGATGGAGAAACTCATCGATGTTTCCTTCTATGGAGATGCTTTCAGAAATTCTAAAGCTGTATAGCTTCTGTTTCAGATAGATCCGGTTGGGAAGGGCTTTAGACATGTACAGTTGGTCTAAAGCCGCCATCATTGAAGCTGCAGTCTTCATCTTTTTGACCTTCCTTAAGACTCTATCTGTCAGGCTCAAGACTATCGTACTCCGAGCCTTCTTGCATTTTTCTTCAAGTTTTTCTGGTTCATCCTTGCTCTCTACGCGTGCTTCCTTCGAGGTATCAGTTTCCTTGAGAGCTACACTGAGTCCTAGTATATCTAGGTGTGCCTCGAGCTTCTCTTTCCACATAGTGTAGTCTCCATGACCGTCAAACTTTTCCATCTCAACTCTTGACGATGACATGGTTCACGGCTTTGAGATTCAGACTTCGGAACCACAGATACCGCAACCTGGCTCTGATACCACTTTGTTAGGACTCTATGTGCTAAAAAATGTCGACTTTCTTTAGCCTGAGACGCAACAAACCAAGATCTGAGACTTTGAGTGACAGTTAACAGAACACACTTCAAGAACAGAGTTCTAAAATAACAGAGGAAAGAGATTGCAGAGATGATGAAATGCAGAAACTAACTGAAAGAAAAGGAGCACACACAAGTTTAACGAGTTCACGCCGTTAAAGGACGCTACATCTCGCCGAGGCTCACCTCGGAATCCACTAGAACCAATAGAGAGCAGCTGTTACAACAAGAAGAATCAAGAGATCCGCCTAATGCCCTTCACTAGCACTTAGACACTCTTCGATTCTTACTTGTATCAAGAAAACTATTACAAAGCTTATGCTAAATAGAATTTTCTCTTAGCTACAATCTCTCTACAACCTCTCAAGTTCTCTTCAGTTCTCTCTCTATCCCAAAGCATCTTCCTTTTATAGTGCTTAGGCACCAAGGGCTTCCTCATGACCCAGCCGCTTGCTCCAGTCGATCCAAAACGTTAAACGCCAGTTGTTGTTTCGCTTTAGCTGTTGCAGACTGCAGAGCGTGACTTACTGCTTTTGTATACACGCGACAATAAGCCCTTAGAGGATAGACAATACTCTTGTTCTTCCATTTTAAGCAATTGCCATTTCCCCATGTATGTGGTCCCAAAAATAAGTTCACCTTTAGTTCAAAAAATAATCACTGCAGTTAACTTCCATTTGTTACCGTTGGGTCATTCAAAGAAGAGACTTGCTCATCAAGACATTGTCTCCACAGGCTCTCTACTGAAGAATGTTACGAGTTTTGGTTCGTTAGAAGTAATATAGTTTGCAAAATGTTTCGTTGATGATGAGAAGAGATACACTTGTGGCCTTGCTTTTCTTGTACAGCGCCATTTTGACGAGTTATATTAGTCTTTTAAGAATCATTATGTATTTCGACCCAGACAAATCAAAAAAAAAAAAGGGAATCATTGAGTACTACTCGCGTGAGATTTGATACATCTGGAAGATTTGGGTCATTTTCGATTCTTTTTTTTTTTTTTTTTTTCTGGTGGAATCCTTGACAGGCTCTCTCAATTTTTTATTGATAAGAGTCAAGCACATGAGCTCAGTTTAGCTCGAGCCGATTCAGTCTGGTCAATATACGGCCACGTAATGTCGACTTCGCGCAAATGAAGAAATATCATCTTTCATTAGATGTTTTTTTCTTAAAAAAAATAAATGACTGTTCTGTGTTTACAACCCAGCAAAAACAGAACAAAAACACTGTTCGCTTCTTTTTGTCTGACCATCGTCTATTAGCTTTTGAGCTTTGAAGGTATCGCCTGAATTTTAAATTTCTGTTCACCCTTTTTCTTTTTCGAAGTTAATTACTATTCCGAGAAATTTTGTTTTAGAAAAAGCTGAATTTTGGAGAAGAAAAACAAAATCTGACTCTTGTGGGATAACTCTGTAAATTGTAATAGTTTCAGCCTCTTTTTTTTTTTATCTTGGATAATCTTTATCCATCGCACGTTTTGGGTGGTGGTGATTGTTAGCTTGAGGCCTCTTTTCCGTGAAGAAAATGGATCGAATTGCGTCTGCGAATTTCTCTTGCCCAGCGATTCCAATGCCTCGCGTCTGTAGAATCAAACCTTTTGGCCTAAGCATCGTTACCGACCATAGAAAGAGATTCTCGTGTCGAGTAGCTGTAGCTTCTGGAGATACGAAGGCTACGGTTTGGTCTCTGCACATTTCTGCTCTTCGTTCTATTTTCTTAACTGAAACAAATGGTTTGAGCATGTTCCGGTGATCACTCTCACTCAGGTCGTTGACAGTGAACTTGACTTAGAACACAAGAAACACAATCTACTGAGAGCTGTTCAAGAAACTCAACGAGGACTCACTGCCACTTCTGATCAACGATCTGTCATCGAAGAGGCTCTGGTACAGTAAATTGTGTTCGATTCTGTAGATGTATGGCATTGAGTGAAGATGTCGTTTTTCTTTCTTTCTTTCTTTATGAGTTTGGATTTGGTAGAAACTTTTCAGGTGACTGTGGAAGGGTTTAATGGCGGCGAAGCCATTGATCTAGTGAAGTTAGATGGAACATGGAGGCTACAATATACATCTGCACCTGACGTTGTTGTTCTTTTTGAAGCTGCTTCAAGATTTCCCTTCTTTCAGGTGGTGATGATCAGACAAAACAGAGAGACATTTTTCTGAGTTTTCGATTTTTAATTCTTTTTGTCGTTTTTGATCAGGTAGGGCAGATATTTCAGAAGTTTGAGTGCAGAGATCGATCAGATGGTGGGATCATCCGGAATGTTGTTCAGTGGAGTGTTCCAAGCTTGTTAGAGGTTTCTGCTTCTTCTCTACTTTTAACTCTTTCAAATTTCACATTTTCCAGACACAGTTACTGTAAAATGAATCCATGGCAGGAGCAAGAAGGTGCAACACTTGTTGTTACTGCAAAATTCGATAAGGTCTCTAGTCGAAACGTCTACCTTCAGTTTGAAGAGGTTAGTTGATTGTCTGTTTTCGAAGTTTTCAGTATAGTCTACATATCGCCGGAAGCAATCTAAACTCGGTTTCATGATTCTTTGCAGATAAGTGTTAGAAACATTAACATCAATGAGCAGCTTCAAGCTCTTATCGCACCTGCAATTCTTCCACGCTCATTTTTGAGCCTTCAGGTAAGAGAAAACTCTCTAGTTACCAATGCCTAGAAACCAAGACCTATCAAAGAGGATGACCAAGCTAAATAACTCCTTCAATGGTTTTCCAGATATTGCAGTTTATACGTACTTTCAAAGCTCAGGTTCCAGTAACCTCAACCAGTCCAGGAAGGTAGATGATAACTTCTTCTTTTTTTTTTAATTTCCATAACCTTTTTAAGATAAGTCTATGGATGCTTAAGATGTTCCTCTATTGCAGGAGATCTGTAGGTGGATTGTATTATCTGTCTTATCTCGATAATAACATGCTCTTGGGTCGATCTGTTGGAGGAGGAGGAGTATTTGTCTTTACAAAATCTCAGCCACTCGAGCTGTGAAAATCAAAAATTTCTGTAAACCTCTGTTTTTTTTTTTTTAACTGTATATCACAGAGATAATATTAACATTATGTTAGCAGATTCTGTTTATGTACAATCTATTCGAATTTAACTGGAGATCTTGTACAACAAAGCAAAAATGTCGACCATGGAGTATCATCAACCAAGCAGACTGTTCCACAGTTCTCTAAGAGAGACATAAGCCTGAGGACAAGGAACAGCCTGTAGCTTAATGTCGCCATCGATCAGTGCCTCTGTTACTAGACCAAGTCTCACCAACGTGCTTATAGCCTTCTCTACTCGCATCTCAACCTGTATAAGTGGTTTAGTGAGTCAGCTACAAGGTGTATTAATGTTGCTACTGAGAGTTGATGTTTTTATACAGACCTTTATTTTGAAATTGTCATACAGGAATCTCTCGCATCTATCTCGAACTCCTTGGTGAGACATATTCTGCAGGGAAATAATTCATTCATGAGCATCTGCGCAAAAGCTTCAACCATCCAAAAATGAGGCAATGAGACATGGCATTAAGCCATTAAGACAAAAGAGTGACTGGTTATGTCTAACCTCATTCTTTCCCGCTTGAAGAATAATTGCATACGTCAATATTGCCTCCTTGTACTGCAGGGAGCGAGTGATTGGACCATGAGTAGTAAGTAAAAGATTTGTCATTGAAATTCCCTCATGCATATTTCGAAAGAATCAAAGGAGAAATGAAGGAGAACATGCCTGTTGCTGCTCCGAGGCATCCAAAAGGAAGTGGACAGAGCCAAAACCACTGGCTAAGGTTTTCTCATAAAGCGTCTTGTTCACTAGCAACTGAGGAAGTAGATAAAATGAAAGGGAGATTTTCAAAACTAGAACACTAAAAGCCATTGGGGTGAAGGGAGTAAGACTTTGGATTTCAACTCACTTGATATCTATCCCATGTCTGCTTGTAACCCAAAACCACACGTGTTGCATATATTACCAAAGCAGTGACGGCGATCACATCAAGAAATAGTGCTGATCTGTATTGCAAACAATGTGAAGCAAAGAGCAAGTCTCAACTCTCTGTTCTTGTAAACCAAAGTGAAATAAAGAGACGCGTGTATAAGAAGACATACGGGGATGATGAGATGTTCTCAAACTTGTAGTTTACAAAGTATGCCGTAAGTCCCAAAATACTGGCGATATCCAGACGTACCTAACAAAAGATTCAAAGTATTGGGTCAACATATATAAGATCAGTAAAGTTGAGTGCACAATTAAACCGCACTTACTGTATCTATGATGCGAAAGTAAAGCTTTCTGTGAGGGAAAATTACCTGCATAAAACAGAAGAAATAAAATAATGGTGAAATCTTCAGGAAAAAGCTTACTGTCATAGAAGAAACATGAGGAGGCACTCATGATGTCGATGTAATATTCTTACAGGTAAATCTGGAATCGGAATTCTTTCAAATATCTCTAATTGTAATGATGATCGGGTTTCATCTTTATTCTTATCGCCCTTTTCACTCGCATCCTTTGTGTAAAGCAAAATTAGCTCTTCAAATGCTGGCTCCTATTCACCAGAGCAAAAACATACACTAAGAAATGTGATCATGTGGCCATAGCTTCTGATTCATTCAAAAGAAGAATGTCTATTACATTTGCATAGGAAAACAATACCTGCAGAGTTGACGGTGATAAAAGAATGGAAATAGAAGTTTTTATCCTTTTCCAGATATCATTTCCGCAAGCTTTCTTTGAAGCAGGTTTCCATATATCACCTAGTGTCATCCTTGATAAGAAAATCGGCCTGAGTGAAGAATAGGTTTCTAGTTAGGTCAAAGGTTTAGGAAACATGGCGCAAAGAATTGTATGCTTGCTTTAAAAAGCTCAACGACATGCTAAACGAAGTGATAAAAACACATCAAGGAATTTTGACACTTGTTTAAGTGAACATATATGCAGGTTCATTCGGGCAATCAAATCCCAAACTAAGTCTTGAAAAACATATCTGATATTGACATAAAAGATTTACACAATCAGCAACCAGACACCAAAATATAGTTTAGTTGGAAAGATGACTGAGAAAAAGAAGCCACACACCTTAAGTAAGGTTCAGATGCATTACTATCATTAGCTAGCTGAGATGGTATTTCATAACCAGGAGATATGAAACCAATCCAAGTGAGCAACTTTCTGAAGAGCTTTTCGCGAGGACCAACAGGTGTGAGAAGCCCCTCATACCGACTGACCGCTCTTTGTGCTGCTAATCGCATGGGGAGGACTGAATCTGAACGGATATCCCCTTCCAAAAATTTGTCAGAAGTTTGGACTAGGTCAAGATATGATTCCTTAAAAAGAGATAGCTCCTTGAGCCAAACTTTCATTCTCTCTGACAAATCTTGAATTTCTTGAGTTTGAGAAGCCTCATTTAGTGCCTATTCATGAGAAATTTGGAGAAAAAAATGTCATTAAAGTTTAGCAACTAACAAATCTCAAAGGTTTTCCCATGGTCAAGTAACATAGCATGTGCCTCACTGAATAGGCGTCAGACCTTGTTTATCAATTTTCCAACTTTTCTCAGGGGTTTTGAAATAGTAGAGAAGATTCCTCGTAGAACTATAGACTGGATATAGTCTAGCTTCTCCACAAGTAACAAACCCTTCTGCTTCTCAGTTGCATATCCGCGCCTGTAAAGAAGATCGATTCATAAGCAGCTTCTCCATTAATGCACAAGGACCTCAAGGTTTGCAAATGGAACATGACTCAAAAGAAACCGGAAAAGATGCCCCACAATAAAGACATTTATTTGGACCACAAAACCTATTGGAAACACGGCAAAACCACAGAATGAAGGTAAAAAAAAAGTTACTAAATCTTCCTACATTGACCCAAGAGGTAATAGAAGTGTTTGCAGTATCCAAAACGCCTCAAAAAGTTACCTGAAAACAATAGCATTGGACTCTGACGCCTTCTTCCAATCAACGTATACAGGCAAGGTAAGAAGGTAATCCGTGTTCAGAGCCGACGTCAATGCCAAATCCCTAGCTGAAAGCTCTTCAAAACCAGCATTTTCGAGAAGCTGAATGAAGGAACGCTGGAACCGGGTTGCAGCAGTAACACTGCATTCAAATATCACCAAGCTATTTTCAGACATTCGTGGCACAGAGATCTTCATTTCTCCCAATTTAATCGAAATGTGAAAATACATGTATTCCTCTATATTCATGCGGATCATTTCTAATACCTTTCAGCCGAACGTCTCTTTGCATGTTTGCCAGAGGATATTAAAAGGTTCCAAATGTCGAAACCATCAGCCAAAGGGAATGATAAACCCTCGTATCCATTAACACTCCTGGGTTCAGATTTCTTGGCTTTGAAATTAATTTCCTCCTCTGAGTCAATCTCTCTACCTAGAGTAGAAGTTTCTTCGTCATCACCAATGTTCACCTCTTCCAGGGACTGAGTGGCGACGAAATCGGCTCTCATTTGCTCTAAAACCCTCTTGTGCTCCGCGTGAAGGATAGAGTCCAAGCACCTAAACAAAGGAGTACCAGAAACACAGGTCAAGAGAGAGTTTCAAATAATAACTACGATGCAATTCGCGTAAACTTAGGATTTATTTATAATCAGCTTACGAGGCAAGGAGGAGAAAGATATCAGCGTCTCCGTCTTGGGAATCAAGGAGCGTTGTTACGATGCCGTCAACGAGATCAGACTTGGAGACACTGATGTATTTCTCACGAGGAACATGAACACTCGAAATCCCCTCTTCCTCCTCCGAATCGTCATCCTCAACTCCTCCTTCACGTCCCTCTCCGCCATCTTCCGCCGTGGGAAGCTCCTCTTTCACCTTCCAGCCACCGCCGTTCTGAAGCTCAGTCAAGCTAGCGATCGCTCGTTCCGACTCGCCGGAGACTACATCAAGAGGCGAAAAAGCTGCCGCCTCGGTCAGTCGGCAACGAACTGGCCGGCGACGCAAAGACGAAGACGGCTTAGACCGCGACGGAAGAGCTACGAAGCTAGTGAGGCTTCGAAGGGAGAGCATATTGGATCTGAAGCGTTAGCTGAAACGAGAGATTCAGACACATTTGCGTGACCATTGAAGAAGAAAGAAGCCGGAAAAGGGATTTTGATTTGATTTCCTCCGCCCAGTGAACGAATAAAGACGAAATCGTGAATTAACGGCTCAAAACGACTCAGACGCGTCCCAGCCTATAACCACCGATCAACAGTTTTATCTCTTAGATTACTGTTAGATCAAATTTCTTTTTTAAAAAAAAAAACTGTGTGAAAATAATTGTCATCTCCTCCTAATTTGATGACTTTCTAAATTTTGAGTAAAAGATAAATAATACACTTTGATCAAATCCTCTGTTCAAACAGAAGATTAGATTTTGGATTTTCAAGGAAGAGAAATACAATTAGGCATTTTTTTTTTTACTTCTGGAAATTGAAAGATTGTTTGAAAACAATAAGCTAATTTTTTTCTTCGTTGGTAAATTCATCTATTGACTTTTTGTTTTCTCTCTGGATAATATTGACCAGACGATCGCCAAATCCTGCCTTCAAGCGACACAACCATCACCGAGACATCATCATGGTACTTCCTTCGATCTCCTTGAGGTATATCCAACAGATCATGAAACTCCATCCCTGCAAACAGATCACACGAATGCTGGTTTACTTTGCACATTAACCGGCTGGTTTACCAAAAACTGTACAAAAGCCATCATCATTCGATTATCCAAACTGTACCGTTCTTGGTGGCTGCTCGAGAGAGAAGCTCTGCAATGAGGTATTGAGCAGGATCGCCTTCAGGAACGTTTTCGATGAACCAAGTCACGTGAGCAACAACCTCTTCGTTGCTGAAGTATTCATACAATCCATCAGAGCATAAAACCAGGAAACGATCGCTTGAAGTGAGCCTGTGATGGACAGTACACGGTTCGCAGTTGATGTACGGATCTGTTCCAATGTAGTCTACTCGGAACATCTCAAGCAAAGCTTCATTGAAATTCGGCTGCAACAACCATGAAATGTTCACAAGATGAATGAGTCTATACATTAAGTAACTATTTGGCAATGAAAGTTTGAAGATTTGTCTCTACCTTTTTGAGAAATCCAGCACCGAAAGCTCGAGTGACTTTGAGTTGGCCTTTGACTCTGTCTTTGAGTATGGACTGGTCATCTTCTGGATGTTCGGATCTAATACGCGATACTTCCTGAAACATGTAACGAAACTTGCTTTTTGGCAAACCAGAGCTACATTGGAGTGTGCAAATCTTATTATTTCACGAAAACTAAGATTCAGAACAATACATATGCATTTACCTCTTCCACACTTGTGCTATGGTCACTTGAGAGTTGAACGGCTCTCATCTTTAACCGGTAAGAAGTTACATCTTTGTTTTTGTTTGAGACACTGATCTGAGTTGTTTGATTGTGTATTGGAGATTCCTCTGATATTCTATCCAGTTCCATACGCACAAGTGATTCTCGTGACCTACTCTTATGCCCCATCCCCTCATCACTTCCAAACCCGGGATTAGAATGACGATCATGGAGCCTTTCTTGGGCTAAGATAGCCCGACTATCCCCAACATTCATCACGTAAACATCTTGGTCCTTCATTAGCATTACGAGAACACATGAACCCATTAGAGCAAGCTCCGGGTTTATGTTAAGAGACTTTTCTACCATTTCCATGTAAGCCTCTTCAGTAGTTTCTAGTGCTCTAGCCATTGCTCTTAGAACAGCATCATGGTCTACAGTTCCTGACCAGCGTCTCCTAATCGGTCTTGACGACTCCGCTATCTTCTCTTCAACGCAAGTCCCTTCTTCCCTGTGCCAATCATAACTCCAAGGAAACAGCTTTTTCCGCAAAGACTTCTGTTTTTGATACATTCTTCTTATCTTAGAGCTTATCTGTGATTTTTTTGTCCCATGGCTTGGTCCCGAGTTCGGAATCCCATCAAGGACACTACGGTTGGTGGTACACGGGTCATTTCCAGCTCCTCCACCCGATGTAGATAAATTTTCAACCTGATTGGTCGTATCATTTAGAACCACACTTCCTCCATGAGAATGTTTAAGTCCAATTTCTTCTCCATCCCACCGTTCCAATTGAAGTAGCTCGTAAAGTCTCGTGCTTTTCTTGCCAAGACCTGCTAGATTTCCAGGTGGACCATCAGCAATCTGAGTATCGGCATTTCCAAGGCTACTGTTATTATCAGTCATAACCTCTTTACTTCCTGCCAGTACTGACTCTGAATGATGCTCACTGGTAGTTTCTCGAACAAACGAGTTCTCTTCTGTAGATTGAGGTTCCTGCTCTGGCTGCAATGGATTATCTATAGATGACTCGTCATAATCCCAGAGAAGACCTTCCAATTCCTTGTCTATAGCTTTGTATAGGTGACTCATTACGAAATCTGGAGCATCCGGTCCACTAAACCCATCATATATCCCTATAAAGAGCCATCCTTGTTCTTCCGAAAGCACAACATGAACCCTGTCTTCTCCAGCTTTCCCATGAGCCCATTGCAAGTTACGGTTGCTCTCTAGACAACTTTCAGGGTCTTCCCCATGTAAATTACCTTCCTTTCCAACAGGCCATGAAACCCTAGTCTCTGGATGCAAGAAGAAACGATGCATCCAACTTAACCCTCCAGACCGTCTAGAAAATGTCCTTGCTAATGTACTTCTCACTGGTCCGCTTACACTTCTCATAAACCGCTGAAACCGAGGCTTTCTGCGTCTAAAAGCAAGCGGCGCCGAGAAATTAGATCTATCAGATGCATCAAGAGGTCCAGACATTACTCCTTTTTCTATAGGCCCTGACATGAAACCGTTGTTTCTATCCAAAGGACCAGATGCATAACCTCTCTCTAGAGGCCCGGACATGAAACCGTTCAAAGGTCCCGAACCACCACGAGGGACCGGCTGCAAAGGAATTGAAGCAAACGAGGAGGTGCTCTCAAATGAAGCAGCAGGCTCCAACACCTCACTTGAACACAATGCCATCTGATTCCCAGTCCTAGCCGTGGAGACATTGGCACTAACCGAAGCACCTGAGATTGCCTTAAACGTAGTTTCCCCCAAACCTTTACTGTTGTGTCTATTCAAGAAAGAAGGGTCATCAACGACCTCGTTTCGAAAAGATCCACTGAGTGTCTCGGAATCAAGGGTGCTTGAATCAATCGTGAACCTCTCCGAGTTAGACGGAGTTATATCCGGAGACTCGAAGATGCTTGGCCTAACGTAGCAAAAGGAATGGCCTAGACCTTCGTCTAAGGGTTCGAGAAACTCCAAATCAACGCCGTTTTTCTCGTTTGACGGCACGAAACAACCGACAACACGGGAAGTTCCGTTTCCCATCACTCAGGCAATACTACAAACACCTTTGATGCACAATCCCATGATAAACCTCTAAAGAGTCTCCGCAATTTCCAGCAGGTGATGTAACGGAAATTCTTATAAACCCTACAAAGATCCGACGGGTTTTGCAGAGTCCAAGCATCATCTGAGGTTCAATCTCTGAACATTGAAACGCAAACAAGCACCTGCTAGTATCAAATTGGGTTTCAAAAGGCGCAAACAAGAGAATCAACGGAATGTTCCCGAAATCTTTGGTTCAGAGCTCTTGAAATGGAAGCTTAAACAATTTAAACAGACGAAATCTTCAGTGATCTGACCTTTTCACCGCTGTTCAAAGCTTGAATTAGAAGATGGATCAAGCAGAATCTGGAAACAGATCTAAAGGAGCGCCAAAGAGACAGTGTATTGAACAACACATCGGTAGCAAATAGAGACTGTAAGGGGAAAAAACACCCCCGTCACAAAAAGTACCCATTTATAAAAAATTATACAAACAAAAAAACAGGAAAATTAAACGAGAAAATATAAATTAAAAAAGGAAGAAGACCTAGATTGAGATTGAACCATGCAGATACGACCAGCTGTTAAAGATCCAGTCTTTTCAGGAAAAACAAAAAAAAAAAAGCTAAAACCCAGAACGGTAGTTTAAAGTTTTCCCCTTCTTTCAAATATACGGAGAAACCGAGATTCAAAATCGACAAAACTAGAAACGTATGCCAATTAGATGAAGACGAAGAAGAAGTTTGAAACTGCAACTGGGTTTGATTTTGATTTTTTTCTAAAGCAGGCCAAGAATGATAATTTCAACTTTTTTTAATTTCTTTTTAGCTCATCGGTGAGCAGAGAAGAAAGAGGTGTCTTCTCTCTTTCTCGGGGTTTTCAAATGGTTTGGGAGGGTAAGAAAGAAAAAAAAAAAAAGCAGAGTTAAAAAAAATGACTAATTAAATCAAAATAAAAAATCAAAGATCAATAGGAAAGAGAAAAAAAAAATACAAACAGAGTAAAAGTTCTAACAATTGCGTTGAAAAATGCAAAAAGTGAAGAGCCTCTTTTAAAGGGTTTTTTTCTTTTCTACTATCGAATTTATAACAAAATGAAAGCTTTTAGAATTTATATTAATGGGGTTTGCAAATGATTGGAGGTATACAATTACAGGTGATTCACGTCATTATTGTTCTCGTTGATGGACCCTTTGCATGGGTTGAAGTTTCTTGTGGGGCCCGTTTTTATTCACACCGATTTTAATTTTTATTTATCTTCTTACTTATGTTTGTTTAATTTATTTCGTTCTTTTGTTATGTTCTTCAATTTTTTGTTTATAATTGGTTGCATTGAATCTTGCTCCTCATTTCAGAATATTTGACCAGTTTTAGTTATATTATATAGTTTGAACGTTGAAGTATGTTAACATTTTAGTCTTCTTTCTTAATATTTATCATTTTCTGGCTAGCAATTTCAAATCATATTATTTTAATCTCAACTGGCTCAAAATATTTTATTGAATGAGGCCAATTTAACATTTTTCGATGTCTGATATGCTAAAAACAACAATCTATACCGTAAAAATGCAACCGATGTCTTATTCATTATTTTTAAGTTACGTGATATGATTCGGGTTAACTTTTTGTTTTTACTGTTACAAAATACCAGAAATTTGGAAGATTGTAATTTGTAATGATGCCTAACATGCAAGAGAGACCAACTCCACGAGCAAATTGATTCGCATTAAATACAAATTTGTTGTTTGACTTACCAAATCCACTCTAGTTTCTGACTACTGACAAACTCTTTCAACGCCCAAGAAAGTTATGCTTATGGTTTCACATTGTTTGTTTTTGTTTTATTTATTTATCCGCATCAATGATTCACATATCCTAAACCGGAGCCATTATCAAATCATCCACTAAATTAACAAGTTACTTTATATATATTTTTGTGTCAACAGTTACTTTATATATTTTTTCTTCAATAAAACAAAAGTTATTGGGAGTAGACATCAATTCAATTAATCGTTTTGTTGGCACTAGTATTGGTTGCCTTTTTCATGTTTAAAGGAAAGTTCCGGCAGGTGGAGATTGTTGTAAGTTTTATATCAATCTTATGATCTGAGACATAAGTCGTTTGTCTTATATCTTTCAATGGTTCAATTCTAATCAGCTTCTACACTAGGACACAAGCAAATCCATGTTTCTTTTACTCTTGAAGGGCCTTATGAAGGTTGTACATCTAATCAGAGTCAAGCATAAATTCATTTTTTTAACTCATTAACATACAATTTTTATAGAAAACACTAAAAATTTGTCTAGAACTTGAACTATTAACATATTATCTAACGAATATTAAAATTTTAATGTATTTAAGGAGTCTTTAGGGGAATGAAATATTTTGAAATCCATAACTATCACTATCATAAATTTTTTGACAAATGAGGTACTAAAAATTTTACATAAATTTTGATGCTTAACTCTGGTATTTCATGGGTTTTAGATATGACCGACTTTTTCAATAAAAAAAGAAAGAAAAACACAAAAAGAAATTATGTTTATGTGTATATCCTTTCGACAAAAAATTATGTTCTGTGTATACTTTTCCAATATTACTAAAAATATGACTTCATCGTCATGAAATATATGCCAAGATTTGGTGCCTGATTTCATTATAGATTAGCTTATAATGAAGTCGTTACCATAAGATCTAACTTCTTTGTTATTTTTTTTACTAAATTACCTATCTGTGTGTGTGGCTTTTCATATATATTTTGTTCAAAAAGAGATTAAAATTTGGAAAATATATTGAAAAGCTAAATATCACTACATGAAATTATAAAACATCACTACATGAAATATAAAATTTAAAATCAAGATAGATTTTCTAAATGGACCAGATGGGTGCCAATAGTGAGCTGGGCGATATTGAATAGGCCCAGTAATTATAAAAGGCCTCGTTGCCTAAGATTGTGATTAGTAAGTGACTTAAGTAATTGAGGAGGAACATTCAACGACAGACACGCTCTTTGTCATGGTAATAAATGTAAATCCTAACCTGTGGAATAGCGGAATTGCGTTTTTAAGTTTTTGCTAATCAACAAAAATCTGCGTAATGAAAAAATATACACAAAAACGCAGACTGCGTTTTTGCTTAACAAAAATACAAAAGAAAAGTCATTTCGCAGAAAAGCGACTTATAAGTTGCTTAATCTATTCCGCAAGATTTTTTCCGTCATTCCGCCATTCCGCAAAGTTACCAATCAAAGCTTTGGCAGAAGAAAAATTAACTAATTTGCAAAAATTTATATCTACTCCCTCCGTTTTATAATAAATGTCGTTTTAGATTTCATTTTTTGTTTCAAAAAGAGTGTCATTCGGTATTTTTAATGTAACATTTTACCTTTATTTCTTGTTTTACCCCTTATTTAAAAATAATAGTTTTTATAATTAAATGTTATAAAAATATATTAATTAGGGATATATTTGTATATTTTATTAATTTTTTAATCTGTGTGAAATGTGTCAGAAAATTTATTATGAAACGGATGGAGTATTATTTTTAGAATGATATTTATTGCGGAAGGAAAGACATTTATTCCCAGATTTTCGGTGACGTAAATCAGTTATTACCAAAAAAAAAAAAAAATTATGCAAATGTGAGTGAGAGAATTTATATGAAAAAGCCCAAAAAAAGGCTTCACTCGCTATATCACACATGCAGTGAGAAGATTCGTCCATTGAAATCGATCTCAAGTCAAATTCTCAGCTCACGATGGCGGCGGAGACGAAGAGCGTGATGCGGATTGCGGCGGCGGTATGCTGGTTATGGCTGTGTTCCGTCATAGTTGTGGTTCGGAGCAAATCTAGCGATGAAATCGGGAAAGTGAGAGATACCGACGATGCGATCTCGCTACTCGAAAATCAACTGATGGTGACATCTTCTTCGCAGCTTCTCATGGTGCCTCTCACCTTGATTCAGGGAGCTTCCTCCAAAGGAACTGGTACGCTCTCTTTCTCTCTCGGAAATTTTCGAGATCCTTAGCTAGTGCTGATTTGAATCGTAAACCCAGATTCCTCTGCTCTCTTTTACTGTTGTCTGATCATAGAGAATTTGAAATTCCTTTGACTTGTTCCCCACATTTATGATTAAATGCAAACTTTGATGTCATTCTTTTGTTACGCTTATGTTGTGGCTCTTTGAATCTGTTTCCTAAGATGAAGTTTGCAAACTCAGTTTATTTACTGGATTGATTGAATATCCACATCGAACACTAAACTTGATTGCAGTTTGCCTGGATGGAACATTACCTGGTTATCATCTACACCGTGGTTCTGGATCAGGGGCTAACCGCTGGCTCATCCAACTTGAGGTATACTTTTATATATATCTAACTCTTATGAATGCTATCTTATTTGTATATTCGCTCATAATGCTAATGAGTTTTGACTATGAAAGATTCTTGGATGATTTCTTTTATCACTCTTCTTCTTTTTTTTTTTTTTTTTTTTTTAAATGTTTATTTAATTTGATGCAGGGTGGAGGATGGTGCAACACACGCAGGAGCTGTATCTTCCGGAAAACCACTCGGCGTGGTTCATCAAATTATATGGAGAAAGTTTTGGCCTTCACTGGAATTTTGAGCGATAAGGCTGATGAGAATCCTGGTTAGTACAGAATTATATATCATGAGCTCAACATTTGCTTGCAGTGAGTCTGAGTATCTTTTCCTCAGTTTCGTTTTTCTTTTTATGGACACTTTGCAGACTTCTTCAACTGGAACAGAGTTAAATTGCGTTACTGTGATGGTGCTTCTTTCACAGGCGATAGTGAGGACGAGGTTAGCCAGCGTATTACAGTGTTCTGAAATTTAGGATTTACCTTGGATACGCTATTTCACTATCTCCCTTTCTCTTGGCTTATATGTATTTCTTTTTTATTTTATCTAGAGTTCACAACTTTACTATAGAGGACAACGAATCTGGCAAGTAGCTATGGAAGAACTGCTCTCTAAAGGCATGCAAAAAGCAGAGCAGGTTTTTCATTTCTTCAACAGTTTATAGGATGTTCTTATGCATTTGTGACTCAGTAAATATCTATCACACAGGCTCTACTTTCTGGCTGTTCAGCCGGAGGATTAGCTTCCATCCTGCACTGCGATCAGTTTAAAGAACTATTACCGGGTACTACGAAAGCGAAATGCTTAAGTGATGCTGGAATGTTTATGGATGCGTAAATATCTTCAACTTGGTTTTGACTTTTATTAAGTTAAAACACTTCATCAAGTCTATGAACACATTGAAGCTTTAAAAGATTTTGATTGAAAATGTAGAGTGGATGTCTCTGGGGGCCACTCGCTCCGGAATATGTTCCAAGGTGTTGTCACAGTGCAGGTAATCTCAGAATCAGAGAATTTTCTTGTTGTAAAGGATTACAACGAGTTCATATTAATTATCTTAACGAGTTAAAGTTTTGTTGTTTTATTTCAAATTCTAGAATCTCCAGAAGGAACTGTCCACTACTTGTACAAAGCATTTGGATCCAACTTCGGTATAGTTCTCACTTTATTAATAATATATCCACTGGTCTTCCAGTGAAGCTTCAATTAAGACACAACCCGAGAATCCTTAACCTAACTCCTTCTGCCCTGTTTCACTTCCTCAGTGCTTCTTTCCCCAAAACTTGGTTTCAGAGATTAGGACTCCCATGTTTATTCTAAATGCAGCTTACGACGCATGGCAGGTTAATCCCTTTCTCTATTACAATTCTTTTCACTTCTCTATCAAACCTTCCATTCTCACAAAACAGAAGGAATGATCTCCGTCAGGTACAAGAGAGCTTAGCTCCTCCATCTGCCGACCGAGGTGGCTTTTGGAAAGCATGCAAATCAGATCACTCGCTTTGTAATTCATCTCAAATCCATTTCTTCCAAGGTGACTCCTTTTCTTCACATCTCTTTCTTATATAACTCTATATCTTTCTCATGAATTCAAATATATAGACTTCAGGACTCAAATGGTGGATGCTTTAAATTCTTTCTCGACATCGACTCATAACGGTCTGTTCATAAACTCATGCTTCGCACACTGCCAGTCCGAAAGACAGGACACTTGGTTTGCACCAGATTCTCCTAGGCTTAATGGCAAGGTAACACACATTTTTTTACAGTTCGTAAATGGTGATTTAGATTTCTGCAAATTTGCTTTTAACTTCTTTGTGTGTTGCTTGCTCCATTTATTTATTTTTTTTTTTGGGTGCAGACCGTTGCTGAATCTGTTGGTGACTGGTACTTTGACCGAACAACAGTCAAAGCCATTGACTGTCCTTACCCTTGTGACAAAACGTGTCACGATCTCATCTTCAAGTGAGTTAACAACATTTTCAAACCCATTACAGCTCCCTGATTCTTTCAACTATACCATAACATTAGTACAATTGTTGAAAAACACACAAACCCGCATCTCTGAAACCTTTTCATAATCTTTACATAATTTATGCAATACTCCTTGATTTTCGCTTAAAATTAAGTCACTATTGCGTGTCTTTTGTTGGTTTTTTTTGTTTTTGTTTTTTGTGCTTGAGCAAACAAACAATTGGGTTTAAAAACTTACTTGTTGTATATTGCTTACGATTTCAAGATATCTTTGATTGAAACAGCGAATCTTGTTAGTGAGAAGTTTCAGATCCTTGCATTTACAATATTCAATGAAAACAGGGGAAAAAAAAACTCTTTAGAATCATTGGACTTCAATACACAAAGCATCCGAATCCTACCCAAATCAATACTCTGCTTTTGATAAAAGTGACCTTTTTTTAAGGGTAAATTTATTTGGGTGCTTGGGCTTTTCATTCTTTTATATAGGGTCCCATTTTTGTGTTGAAATTCCATAATTTGATCGCTTTAGCGTTCTATCAACACTAAGATCACAGACTTCAAGACCAACACTTCAACAAACAAACAAAAGGGATCACAGAACCCCCAAAAAAAAAAACAAAGTAACACATAATCCACGTGAATGGGTTCTTTTACAAGTGATTGTGTAGCTTTATTTCAACATTCAATGAAACAATATAGTATAGCTTTCATATCTACAAACGCCTAAAACGAGTTACCGATACAAGAAAAAGCGCGAAGTAACTCGTAAGACTAGTGGGACAAAAATCTAAATTTTAGAAAGACCAAACCCTAATAAGAAGCGCTTAACGTGATGCGGAAGCTAAAGCTACCGCTTGTGCCCACATCTTTAATCTCGCCTTAACCTCCTTCGGATCATCCCCTAATATAATTAACAATAATCATAAAAAACAAGAAACTAAGACCATGTTCAATGGAGAGCTTTAAAAAAGTGCTTAAATATTATTTAATTATTTTTTGACACCTATTTCATAAACGTCTCGCGGAGCTTAAAGCTTTTGTTTAAGCATTCAATTTTTCTTTATTGCATTTATTTGATTAATTTTTTAAAAAAGAAAACACATAAACATTTCTGTTAAGCGTTCCATTGAACACGCTCTAAGATCCGAAATAGTTTACTCTGTGCATTAGAATTAATTAATGTGGGATTAAAATTAATGTTAAATAATTACCAGGACTTGAGATACGCCAGTTGGCAATGGGAGAGTTGCCGCCACTACTAGTCTGAGTCTCCCGGTTTGACCCGGCAGATACCGGAACCCGACCCGGAACTTCCAAATCGAAACCGAGATCTCTACAAGCCTTAACTTCTTCAAGGCCCATCTTCATCGACTTCTTTCCTCCTTTCACCTTCGTTAACACCGTCAATTCTCTTCCTCCAACGTAACGGTTTCCGTCTCCGTCGCTGTCTCTTTCCACACCGTTAAACCCGTGACGGTAATGATTCCCTCTTTTACTCTTTTCCCTTACTACCCTTCTTTGCTTTACTAAATCACACTTACTGCCATCGGTTTTCTCTTTTTCTAAACCGGTCAAAACAGTGACTTTTCTTCTCCGACGAGACATGATCGTCGGGAGATAGTAAAATCCGGGAGATTCCTTGTCGGAATCAGAATCTTCACCGTCATCGGAGATTTCTCCGTCCGCCTCAGCTCCGACGTCGTCAAAGCTCTCTAGCGACAGCTCAGAGATTAATTTGCCCAATTCTGTTGGGTGATTTGTGCAATTATCTTCGTCATCTTCGTGAAAGGAGCTCGTGCAGATAGATAACCTAGACAAACTGCTCTGCCTGGTCTGATAATGAAACCCATCATCTGTATCGTCGTAATCTTCGTCTAGAATTGAAGAAGAATTGATCATCCAGCTCTCTTCGGACGCCATTTAAGATAGACACTTTGCAAGAACAAGAAAGTGAAGAATTACTGTAATGTTTTGAGAGCGAAATTATCTCTTTTTTTGCTAAAAGAGATTTTTTTTTTTTGTTTCTTTTTGGTTTCCTTTCTTGAGTGAACAAAATGAGTCAACTCAGAGCTTTGCCCGATGATCTTATTTATTATGGCCGGATGTAGTTCATTTTAGTTATAAAAAATAAATCAACCTCAGAAATCAAATTTGGCCGATACGTCAAAAAGTCTTGAATATGAGCAGATTTTAACAAAATAGTAAAATAACCAGACCAAAATCCAAATAATCAAGTACTCTACGCGTAATGTTTATTTTGTTTATTACATACGGTAAAGTCGAAATAATTAATATTGTGTCTTTGGATCTAAAGCTGAGACCATAGTTGGTGACTTTTATCGTAAATCGACTGTCTTCTAATTTGTTTAGAAAATTCGACACTTTTTTTGCTCTTTAACGTCACCAGATCAGTGACCCTTTTTAAAAAAAAATTTAGAGACTGACTATTCAGACATTTTCCAAAGCTATCGATCACTCTCACCATTATAATTAGCGACACCTGTAACGCGTGTTTAAATGCATAATCCAAAATATGTAGCTTTAGGTTATCGACCGTCTAATAGATTTTCGTTCGTATGAGATAATATATCATATGCTCTAAACTACTATATTTTCCCCATAAGCAAGATCGTATTGAGGATCTCTGTTCTAGTTTCGAAATTGCCCCTTCTTATTACAGCCAAGGTTGATCCCATATGCTTCGCTTGTTGGGGGTAATTCTCATTCGGAGAATTACATGAGATATCAGTCAATTAATAATTTCATAGTACCAACACCTATGATTTTTGCTCATGTTTTCTACAATTTTATAATAAGTAAATACGATTTCACTAAAATATTAGTTATGAATTTAGATTATTATAATAATATAAAATTATCCACTGCTGATTTTCGACAATCAACCTAACTCATCTGCATTATGCGAAAAACAAATTCAAAAATCGGAAAGTAAGCTAGCATTCACCAATTTGATCACACACATTTAAACACATTGAAATGTTATAATCACTATATGTGTATCTACAGCATATTTTGCAACAAATAAAACATGTGGTGTGAAGTTGTGAACAAATAAAAGATATCATTCTCATAATTAATTACACAATAAATGTTAAGAGAGTTAGTGGTGCCGGCAGGGATGGCCGTATGTGGCTTACACTTTTTTCCGTCACTCCTCTTCAAAGTTTATCATGTGGATCCTCATTTATGTATTTATATTGATTTTTTTTTCTCACTATTTATCGCTAACGAATTTAATAATATTAGCATGTTATTTTCTTATTTGAACTTTTCAGCTAAGAAATTCAAATTCATTAATCGAATCATGAACCAACGAGTATGACCGGGCCCATAAGATGTTTACGTCTTCTAATAAACTATAAAGAAAAAAACAAATATACTTATTAGACGGGTCATTTTCTAACTTAAATACAATTGTACTCTACAGTGATATTTGTATAAATTATTAGTATAGGATGTAGATTTATTTGATGGTGGGTTGCTAAAGGGCGAGAGCAAGCCGACGGTAGGATTATTGAGTTTAGTAGTATACGTGTTGCATTAAGTAGCAATTATTAGCGATCATGGGCCAAAATGATTCATAACTGAAGCCCAATACCTCTTATTTAATAATGTTTTAACCTAAAACTGGGAGCAACTTCAAGCGTCGAGAGGTTGAAGAATCACCGGTAAACCGTACTGAGGCTGGAGAGTGAGGTGATCCGCCGGCGCGTGCTTATACTCACCGGAAAGATTAAGCCGGAAACGTTGAAGAATCATAGCTAGAGCGGTCTTGGCTTCCATCATGGCAAAGTTTTGGCCAATGCAAGCTCTTGGTCCGATTGAGAAGGCGAGGAAAGCGTTTGGGTGATTAGCGGCTCGGGAAACGCCATTTGCAAACCTCATAGGGTTGAATTTATCTCCGTCACTTCCCCAAATGTCTTTGTCTCTGTGCATCTTCACAATCGGTAGGATTATGGCCGTGCCTTTAGGGATCAATAGGTTTCCTAGCTTCATATCTTCTGCTGCTGATCGGACCATATTTAACACTGGTCCGTATAGACGAAGTGTCTCCAGCAACACCATGTTCATCTGAATAGATCAAGCGTAGTTAGGTTAAACTAAACAGGTTTCTTCTGCCACAAGAAACCTGTTGCAAGATATGTTAAGATGAACATGTTTCTCTAACCGCAAAAACAAAAAAAAAAGAAAAAAAAAATCGTAAGCACTTTGCATTTACCAGTTTGAGTTTGGAGCAGGTCTCTGAATCTGGGATTTTGTCTTTATTACCGCATTCGTTGAAAACCTCTTCTCGTAGTTTCTCTTGCCAATCTTGGTGCAAGCTAAGCAACATCGTAGTCCATGTCAGTAGATTCGCAGTGGTTTCGTGTCCTGCGAAGTAAAACGTCTTGCATTCCTCTATGATCTCATAAATGCTCATCTTTCTCTCAGACTCGTTCGATCTTGCAGCTGTTAACATGATTCCAAGAAGATCATTTCCATAATCTGACTCTATGTTCTTGGTTTTGGATTTTAGCCTAGCATTTATGATTCTTTTGATCGAGTTGTTCACTTTCCTATCAAGCTTCCATATTTGAAGATTCGAAGGCGTAGGAAGGTACCTTGTAATACAAGAAATAATAAAACCAATCTTCAAACCCCTAGAATTAATCAACGAAGAAGTTAAAAGGTAGAAATAGAGATTATAAACTTACTGGGTTCCAGGGATGAATACGTTACTGATAGAAGTAGCACAGCACTTTTGAAGCTCTCTTTGTGATTTAAACACTTCAATTCCTTCCGCATAACTACTTCCAAACGCAGCAGCCGCTATAATATCAGCGGTTAATCTCTTAAACTCTATGTTCATCATCACCACTTGCTCTGTTTTACCACCATTCCCCTGTTTTCTCCACTCCTCGAACATCCTCAAAGTACAATCCACCATTAATTTGGTCATAATCTGATCAATAACATGAAGAAATTACGAAACTTTAGTGATTTTCTTCATCTCCTAGCGTCTTCTAGCTAGTCGATATTGTAGCGAATAAAATTATAAAGTTATTAAAAAAAATAAACCTTGAGTTTGTCCATGGAGAATGCAGGATTTAAGATTCGTCTATGACGAACCCAATCAATACCATCGACAAAGACAAGTCCATTACCAGTAAGTTTAAGGACCTCGGGTCTTGTCTTTGGTTTAACAAAGAAACCAAATTTGTTCGATAGGATTTGTTTGACAAGTTCATGATCAGAGATGAATATCCTCGGCTCTGTTCCTTGCCAGTAAAGAAACGTCTCTCCTGATAATATATATATATATATATATATAATATTGGTAACTTGTGAGTTACGCATCCTTGTCTAATGGGAAACAAAATCGAAACAAAGGAAGATCGAAACAGAGAGAGAGTGCAAAAAGAGGGATGGAAACGGCACCGTATCGAGACATCCATTCTTGAAAATGAGGTAAAACGCGAGGGAAGATATCGTTGGAGTTTGGATCAAGAACCGAAAGCTTGGCTTCTTGCTTCATCTTCCTCATCTCGCGGAGGTTTCCGTGCAAGATCCTGTATTTTGGGCCAAAGATTCCTTGTTTCTTGAATCTTCTTGAAAGCATCAATGGCCGCCAAACTAGGATCCGACAAGCTTCATATATCTTCGGAACTACAAGGAGCAGAAGAGCTAGTGCTAAGAGATTGGTCGTGCTCAGTAGCTCCATTGAAAGAACAAAGAAAAAGAAAAAAAGGAGTCTTTTTTCCTGATATGAGTGCTGAAAGTGGGAATTTTCAGTTTTATGTGTTGTGTTGTTGTGCGAGTGTGAGGTCAGTGACTTGTGTTTTCTGATAAGCACAAGCACTTACTATTTATTTACGTTACGTTTTCAGAATCTAATGCATCTCATGAGAGCTTGACACGTGTGTGTGCCGACGATATATTTGGCCATCTGAAAATAAATGTTCTACGCAGAAATTATGGAAATTCCAGATTTTTTTTATCTATATTCTCTTCTGGCAACAACCGTTAGAAGCCTAAATTAGTTTTTCAAATGAATTTAAAGGTTTTTTTTTTAAAGGATTATGAATTTAAAGTTATGATTTTGAGTAAACCAAAAAAAGCACGAGACCAAAAACCACGAAATGAAACTCATTTGATAAGTTTATGCATTTTTCAAAACGTTAGTTGGCCTGATGACCATCTGTGTGGGGGCAAATTACTAATTTACTAGTGTCGTGTATAATTTGTTGAAACTTGAAAGCAGCAAAACGCTATAAAAAGCCCTAAAATATATAAATAGATATTGGGTAGCTAGTCGATGAAATTTGGAGGAAAGATGAGGTCATTGCTTATGCAAAAATCTTATCTTCTCAAAGCTTACAAGTAAGACACAGAGTTATATGACAAAGACAAGAGAATCGTATAAAATTTACGTCACCATCTCCAAAGGGCACCTTCGTATAATATAATCACTAAAACAACGATCCAGACTTTCTTTTTCTTTATTTTTCTTTCTTTTTGGCGATTTGCTACTTCATTATTATAATTAAAGAATCTAATTTCGGATCCGCTAGGCGCTGGAGTTGAAAGGAAGCGGTAAACTTCCCTTACGTGGATAGTTGACAAACTTTTGCATTTAAATTGTATTAAAAGAATTTTGGCTATTTCAGTCATATGTAATTATGTATGATCCGTTTGTATTTTTAAAGTTTTCTTCCTTATGTTGCGTTTGATATGTATGGCTCGTCTACTTTTTTTCGGTATAAGAACTTCGAGTACAATTTCACATTAATGATGAACATGACTCCTATTTTTAATTTTTTTAGTACAGCATTTAAAACTTGATCTTTATTTAAAAAATTAAAATCCAAAAAACTTCCTCCCTTCCGGGTTGAATTTTGTCCGACAATTTGTTCTTAGCCATATGTTAAAACAACACGAGTTCGTTATCATGATTTCAAAATTATATATCATAATTTCCAACAAAGACTTTTCTTTCAAAGGCCCACGCATGCAACAATTGACGATCACTCATAATTTCAAGTTGCTTTAGCTTTTATTTTTATGATACGATGATTACATTCTACTTTTTAATATCAATAGTTTATTATCTATGCAATGCAATATATCAATATGAAATTTGTGTAATAATATAGAGGAAACGGAGAAGGCAATTAATTAAGTAGTTTCATCATAAATCCGATCAAATTTGGGCATTTTTTTTTAATTACTTGAATTCTCCAAGAGGGTGGAGCATTACGGGTAAGCCGTACTGAGGCTGCACCGTGAGGTGATCCACCGGTGCGTGCTTATACTTGGCGGAGAGGCTAAGTCGGAATCGTTGAAGGATCATGGTGAGCACGGTCTTGGCTTCGATCATGGCAAAGTTTTGGCCAATGCAAGCTCTTGGTCCGGTGGAGAACGCGAGGAGAGCGTTTGGATGTTTGGCGGCTCGGGAAACGCCGTTTTTGAATCGCATCGGGTTGAATTTGTCTGCGTCTTCTCCCCAAATGGCCTTGTCGCTGTGCATCTTCAAAAGCGGGAAAATTATGGTAGTGCCCTTGGGAATTTCTAGGTTTCCTAGCTTCAAATCTTTTGATGCTTCTCGGGACAAAAATGGTGGTCCGTACAGGCGAAGCGACTCCATGAACACCATGTTCATCTGGAAAGACATAAAATAGATTTCTTCAACCACTAGAAATCTACGTTTTCACTCAACCACAAGAAACCTACGTTTTCTTCAACCGCAAGAAACCGTTTTGCAAAAAGGAATATTTAAGTTACCAGTTTGAGTTTGGAGAAAGTGTCTGAATCTGGGGTTTTTTCTTTACCACATTCTTTGAAAATCTCTTCTCTGAGTTTCTCCTGCCAATCTTGGTGCAAGCTAAGCAACATCGTTGACCATGTCAATAAATTCGTAACAGAATCGTTCCCACCCAAGAAGAAAGTCCTGCATTCATCTATGATCTCTTCAATGTCTAGCTTTCGTTCGTTCTCTTCAGATTTGCATGATTTTAACATGATTCCCAGAAGATCATCTTCGTAATCTGATTCTGATTGTAGTCTCGAAACTACGATTTTCTTGACTGAGTTCTTCAGTTTCCTATCCAGCATCCATATCCGAAAGTTCAAAGGCGTAGGAAGGTACCTTAGAATACAAGAAACAAGACCAATATATTCTCTTCAAATTTTAAGAATCTTTTCTGAACATGAAATATAAAATTAAAGAACTAAGCGATTTATATACTGGGTTCCAGGGATGAAGATGTTAGTGAGAGAAATGGCACAACACTGTTTAAGCTCTTCTTGTGTTCTAAACACATGGATTCCTTCGGCGTAACTGCTTCCAAACGCAGCGGTCGCTATAATATCAGCGGTTAATCTCGAAAACTCTCTGTTCATCTCCTTTTTCAGCACTAATTGCTCTGTTTTATCATCACTCCTCTGGTTTCTCCACTCATCTAACATCCTCAGTGTGCAATCCACCATCACTTTTGTCATGACCTGCTCAACATAATTAATGAATAATCACAACACTATAACACTCGGTTCTTCTATGGATCATTTTCTCAAATCAAGTTCAAATAGAAAGATATAAGACCTTGATCCTATCAATGGATAAAGCAGGGTTCAAGATTCGTCTATGGCGAACCCAGTCTACACCTTCGACAAAGATAAGTCCTTTCATGCCTACAAGGTGCAGGAACTCGGGTCTTATCTTTGATTTAACAAAGAAATCTAACTTGCTCGACAAGACCTGTTTGGCAAGTTCAGGATCTGAGATGCATATCCTCGGCTCTGTTCCGTTCCAGTATAGAAACGTCTCTCCTAATAATTATACACCATAGATAACTTGTGTGTTACGCAACCTAGCTCCTCTAAAGAACATTCATTTTTTTCAAAAAACATGTAAAAAGAAAGATCAAAAGAGATTGAGATGGAGCAATAGGCACCGTATATAGACATCCATTGTTGATAATGAGGGAAGATACGTGGAAAAACATCATTGGAACTCGGATCAAGAATCGAAAGCTGAGATTCTCTCTTCATCTTCTTTATCTCGTCGATGTTACCGTACAAGATTCTGTATCTTGGGCCTGAGATTCCTTGTTTCTTGAACCTTCTGGTCAAAATCAATGGCTGCCAAACAAGGATCGTAAAAGCATCGGATATCCTGAGAACAATTAGGAGCAACACAAGTACTGCTAAGATATGAGTAATCGGGACTATGAGCTCCATTGAAAGGGAGAAAAAAAAACGCTCTTTGTTGTGGGTATATAATTGTTGTTGTTGATTTAGTGTTTTAATGTTACAGTATATAAAGACATTCGAATATAAGTACTTTACAAGTATAAATTTGTAAAAAAAAAAAAAAAAAAAAAAAGAAGTGTGAGGCAACTGACTTCGATTTTGAATACGAAGTAAGCAAAAACACGTTTGTTACATTTTGAGACAAATGTAAATTAATTATAGAAAATGTGCCTTATGTATATGGTATGATGATAGAGTACTGGGTTCTAAATTTATCAGTGGCCTATATTGTTACGTAATAATCAAATTAGAAAAGGTATAAAGGAAACGTGGACTGGTGACAGTCTTCTAGCTTGATTAAATTGCTCATGAAACTAATCTTTGGGAGAGTATTTTGGCTTCGGAGATTAGCTTCTATATATTTTTCTTTTAAAAGAGTCTTTATAATGTGCTTATGATATGATATAAATACAGAGTCGGATTCTATAAATTCCTGTGCCAAAATATTGTTACGTGTTACGTGAATCGAGCAAATTACTTATTAAACTAATCCTTTTTTTGGGTGGTGGGGGGGAAGTTAATTTGGTATCTGAATTCAAACGAAATGTTATAGATATAGTAAAAATGGTTAAAGTAAATAAATTAGGATGAAGAATGTGATTGATCGTGACACCTAATCTTAACATGAAACCTTTCGTTTGTTGTTTGCTTTCCACACTGTTTCATATCTAAAAAATTAGTTGGATCTTTTTCTATCCTAAAAGAATTGGTTTAGATTTAACTATCCATTTCCATAAGTATCATGTTAAGCTTTTGAAATAAGAGTAATCTTTCTTTTTTGGGTCGAAAGATAGAGTCATCTTTTTAAAACGATAAAAGTTCACGTTAGTTTTTTCAAACGCACCTGAAAGCTAAAATATCAGCCGTTATTATTTTTTTTAAAAAAAATCTGTGTCCATGCGAGTCCCATATTCATCACTAGTTGGATAATTTCTTATGAGATTTTAACTTTTTTGGATATAGAATTCTTTAAAATCTCATAATAAATTATCCAACTAGTTAATGATGAATATAGAGTTGTTTAAAATTATAGGTTAAAAAGTAATTAATTTATCTAATAACATTCAAAATAAGTTTAGTTATACAAAGCTTAAGGTTGAAGAGTTAATATTTAAATTAGGTAATATTAGTCAAGATTTAGAATGTGATTTAATGTTTTAGAATGTAGATGCCAAATAATATTTTAAAATATACAAATTTAAGGATTTAGGGTTAGGTCTTAGGGTTTAGGGCATAGGGCTTAGGGCATAGGGCTTAGGGTTAGGGTTTAATGTATAAAATGTGATTAAGTTAGTTTATATTAATCTAGAACTAGAATGTAACGAGATACTTTAGAAATAGAGTGATGGTGATTATTTTATTTATTTATTTAATTTATTAAAAATATTAATTTTTATAAGGATTAATTCATTAATTTCGAGATATTTTGAAATATTTTAGTTACCTTGCTCTAATACATCAATACATCATACATAAATTTAGGAACTAGATTGCGGAGGCTTGGATTCCTATTTGTCTTTGATTATCCATGCAAATAAGGGTTAGCCATGATGTTGCTTAGCTTGCACCAAGATTATTTTATTTATTTATTTAATTTATTAAAAATATTAATTTTTATAGGGATTAATTCATTAATTTCGAGATATTTTTAAATATTTTAGTTACCTTGTTCTAATACAGGGTTTACATCCTACATAAATTTGATTATCCATGCAAATAAGGGTTAGCCATGATGTACATAAATTTTTTTTAAAAAAATAATTGATGAAAAAATAACAAAGCTGCAAAATAACATTCAAAACTAGTTTAGTTAATATTGATCTAGTCTTAGATTGATATTAGGTCTTCTAGAAATAAAATGAGGAGAATTAGATTTTTTTTAATTACTACATTTATTCATAAAATTGAATATTCATAGGGGTTAGTTCACTTATTTATAGGTCTTTTCAAAAAATTTAGGTATCTTGTTTTAATACTTAAATACATCCTATATGGATTTAGTAACGAGTCCATAGAGGTTTAGCTTTCTACATGTCCTTAACTATCCAAAAAGTTAAAATCTCATAAAAAATTATCCAACTAGTTAATGATGAATATAGAATTCTTTAAAATCTCATAATAAATTATCCAACTAGTTAATGATGAATATAAAGTTCTTTAAAATTATAGGTCAAAAAGTAATTAATTTATCTAATAACATTCAAAATAAGTTTAGTTATACAAAGTTTAAGGTTGAAGAGTTAATATTTGAATTAGGTAATATTAGTCAAGATTTAGAATGTGATTTAGTGTTTTAGAATGTAGATGCCAAATAATATTGTAAAATATACAAATTTAAGGATTTAGGGTTAGGTCTTAGGGTTAGGGCATAGGGCTTAGGGTTAGGGCTTAATGTATGAAATGTGATTAAGTTAGTTTATATTAATCTAGAGCTAGAATGTAACGAGATACTTTAGAAATAGAGTGATGGTGATTATTTTATTTATTTATTTAATTTATTAAAAATATTAATTTTTATAAGGATTAATTCATTAATTTCGAGATATTTTGAAATATTTTAGTTACCTTGTTCTAATACATCAATACATCCTACATAAATTTGGGAACTAAACTGCAGAGGTTTGGATTCCTATTTGTCTTTGATTATCCATGCAAATAAGGGTTAGCCATGATGTACATAAAGTTTATTAAAAAAAATAATTGATGAGAAAATAAGAAAGCTGCAAAATAACATTCAAAACTAGTTTAGTTAATATTGATCTAGTCTTAGATTGATATTAGGTCTTTTAGAAATAAAATGAGGAGAATTAGATTTTTTTTAATTACTACACTTAATCATAAAATTGAATATTTATAGGGGTTAGTTCACTTATTTATAGGTCCTTTCAAAAATTTTAGGTATCTTGTTTTAATACTTAAATACATCCTATATGGATTTAGTAACGAGACCATAGAGGTTTAGCTTTCTACATTTCCTTAACTATCCAAAAAATTAAAATCTCATAAGAAATTATCCAACTAGTTAATAATAAATATAGAATTCTTTAAAATCTCATAATAAATTATCCAACTAGTTAATGATGAATATAGAGTTCTTTAAAATTATAGGTTAAAAAGTAATTAATTTATCTAATAACATTCAAAATAAGTTTAGTTATACAAAGTTTAAGGTTGAAGAGTTAATATTTAAATTAGGTAATATTAGTCAAGATTTAGAATGTGATTTAATGTTATAGAATGTAGATGCCAAATAATATTGTAAAATATACAAATTTAAGGATTTAGGGTTAGGTCTTAGGGTTAGGGCATAGGGCTTAGGGTTATTCATGCAAATAAGGGTTAGCCATGATGTACATAAAGTTTATTCAAAAAAAAAAATTGATGAAAAAATAAGAAAGCTGCAAAATAACATTCAAAACTAGTTTAGTTAATATTGATCTAGTCTTAGAATGATATTAGGTCTTTTAGAAATAAAATGAGGAGAATTAGATTTTTTTTTTTTGAATTATTGCATTTATTCATAAAATTGAATATTCATAAAATTCCTATAAATTGAATGTTCACTGATTTATAGGTCTTTTCAAAAATTTTAGGTATCTTGTTTTAATACTTAAATACATCCTATATGGATTTAGTAACGAGACCATAGAGGTTTAGCTTTCTACTTGTTCTTATCTTTTTAACCTATAATTTTCAAGAACTCTATATTCATCATAAACTAGAGTGATAATTTATTATGAAATTTTAAAGAATTCTATAGTCATCATTAACTAGTTGGATAAAATTTATCTAATAACATTCAAAATAAGTTTAGTTATACAAAGTTTAAGGTTGAAGAGTTAATATTTAAATTAGGTAATATTAGTCAAGATTTAGAATGTGATTTAATGTTTTAGAATGTAGATGCCAATTGACATTGTAAAATATACAAATTTAAGGATTTAGGGTTAGGTCTTAGGGTTAGAGCATAGGGCCTAGGGTTAGGGCTTAATGTATGAAATGTGATTAAGTTAGTTTATATTAATCTAGAGCTAGAATGTAACGAGATACTTTAGAAATAGAGTGATGGTGATTATTTTATTTATTTATTTAATTTATTAAAAATATTAATTTTTATAGGGATTAATTCATTAATTTCGAGATATTTTTAAATATTTTAGTTACCTTGTTCTAATACATCAATACATCCTACATAATTTTGGGAACTACACTGAGGAGGCTTGGATTTGTATTTGTCTTTGATTATCCATGCAAATAAGGGTTAGCTATTATGTACATAGAGTTTTTTTTAATAATTGATGAAAAAATAGGAAAGCTGCAAAATAACATTCAAAACTAGTTTAGTTAATATTGATCTAATCTTAGAATGATATTAGGTCTTTTAGAAATAAAATGAGAGGAATTAGATTTTTTTTTTAATTACTGCATTTATTCATAAAATTGAATATTCATATGGGTTAGGTCAATGATTTAGAGGTCTTTTCAAAAAATTTAGGTTGTTTAATTTTGATACTTAAATACATCCTATATGAATATAGTAACCAGACCATAGAGGTTTAGCTTTGTTCTTGTCCTTAACCATCCAAAAAGTTAAAATCTCATAATAAATTATCCACCTAGTTAATGATGAATATAGAATTCTTTAAAATCTCATAATAAATGATCCAACTAGTTAATTATGAATATAGAATTCTTTAAAATTACAGATTAAAAAGTAATTAATTTATCTAATAACATTTGAAATAAATCTAGTTATTAAAAGTTTAAAGTTAAAGAGTTAATATTTAAATTAGGGAATATTAATCAAGATTTAGAATGTGATTTAATGTTTTAGAATGTAGATGCCAAATAACATTGTAAAACATACAAATTTAAGGATTTAAGGTTAGGTCTTAGGGTTAGGGCGTAGGGCTTAGGGTTAGGGCTTAGAGCTTAATGTATCAAATGTGATTAAGTTAGTTTATATTAATCTAGAGCAAAATGTAACGAGGTACTTTAGAAATAGAGTGATGGATATTCTTTTCTTTATTTATTTAATTTATAAAAAAATATTATTTTTATAGGGATTAATTCATTAATTTCGAGATATTTTTAAATATTTTAGTTACCTTGTTCTAATACATCAATACATCCTACATAAATTTGGGAACTAGACTGCGGAGGCTTGGATTCATATTTGTCTTTGATTATCCATGCAAATAAGGGTTAGCTATGATGTACATAGAGTTTAAAAAAAAAAAGTAATTGATGAAAAAATAGGAAAGTTGCAAAATAACATTCAAAACTATTTTAGTTAATATTGATCTAGTCTTAGAATGATATTAGGTTTTTCAGAAATAAAATAAGGAGAATTAGATTTTTTTTTAATTACTGCATTTATTCATAAAATTGAATATTCATAGGGGTTAGTTCAATAATTTAGAGGTCTTTTTAAAAAAAATAGGTATTTAATTTTAATACTTAAATACATCCTATATGGATATAGTAACCAGACCATTGAGGTTTAGCTTTGTACTTGTCCTTTTTTTTTTTTTCTTCTATCCAACTATTACAATCACTATTGGCCTATCAAAGAAATGGTTTGTGGACCATCTTCGACTGGCTCGTTATGATTGATTTGGGAAAAAATAACTCCTCTTGTTCGAGCTCCTTTTGCAAGACTATCCGCCCGGATATTTTGAGTTCTTGGAATATAGGATAAGGTGAACTCTGGGAAGCTCTCGCGAAGTAGACGGAGGAATTCCAACTCTGACATAAAAGACGGCCAGTCTGCCGGTGATTCACACATGCTTACGAGGTCCAAACAGTCGGTATGAAAGTGCACCGAAGTCACCTGTCTATCTCTCAGGTATGACATAGCCCATAAGAGGCAATCCATCTCGGCGTGAAGAGCCGAGAGGCTTCTACGACATCCCTGTAGTCCAAAAATCTATTTTCCTCTGCCATCCTTAAAACTCCAACCAAGGCCGCTAGCCTGTCCGTGATTGATCCAAGAAGCGTCAATCCGGCATACCGGGGTCGGTGGTACCTCGGGTAGCAATATCGTGGCCCGAGGGGGGGCCAACGCCTCAGCTTTGTACTTGTCCTTAACTATCCAAAAAGTTAAAATCTCATAATAAATTATCCAACTAGTTAATGATGAATATAGAATTCTTTAAAATCTCATAATAAATGATCCAACTAGTTAGTTATGAATATAGAATTCTTTAAAATTACAGATTAAAAAGTAATTAATTTATCTAATAACATTCGAAATAAATCTAGTTATAAAAAGTTTAAGGTTGAAGAGTTAATATTTAAATTAGGGAATATTAATCAAGATTTAGAATGTGATTTAATGTTTTAGAATGTAGATGCCAAATAACATTGTAAAATATACAAATTTAAAGATTTAAAGTTAGGTCTTAGGGTTAGGGCGTAGGGCTTATGGCTTAATGTATGAAATGTGATTAAGTTAGTTTATATTAATCTAGAGCAAAATGTAACGAGGTACTTTAGAAATAGAGTGATGGATATTATTTTCTTTATTTATTTAATATATTAAAAATATTATTTTTTATAGGGATTAATTCATTAATTTTGAGATATTTTTAAATATTTTAGTTACCTTGTTCTAATACATCAATACATCCTACATAAATTTGGGAACTAGATTGCGGAGGTTTGGATTCCTATTTGTCTCTGATTATCCATGCAAATAAGGTTTAGCTAAGATGTACATAGAGTTTTTTTAAAAGAAATAATTGATGAAAAAATAAGAAAGCTGCAAAATAACATTCAAAACTACTTTAGTTAATATTGATCTAGTCTTAGAATGATATTAGGTCTTTTAGAAACAAAATGAGGAGAATTAGATTTTTTTTAATTACTGTATTTATTCATAAAATTGAATTTTCATAGGGGTTAGTTCACTGATTTAGAGGTCTTTTATAAAAATTTATGTATCTTGTTTGAATACTTTAATACATCCTATATGGATATAGTAACAAGACCGCAGAGGTTAGCTTTCTACTTGTCCTTAACTATCCAAAAAGTTAAAATCTCATAAGAAATTATCCAACTAGTTAATGATGGATATAGAATTCTTTAAAATCTCATAATAAATTATCCAAGTAGTTAATGATGAATAAAGAATTCTTTAAAATTTTAAAAAGTAATTAATTTATCTAATAACATTCAAAATAAATTTAGTTATAATAAGTTTAAGGTTGAAGAGTTAATATTTAAATTAGGTAATATTAGTCAAGATTTAGAATGTGATTTAATGTTTTAGAATGTAGATTCCAAATAACATTGTAAAATATACAAATTTAAGAATTTAGGGTTAGGTCTTAGGGTTAGGGCATAGGGCTTAGGGTTAGGGCTTAGGGCTTAATGTATGAAATGTGATTAAGTTAGTTTATGTTAATCTATAGCTAGAATGTAAAGGGATACTTTAGAAATAGAGGGATGGTGATAATTTTCTTTATTTATTTAATTTATTAAAAATATTAATTTTTATAGGGATTAATTCATTAATTTCGAGACATTTTTAAATATTTTAGTTACCTTGTTCTAATACATCAATACATCTTACATAAATTTGGGAACTAGACTGCGGAGGCTTGGATTCCTATTTGTCTTTGATTATCCATGCAAATAAGGGTTAGCTATGATGTACATAGAGTTTTTTTTTAATAATTGATGAAAAAATAGGAAAGCTGCAAAATAACATTCAAAACTAGTTTAGTTAATATTGATCTAGTCTTAGAATGATATTAGGTCTTTCAGAAATAAAATAAGGAGAATTAGATTTTTTTTTTTAATTACTGCATTTATTCATAAAATTGAATATTCATAGGGGTTAGTTCAATGATTTAGAAGCCTTTTTAAAAAATTTAGGTATTTAATTTTAATACTTAAATACATCCTATGGATATAGTAACCATTGAGGTTTAGCTTTGTACTTGTCATTAACTATCCAAAAAGTTAAAATCTCATAATAAATTATCCAACTAATTAATGATGAATATATAATTCTTTAAAATCTCATAATAAATGATCCAACTAGTTAATTATGAATATAGAATTCTTTAAAATTACAGATTAAAAAGTTATTAATTTATCTAATAACATTCGAAATAAATCTAGTTATAAAAAGTTTAAGGTTGAAGAGTTAATATTTAAATTAGGGAATATTAATCAAGATTTAGAATGTGATTTAATGTTTTAGAATGTAGATGCCAAATAACATTGTAAAATATACAAATTTAAGGATTTAAGGTTAGGGCTTAGGGTTAGGGCGTAAGGCTTAGGGTTAGGGCTTAGAGCTTAATGTATGAAATGTGATTAAGTTAGTTTATATTAATTTAGAGCAAAATGTAACGAGGTACTTTATAAATAGAGTGATGGATATTATTTTTTCTATTTCTTTAATTTATTAAAAATATTATTTTTTAATAGGGATTAATTCATTAATTTCGAGATATTTTTAAATATTTTAGTTACCCTGTTCTAATACATCAATTCATCCTACATAAATTTGGGAACTAGATTGCGGAGGTTTGGATTCCTATTTTTCTTTGATTATCCATGCAAATAAGGGTTAGCCATGATGTATATAGAGTTTTTTTTAAAAAAAAAAATTGATAAAAAATAAGAAAGCTGCAAAATAACATTCAAAACTAGTTTAGTTAATATTTATCTAGTGTTAGAATAATAATATTAAGTCTTTTATAAATAAAATGAAGAGAATTAGATTTTTTTTTAATTACTGCATTTATTCATAAAATTGAATTTTCGTAGGGGTTAGTTCACTTATTTAGAGGCATTTTAAAAAAATTTAGGTATCTTGTTTTAATACTTATATACATCCTATATGGATATAGTAACAAAACCTTTGAGGTTTAGCTTTCTACTTGTCCTTAACTATCTAAAAAGTTAACATCTCATAATAAATTATCCAACTAGTTAATGATGGATATAGATTATTTTAAAATCTCCTTTGTTTCAGCGTTTGATAAAGTCCAATGAAGAATGATTCCATTGTAAAGCCCATCAGGCACAATTGTATGTAAGATTTGTCGCTTCTCTGCCTTGTCATTTTAGATTCTTCATTTTATAAACCTAAAACAAATTGGCACGATTCGTTTCGAATTCCAAGATTTAGGCCGAAGAGGTATCTTCGAATCCACATCTACATGGGGCCTTAGGGTTTACTTGGGGAATACTCAGTGTTTACTTGTGGAAGAAGATAGGAGAAAACCAGAATATACGATTCCGCTGAAAAGTAAGGAATATTCCCAAATTGTTTGATGTTAAACGAGTTAGTGGTAGTTGAGAAAACTTTTGAAACCCTAATTTCAATGAAAAAAATCCTAAGAAGTATGATTAGTGTTCGATGATCTCAACTCATCATACTAATTTATTTTTTCCACTGCTAATTAACTAGGGCTTCTTGGATGTTGTGTGTCATGAAAGCCCAAAAGGTTGGATCATCTTGCTCTAGAGATGCAATCAATAATATCAACTCTCTTCCAGATGAAATACTTGCGCAGATCTTGTCTTTTCTTCCAACAAAACGAGCGGTTTCTACATGTATCCTCTCCAAAAGGTGGAGGAATCTGTTTCCATTGATGAATCATCTCTTTGCTTCCCAAAATGATTTATACTTTGACGACTCGGATTTACTGCATCCCGAGAATCATTACTTAGACGACTCGGTTATAATGACAGAGTATCTACGCTTACGCTTAGGAGAGAGGCGGGAATTATGTTTAGTGTGTCATTGTAAAGGTGAAGAGATAAAAATTATGAGCGAGAAGGACGATGTGCACCGTGGATTCGGGGATTTCGTGGATAAAGCACTTTCCGGTCGCATGTCCATAAAGAAGCTCACGCTAAAATGTCTTTCCGGTAGTATCTCTGTCGCGCTTATCAACAAATGGACACGCATTGCCTTGGACCGAGGTCTCGTGGATCTTGATCTGCGTATAAGAACAACGGGATCGTATGAAGAGGTAGCTCTTTTGTCTTCTAATGCTGTCTTCACAAACAACACGCTGGTTAAGCTAACATTAGGAATAGAGGTTAATCATCTGGAGATGAGTTTACCAAAAGTGTTCCTTCCAGTGCTAAAGAGTCTCTTCCTCCATGGAATTCTGCTTAGATGCCATGACTTGTGCCTTAACATGCTTCCTGGTTGTCCAACACTTGAGGAACTATCCTTAGAATATTACCCAAGCAAGCTCCGGATTGATGAACTAGAAATGACAGAGTTAAGTATATCCCACAATACCCTCAAGAGACTCACATTTCACTACAATAGCTGTTGTGCCCTCTCTCCAGTCACGCAATTCAACACACCGAGTCTTGTTTACCTCGACTTCTCTGGTTTTGCCTTGCATTATAAGTCAGTTTCCTATTTCTTGGATTCCCTTGTCGAAGCCAAGCTAGATGTTGATATGCCACGGGAATGCATTCATCTCTGTCGTCCATCTATGATCATTAATTGGATGAGCAACGTCAAGAACCTTTCCCTGTCTTCTACTTCTGTTAAGGTGTGTGTGTGTCTGCTTCTTCCTTGCCTTATACTTAATATCATTTTCTTGGTCTGATCATATGACCAGTACTTGTGTGTGTGTGTGTGTGTGTGTATCAGCTTATCTACTCAAGCGGTACGGAATTTCCTTACCTTGTAAACCTTGTTAAGCTTTCTTTAGAGAGTAATACATCACATGGTTGGCAAGTGCTTCCGAGTCTGCTCAACAAATCTCCAAAACTTGAAACTTTGGTCCTCAAGGTGTTGTATCATCTATCTAATCTCTCAATTTTAAACTTAACCAGAGAATTAGTTAATGATCTGTGTTCTGCTTGCTCATCCAGGGCTTGCACTGTGTAAGAAATGAGGGAGTCCACATTGATCCAAGCCAAGTGAAAATGTTGGAGATGTATGGTTTTAGAGGAAATGGTGGAGAATTTAGTCAATCCAAGTGCTTTTTACGTCAAATGCAGTCTCTTCAAGTGATGAAAGTGGAAATTGATGCTGATGATAACAAAAGACTGCAACTCATCAGTGATCTTCTTGCTCTTCCTGACCATTCATCTAAATGCCGAATCCAGTTCTTTTGAGATTCACAACCCCTCCTAGTTTATTTTGCGTTTCCGTTTAGGATTTGATTCGGGTGTTTTGCATTAATTTTTTTTTTTTGTCTTAATTTCGGAACTTTGTTTGGTTTTATTTGACTTTCACGTGAACTCAGGAGAGACCGGAGTAAGGCAAAACATTCTCATTACTATATAAAAAGGCTCTTGGGTAATGCACTGGAATAAAACTGTAAACTATATTCTATACGAATGAGTCAAGCATCTACTATCTTTATTCACGTGACACCACTTCACAGAATATAACTTGGTCTGGTTTGGGTGCATTTTTACTAATAAAAAAAAAAGGAAATCAAGTCACGGCTCCTCTAATACTTGTTTCCCCAAGTTTTTTTTTATCAACTTTTAAGTGGACAATGAGTGACGTGTGATTGATTCTGCGAGACTCAGGTCAGTCGTCCTTCAAACATTCTGCGACAATCATCTTTAGCTGCAGCATCTTTCCTCTCGCAGTCTATGAACAAAGACACCAATTTCAGATTAAATGCTTGAAAATGATGACTTAACATTCAGACTTTGATTCTTACTAAGAGAAAGAACCAAGACTTGCCTTGTTGACAGAATTGATTCTTTTTGTCGCATTGTCCAGTTTTGTCTCGATGCCTCCTTCAAAATGCGCTATGAGTTTTTGGTGTGATGTTCCTGTCAATGAGAGAGATAACCTTAAGTGAGACTGGTCCTCCTGAAATATCATTACTCTCCTCTCTTTTGCCAAAAAGTATTTAACTTCGACACGATCGTTCCCATACGATCATGTTTCATAGCAGTTCTAATGTTAGGATAATTCCTTGTATTGAAAAAGCAAGAATTACAACGACAACAAAAAAATGAACATACTTTGCTTCTTTATGGCTCCTTTCAACTCTGAATGGTTTGCTTCAAGCCCTTCAATAGTACTCTTGAAATCTTCAAGATGCTGCCCGACATCGTCCTTGAACTTTTCGTGGATCATTCTCATTTTCTCTTGTTGCTCTGTCAGACGATCAGATTATCAGTGGACACAATTCAACACTCTAAGACAAGACACAAGTCTATCTTTCTATTCTCCTTACAGGAGATGAGCCTATATAGCTTTGCCTATGTTACATGGAAGTTTAGTGTCAATATGAGAGCCTAAAAACATGTTATATACAGCATATCAGTGGACAATTTAGAAGCAGATAGGTGAGTGATGTGTATCTCTTCAGCAGAAATTACGGTACCAGCTAGATTGTTAGCACTTCAACAGTATACAGAAACTAAAGAGCAAGAGTTGATATCCAGTTTCTGATCCATAACCCTGAATCAGGACTACACTACTACGATAGTATAATGAAAAAAAAAAAAGTTATACGCTTTCCTAATGTTCAGTTTATGACTGAAAATGAATTACAGTGATCAATATATGATGCATTAATGTACCTTGTAATCTTGTTTCTGCATGCTTTCTCTTAGTTTTGGCCAGGTTACTCGCCTTTCCCCTGTATCATAATTAACAATATCAGTGAGTGAATACTAAAACGGAGCAATGCAGAATCAAATACAAAAAAAAAACATACGCTTCTGTTATGATTTGAGACTTGACATTCTCCAACTCTAGATGTATCTCCTCAGTGACTGATGCTATAATTTCTGATGACTTCTTTTTAGCTGCAGATTTCAGTTTTCTCTCAAAGTTTTGAAGAGCCACAGCGAACAACGCAACAGCCCTGAGACATGATTAGTAAACAACTTAAGACAGGAAAAAAGATTTAAGGTAGAAACGTAATATTAGTTTATATCTACGAGAGACCTTCCCAAGCCTTCATCTTCATCCATCTCTGAAAACTGCTGGAAGGAATCAGTTTTATGGATCCCTGTTCATATTCCAGGACAAAACAAATGAGGGTGTCGTAGAAAAAGCCACAACAATGACTTAGAAATGAGCATTATACCTTTCGACAAAGACGAGGTAGGACTCATCACGACACGTCCATTGCCCTTAAGGTTAGAGTTCCGTTTAGCTGAGCTAAAGCATAGGTTAGATTTCTCATTACTCCAATTGGCAGTTTCTCTTTCTTCGGGACCTGAATTAGAAAATCAATAAAACATAAGTAAAACATAGATTCTGTTAAGAGAAAAATAAGATCCTCAGGTTTGTATTTGGTCTAGGAACAAAAAGTAAGAAGCATACTGTTGTCATCGCCCAACGCTGGTGAATTTTCTCTTGATCCATCCGAATCTCTTTCATCAGACGATGGATCTGACAGAACTAGTTCTTCATTTGGCTCTGCAGAACTCTCTTTTCTGAAAGAATAATCTCCTTTCTTCTCCAAGAAGTCCTGAAAAGATATAAGGAAACACAAAGGTGGAAGAAGAGAATGTAAAGTCAACACGCATTATTCTTAAGTGAAAATAAAGCAGCTTGAGTTTATGAAGGTTACAGGCAATCTCCTCTCTGTATCTGACGCTTGGCCTTTAGTCCCTTGCGAGGTTTTCTTAGTACCGAAGCTAAATATTGGTGTTTCCGTCTCATCAAAAGCGGGACTAATATTCCTAGGATGCAACGGAGATGCTTCGGGAGAAAAACAGGGGGAAGGGCTTAAGATTGGTGCTTTATATCCCAACGTTGGACTCTGGAATTCGTTTTCTGGCTCAACAGACTTTTCCCTGGAAACATCATTCGGCAATTCCTGCTTTTTGCCATTTTTAGATAATCCATGGAACATCTCTGGCGTAGCTGCTGTTTCAGCTTCTGGCGATGGATGAACATCTTCTTCCCTTGTGCTAATATCTGGTTTCTGCTTCGGGGCTTTGCTCTGTTGATGGGAACTTCCCTTTTTCTCCGATAATGAAGACCTTTTGACAGTTCTCGTGCTCTTGGAACGTAATGGAGTTTTACTCTTGTTCATCTCCCCCTGAATCCCAACAGCATCATCCTTTTCGCGAAAATGAGCCTTAAAGCATTTTACAACAGTATTTTTTGTCCTTCCCCTTTGTTTCTTCGGCATAACAGTGGTATTCATAGTAGGGCCAGTTTTTCCTCGCAAGCCTTCTTCAAAAGAGAATACATTATTTACTTGTTCTGTGCTTTTGCCACCTAAGTTGGCCCGAGCTTTGGTTCTCTTTTGGACACCTTTGGCTCCTACCCCACTCCGCAACAAAGATCTAGTTACCGGCCTTCTGGTTGCAGTGTCAGGGCATTCAGAATCCGTTTCAATAGAATCTGAATTGTGTCTAGGCTTAATACGAGGCTCATCATTTGAACCCTTGTCTTGACTCAACTTGGTCTTCACCACTTCTGGGGTCTTAGAGTTCAAATCTTCATTATTTGCTGGCGAAACTTTTCCCAATATTTCCCACAGTTTTGATCTCAGAACATCAGTACTTCCATTTTTATCCTTCTCTGGTTTATCCATCTCCTCTCTGTGCGACTGCAAGACTGCAGATGGATGTTCTTCCATCCTCTCTGGACTCCTATACATCCCTTTATCGTTCCTGCAGCCGTTCGGCTCAGGATCACTGTGCTGAGGACTCGAGATGGGAAAGTTTTGAAATGAGTCACGAGCTGGTGCCTGATGTTTTCCATTAAGTCCCTTGTTTACTCCTTTGCTACCAGACAAACTAGACGTTTGCTTACAAAGAACATTCTCCAGAGTTCCCAATTTCCGATAAGAGGATCTCGGAGACCTCCAAGGTGATGTCACATATTCTGTGCCCTGAGCTGGTTTCCTCCGCTTGATAGCTAAATCCCCTGTGTCTTTCTTGTTCGCCAGTACATCAGTCACTGTGGCTGATTTCAGTTCATCTCCATCACCCTTATCTGGCCCAGGGTTTCTCTTTGGTTGTGAATCCGCCATAACTCCTATAGAAATCTTTCTGGACTGGCTTGATGGGTGGTAGTTACTGCCGAAGCTTCTATAATCGCTCATCTTTTCCTGAGGAGTATCACCAGAAGGTTAACCATTCTACTTGGGAAAAAGAAGGCGAATATCAACGAACACATAATTCACTCGTGACTAGATCACAATTCATAATAATCAAAATACTATTCTGACTGCAACACAAGCTTGCTATCCCTACGCTGATGGCTAAAGCATTAAAACGCAGGTTACATTGAGCAGATATAATGTGAAATTGTGATTCAGTGAGGATGTCAAATGTACTAGCCAGAGAAATAACACTCGATTCTTGTATACCTATTTGAAAAAATAATGACGGCCCTTTCCAGAATTTTTCACAAGACGCTGTAATGGAAATACCCAAAAAAAAAGACGGTGTTAGATCTGCGTAGTATGAGAAAAACAAGAGGATAAACAGATTATAGATTCCAAATCGCATGGTGTTTTCAGACTGAAAATAGCTAATAGAACGAATTTAACACACCCGATAGAAATGTTCCGGGATTAGCAAACCCTAATCTCTAGCAACAGATTCATCCCAATGTTTTCCGATTTTGCAAGAGAACAATTACGCAGTACTAAACGAGGTTCCGGATTTGGAAATCGAGACGATATATCTCCATAAACAAAAGGGGATCGCAACGAATTTTCACAGAATTCGATAGTAACAAGCCAAAAATCGAAAACGGAATTAGAGAAAAATCAAGCGACGGTGTCAATAGCGAAGAATTACTTACTCAAAGCTCGCGGGTTGAACTGTGAGAGTCCTGGCTCCTGATTCTCGTCTAGAATAAGTGGGAGCACAAAGAGAAAGGAGATCACCTGAAAATCTGATCTGAGAAAATTTTAGAGAATCGAGATTTCTGCACTGGGAGAGATAGATAAAGAGATAAGCGAGGGAAATTGAAATTTTGATTTCGCAAATGGAAAAGCAACCAAAGAGAAAACCTGGGCCATAAAAGTGGACGATTTTGACCCTATGATTTCTTCAGAATTACATTATATCATTACCGTTCGATTGATGCGAAAAACACTTGTCGTCATCTGGTTACTATTTCCTAAAATTTTGGCGCCTTAATTCCCTTCTCAAAATATTTCAATCGGTGCAAACGTGGACGGGCAAGCTCCCGTTAAACTTGACGGTCCAGCTCAGATCGTTTATAACCGCTCAGAAGTTCCGTCCAAAGACTCGGGTCGTTAGAAAACGTTCATAAATTGTGACATAACAGATCCTTAATTTGAATTCTCTATTAACGTTCTATCATAATTTATAAAGGGTAATTGGAAATCATTTACGCATGTTAACAGAATATGTTAATTAGTCCACCAAGCAAAATTCTCTACTAATTAATTAACTTTCTTACAACTATCCAATTACTAAAGATCGATTTAAACTGCTTGAAGAGTCGAAAGGTAGTCAATAGGAGATTTATGGAGAGCTTGGGCCTTGGGAATGAATTCCCCTGGGTTTAGTCTGATAGGTTTAGCTGGTTCTATAAAGCCTTGTAAATCTGATAATTTAATATAATGGGGTTAGGAATAAGAAACTAAAAATCATTTCAGGATTTGGTAAATCTATATATACAATTCATGAATTGCGTGTGTAATCTAAACATTTCAAGGATTTTGATGAATATTATATAGTATCTATAAAAAGACACGCAACGCACGTAACATCTCGACTCACTAGCCGCACGCACGCATGCACGTATCTTTGATTTATAGAGTTTCAGCATAAACAAATGTTTTTATATGAACGTATTAAGCTCCAACATAAACAAATCGACCTCCACTTGACTGTCCTCGTGGACTACGCACCCTTTTTCTATTTCTTTAAAACGACAGATTTTAAAACTTTCGCTAACATACACTTATTTCAACCATAAAAAAATCTATCAATTTTTGTTTTAAAAAAAACAAATTTTGGCAAATGGTACTTTTTTGTTCCTAAATTTGTGTCGTTTTCTATTGCGAATCAGGTTCATTTTGAAAGAAAAGTCAAAATATTTATTTTAGTTGGATATCATATCCAGTGTTATAGTTATTCGTTCCATTTTTTTTTTTTGAGAAAGGGTTTAATTCATTCCTTTTTTCCATCAAATATAACCCCCCTGATTCCTAAAATATATATATACAAAATTAATAGATAATCCGGTATATATATATATATATACACAACAGTTGATCGTTTCAATTTTTTTTTTCATTTTGTATTTCAACTGTTCTGACTGCAAAAAAAGAAATACAAGTTTTATGCATATGCATTAGTGAGATATATTTCCAAACTTATTTCTAAACTAGTAGGTTCATTTAAGAGAAGGGTTTGATAGGAAAAGTGACCGAGTAATATCTCAAAACTTCAATTATAATGAATACATGTATATATATATATATATATATATATTCAATAGAAAAAATTAAATGATCCGATTATTCCAGTTATCTTAAAGCAAAAGGCTATGATTAGTCCAACAACAGGGGCTAGAAAGGCAAAAAAGCCACGAGACATGCAAATGCAATCACGCATCTTAAAAAGCAAGCCCAAGTTTTGACTGACAAGCAACCACGACGCAGTAAAGTCGAGTTCTCAAAATTAGCGCATAAATAAAGAAATGTATGAAAAAAGTACTTGATTTTTGTATGTATGTTTCCAATAAAATGCGATTATAATATATAATAATTTCCGAAATTGTAGTATATATTATTTTTCGTACAAATGAGTGTATTTTTCTTTCAAAAAATTACGCTAGAAACATATGAGGATTCTTTTTTTTTCATAGGAAAATAGTGAAAAACGGAGGGGACAGAGAGGAGGCGGAGCCAGTAAGAAAATAAAAAAGTGAGGATATTGTAATTTGTAGTGTTGTTAGGGAACATCTCTCCTTTATCCTTTCTCTCTTTGATTTTTTTGTTGGTTCCTTCTATATTTCTCCAAAGCTCTCAACTGGTTCCCAAACTAACGTACTGAAACCCGAATAAAATGAGGGGAACCAAGCCGAGCATACCATATAGTTTTCAATTGCGGTCCAAGTCTCAAATCTGTTTACATTGTTCAAGCCAAAGACTACTTACAATGAATTTATAAACGACATATATATATATATAATACGTTTAATTACATTGAATTTTACTCTTGAAATTAACTCTACGATATGGCATGCACCCATTAATACAATGTACATTCTGTGTAGGGCTGTGTTTGAGGGAGTCCATGTGGAAATACAAGTGCCACGTGGAGAATGATAAGAAATGTAGTCGTTGGTCGTTATGTCGTGTGTGTATGTGTTTCCTTTTTCTCGTGCTTGCAAATATGAGAATTGTGACGTCTCCTTAAGTTCCATAGACAAAGGAGCTCTCATTAGGTCCTCTCTTTAAGTGAACCATTCATTACTCATGCCTCCTGTCTTCCTTGGCCGTTTTTCTTTTAAACGTTTAAATTTCTCGATTTATTCATCTTTATTACCCAAAACAACTTCCCTTCTCTGTAATATGCTACGTATGATTTACATCACTAATAATGGGTATGTTTTAACCGCGCGTTTTCACGGTTTGGAATTATATATGGGTTGGATCAGATTAAATCCTTATGTGTTTCAAAACTAACAAAATTTACATCAACCTTGCCCCAATAAAACAGTGCCAAGCCGGTCCGTAGGTTTTCGGATTACCACAACATCTATAGTAAATACCAAAAAAAATTATTTTCGATATAACTGTTAACGTTTTTTTTATTGTAAACAATTTGTTCTTTCTCGAGCGTTGTATGAACGTAATCTCAAAAGAAAGCAATATTAGGAGAAAGATGAAAATTATATTTTTCATTAATTGCTAACACTTAATTATTCGATTCTGAATATTATTTTATTGTAATGTTAAAAACTGATGTCGACTCGAATCATCGTTGACTCAAACGTTTGGCATGCTTGCATATCAAGGACTCACTTTGTTATTTTCGTCATATTTGTTATTAAAAAAATTGAAAAAAGCAGAATTATAGCTAATGAACTTAAGAGAGAAGTGTTTAACCGATGATTAAGTAAGCATTCACCTTAACACTTTTTTATAAAGAACCTCTAAAATTAAAAATGTTAAGTGTATCGGGGTTATATATTAGAAATGAAGTAAAAAACACTTAAGTTCCAAACTTCATAATTTTTGTTTTAAATAATTTGTTATTCAGTTGTTAACATTAGCGAGAAAACCAGACCCACAAAATCATAACCAACACTTTCACCGAATCACCAATTGACACGTGTTTCTGTCTGCTACACTAACAACATCTTAGCGGACGCTGTCTCATCATTCCACCGTCGTATTTTTTTGTACTTGTGTATGAATTTTAAAACGAAATACGAAGGCCATATATACCATATTAAAATAACATTCAAAAATCATTATAGTTTCATCATCTTCTATATAAACACACACGTACAAACCAAGCATGGCGGCTCACTACTTATTTGTCTCTACCTAAAAAAAAACGTTAGAGAGAGAGAGAGAGAGGGAGAGAGATGGGAAGAGGGAAAAGTTCGTCTTCTTCCTCGATAGAGAGTAGCAGTAAGAGCAACCCATTCGGAGGCTCGTCGAGTACTCGGAACCTTAGCACAGACCTGAGGCTCGGACTCGACTTGGGGACATCTTCAGGGACGCACTATTTGAACGGTGGTTACGGGTATTCCGTTGCAACTCCGGCGACGGAGTATGCGGCGGTGGTGGCGGAGGAAGAGGAAGAAGAAAACGAGTGTAACAGCGTAGGGAGCTTCTACGTGAAGGTGAACATGGAGGGAGTTCCAATTGGAAGAAAGATCGATCTAATGTCTCTTAATGGTTACCATGACTTGATCAGAACCCTAGATTTCATGTTCAACGCATCCATTCTCTGTAAGTATATATATAATTACTGCATTCATGCAAGTATCGATCTCTGTATAATTATAGAGGATAATCGGACTGGTTAATTTGTTTGCCTTTCGTAATCTAAAAATAAAATAAAAATGGGAACAGGGGCTGAAGAAGAAGGTATGTGCAGCGAGAAGAGTCATGTGCTAACATACGCGGACAGGGAAGGTGACTGGATGATGGTTGGGGATGTTCCTTGGGAGTAAGCACCGGCCTTATTCTTCTTCTTTTTTTTATTGGTTTTTAAAAAGTTCATTAATTTTATTATATTGTTCTGTAGAAATTAAAAAGGGGTTTGTTTTTGGTGTTTTGTTTTGTAGGATGTTTCTGTCTACTGTGAGAAGACTGAAGATTTCAAGAGCTTACCACTACTGATATATAAGTCTATTTCCTTGTGTTTGATTATAAGTTATATGCCATGGAAAAAAAAGGTTTTGTCTTATGTAAAGTAAATCAATCATCGTATTATGTATTCAATTATTTCGAATTACGATAGTACATACGAAATTCTGAACTCACTCTGATTATTTCCTTGATAATACCGCCAAGAAAAGAAGAGCACAAGAAAAATAGTAAATAAAAGAAAAATCAATTATCTGATAGACAAACCAATCTTGAGTTATGGTTTCTACTTTCTAGCGGATCTAACAATGAACCTTCTCATTTGCTTAAGCCCAAATTTGGTTCCACCCCTATATTGTACTCCAAAATTTTTGTTTGCTAACTTTAAATCTTATATTTACGAAATTGTATAATCAGCTTCAGAAGTATTACTCGTGCATCGTGATGAGCCAGTATAATGTAGTTTTTGTTTGTTAATTTTAAATTAGAACAAATGAAAATTAATGAGAAATCTAGCTATCTTTTGTAAAATAGTTAGATACATAATTACATACAGACCAATCCAGAACTAAGGCTCGTGAAGCAATGACTTCAGGGCAACCTAAAAGATAATATTTTTGAGGCACCCAAAAAAACTTAATTTTTTTTTATAAAAGTGTGTAAATAAGTTTGTCTCACATCGAAAAAATAGAAAAAATAGAAAAAATGGAAAGAAAAAATTACCTATAAATAAGAGTCATTATCTAATCAAATATTTAAAAGAAAAACTGATTCTGGCTTATAATAATCGATTTTGGATTTAAGAAAATCGGTTTTGGCTTATAAAATTGATTTTGGGCTTAAAAAAAAATCGATTTTAGCTTTTAAAAATCGTTTTGTCTTTAAAAATAGATTCTGGGCTTCAAAAAATCAATTCTGAGCTTTAAAAAATTGATCTTAAGCTTTAAAAATTAATTTGAGCATAAAAAATTAATCTTAAGCTTAAAATATTGATTTTAAGCCGAAAAAATTGATTTTAAGCAAAAAAAAATTCGGCTCCATTTGACGGTGCACTTTGTCCGGGCCCTAGACACATATATTAGTTATGGAAGGAAGGAAGTCAACTGAAATATATGTAAACGTAATGACCATCCAGTCCCGAATTTGAATATCTACACACTGTCGTTGATATATTCCACCAATAGTAAAAGGGAAGGGAAGGATTTCTGAGAAATGCTGAAAATGGAAAGACAACGAACAACAATAAAGGGATATAAACGGGCATAATTGACCCTAAAAAAAAGTGAAGGGATATAAAGATAAAAAAATATTTAAGAAGCGGCACTCAGATGAAGCTGAACTAACGAAGCATAAACTCCGTCAGTGATATTAATCAAAGTCTCGTGCTTCCCCTTCTCGACGATGACTCCGTTCTTAACGACAGCGATTACGTCAGCGTTCTTAATCGTCGATAACCGGTGAGCTACCACAATCGTTGTCCGGTTTACCATAACCCGGTCAAGCGCGTCCTGTACCACGCGCTCAGACTCAGCGTCAAGAGCACTCGTTGCTTCGTCGAGTAGCAACACTTTGGGATCCTTGACGATGGCTCTCGCTATGGCCACTCGCTGCTTTTGCCCGCCCGATAACTGGATTCCTCTTTCTCCCACCATCGTATCGTAACCCTGAAAGTAATTTCGGGTTATTTTGGATCCGACCCGAGAACCTATTTCCATAAAAGAAAGCTTGATTTTTTGAAATTTACCTGCTGTAGACCACTGATGAATCCATGGGCGTTTGATAGTTCAGCTGCAGATACGATTTCGGATTCACTCGCGTCTCCTCCTTTTCCGTAAGCAATGTTGGCTCTGATCGTTTCGTTGAACAAGATCGGTTCTTGGCTCACGAGTCCCGTTTGTTGTCTTAGCCATTTTAGTCGCAGGCTCTTTATCTCCACTCCGTCCAGAGTGATCTCACCTGAATCTGGATCGTAAAACCTCTGTAGCAAAGCAATCACCGTTGATTTCCCGCTCCCGCTTTCTCCGACCAAAGCAACCGTCTGAAAAAAAAAACAGAGATTCCCTTTTCTTAAAGGTCCTGTCTTTTGTTTTGACGAATAATCTAAGTAAGGATGGATGGATGCAGAGTTTATGAATCCTAACCTTTCCTGCTCGAATACTTAGACAGAGATCCTGAAAGATTTGAACATCTGGTCTTGCTGGGTATTTGAAACTGACATGACGAAGCTCAATGTCTCCTTTAACGTTATCCAACACTCTTCCTGATTCCACACTTGGGTCAATCTTCGATTCCCTGTCCATAATCGCGAAAATCGAGGCAGCAGCTATATCGGCTTTGCTGGAATCAGGGGATAATGAACTCGATTGAGAGATAGCAATAGCCGCCATTGTCAAAGCAAAGAAAACCTGCATTATTATTATTGTAGTAAACATCATCAGAGACGATCGATCAGAGAGAGAGATAAATCAATCAGTTTTGCTCTGTTTCATTTTCTATAAGTGTACCTTGAAAACAGAGTCGAAGTTTGTTTTGCCGTCGTCGACAAGCCGTGCGCCCACATAGAAACTGGTGGCGTAAGAAGCGAAGAGGACGAAGAAAGAAAAACCGAAACCAATACCACTGACTATGCCTTGACGAATCCCTGTCTTCAGAGGACCTTCACATTTCTTTGTGTACATGTTCATCACTTTGTCTTCTGCGCAGAACGACGCAACGGTTCTTATGCTCCCAACCGCATCATTCGCTACCTGGCTAGCTTCCCCGTACATTTTCTGCCAAATGATTACACAAATCTCAATCAAATGTTACGATAGCACATTTGTAGTATACTTGTATGAAAAAGTTGAAAACCGAAAAGCAACTTCTTTACCTTTGCATCTGCGCTGAAACCTGTCATGAACTTCATATATAGAAATCCATTGAGTGCAATAAGCGGAAGCATCGCGAGGACGACGAAAGCTAACTGCCAGCAAGCCAAGAAGGCAATGATGAGACCAGCCAATATAGACGACAGATTCTGAACCATCTGAGCCAAAGCATCTCCCACTAGACCACGGATCGCTGCTGCATCTGCTGATAGCCTTGCTCCTATGGTTCCGCTCGAGTTCTCTGGCTCATCGAACCATCCGACTTCCATGTGAACCACTTTCTCAAAACACATACTTCTTATCCTCTGCACCAGTTTACATCCAGCTATGGCGAAGAAGAAAGTTTGCGCCGGGTACGCGATGACGGAGGCAAAACCAAGAACCATGAATATGATTGCCCAAAAGCTCGTGTCTTCTTTTAGCTCTTTAGGCGGTTTGAAAAACGCTTTGATAACGCTTGCGATTAGTATTCCGAAGATAGGAAGTATGACTCCATTTGCTGCTGCGGATATAGCTCCGAGTATAAGGACCGGAATCTCTGGTTTGTTTAGAGCAGCGATCCTGCGAATCGACACTTTCTTTTGTTTGGTTTTCGGAACCTCTTCTTGATCTTGAGCTACGTCGTTCCCTTCAATCCCTGCTGGAAAACCAAACATATTGAAAGAATGGCGGCTGCTGTTTCCTCTGGATGATCCTCCTTTGCTTAGAGACCGGCCTAGAGATGATTTTCTCAGACTTGATTGTTTGAATGATTCAATTGATGACATCTTTTGCTCATCCTCAGGATTCTCATCGGATCTCTTCTCTTCTTGTAGACGGATTAGTTGAGAATAAGCTCCTTCCGGGTCCTTCAGTAGTTCACTGTGAGAACCTGTTCATCAAATTCTCCATATCAAATCACACAGCAAAAAAGTGTAGGTATAAAGAATGTTAGTTAATTAACTACCTTTCTCTACGATCTTTCCTTGGTGAATGACAGAGATCATATCAGCATTTCTCACAGTGCTTAACCGATGAGCAACCACAACTGTAGTACGGTTAACCATGATTCTATCAAGCGCTTCTTGAACCACTCTCTCAGATTCTGCATCAAGCGCGCTTGTAGCTTCGTCCAAAAGCAAGATTCTTGGATCTTTTAAAATCGCTCTAGCCACTGCGATTCTCTGTTTCTGTCCACCTGAAAGCTGAGTACCGTGTTCTCCAACCATTGTGTCCAAACCCTGAGGAAGCTTGTCCACAAACTTTGACGCATTTGCAAGCTCCGCAGCCGCTTTAATCTCTTCGATTGTAGCGTCTTCTTTACCGTACGCTATGTTGTCCTTGATGCTTGAAGTGAACAAAACCGGTTCTTGACTCACAAGTCCAATCTTGCTTCTGATCCATTTTAGCTGAAACTCTTTTAGGTTAATCCCATCTATGAGAACCTCGCCGGCTTGTGGATCGTAAAACCGCTCGATCAGACTCACAACAGTAGATTTCCCGCTCCCGCTCTGTCCAACCAAAGCCACGGTTGTTCCACTCGAGATAAACAGTGAAAATCCACGAAATATTTGCTCATCTGGTCTCGCTGGGTAAGTAAAGTAGACATCTTTAAGCTCAATATCTCCTTTGATGTCATCCAACACTTTACCATTTGTACTATAAGAGTCAATGTCAGGTCTTCTCTCTATTGTCTCAAACATCTTGTAAGCCGCAGCTTGTCCAGCTGCAAACGCGCTTAAGCAAGGAGATGCTTGACCTAACGACCTAACAAAGGAACCAAAACAGATCTCAAAAATTAGGTTTCAGGAAAGGAAAGTTAACACACCACAAAAAAAGACGCATTGTTGTCGTCCTTACATGGATCCAGTTAAAACAGAGATGATGATATTGAGGACTTGTCCTCCTGTGTAACCTTTGTCTAGAATCAACTTTCCTCCATACCAAACCGCTAAAGCGTAGCTACAGAAGACTACGAGAAAGAGCGTTCCAAGTCCCAATCCAGTTGAACCACCTTCAATGACTCCTGCTTTATAAGCTGTTACAAGATGTTTATTGTAATTGCTTATCGCTTGTCTCTCTCCCGTAAAAGAAGCAACCTGAAAAATCAGACAAAATCCCTCTGTAAATTTGTCATCTCTGTTTTTTTTTTTTGGTATAAAGTAAGTAGTATAATTATACCGTTCGTATGGAACCAATTGTTTGCTCAACGACAATGGCAGCTTTGGCATAAGCGGTTTGTCCATGAGAGGCTGTTCTAGCAATGACGATGGCCAGACCAGCACCCGCAATTACAAGAAGAGGAATTGAAGATAACATAACTAATGTTAAAAGCCATCCTCTTATGAAAGCTATCACAAAGCCTCCAACAAAAGTTGATAAAAGTTGTATAGCTTTCCCCACCTGCCAAAAAACGTTATCTTTTTATCCACTGTTTCTTGTTCTGGGAAAATAAACCAAAAAAGTTGGAAACTTCAAAATTGTTTTTGTTTTTACTTGACTCTGTGTACCTTCTCTCCCATGGCATCTTGGATTAGCACAGTGTCACCAGACATTCTTCCAACGACTTCTCCGGTATTTGTATCTACGTCGAAAAAGGCGATGTCTTGTCTTAATATTGTCTTTAGATACATACTTCTTATTCTTGCTGCTTGTCTCTCTCCAGAAATCATCCAACCAGACAATTCTGAACATTCATAGACACCAAGAACGTTAAAAACTCTGTTTTTCGTAAGACCTTTACCAAAAAGTTTAAATTTTTTGATAGATCCAATAGCTTACGGAGAAAAGCAGCCGCAAAAGTACCGATTCCAAGCCATACAAACTTCAGAGCTACCTGTGAGTGAGTTAATAAACTGTTATTAGCAAAAGTAAAATCTCGAAACCGATCCTAAATTAAGAGAGAAACATCATCTGATTTATTTACTTTGGAAACTTTGTCGGTAACATTTGAATTAGCCTGATTCTGTCCAAAAGCATCTACTAGATCTCCGAACAGTACGGTCATAATAGGGAAGCCGAGACCATTTCCAATAGATCCAAGCGTCCCGAGGATCATCAAGAGGAAATCCAAGGAATCTGCAAAAGCAAAGAGCTTGTAAAACGGCACCGTTTTTGTTTTCTCATGATCTTCGTCGTTCTTCTCTGTTTTCTTCACTTCTTTCTCTCCCTCTTCTTCTCTGCTTCTCTTGGTCTCAGAAACCTCTTCTACTATATGTACATCTCCGTTGAAGCCGTTCTCGGACGCCATTAGATTTTTCACTGATTCCTTATGATCCTAAGCATTTAAAAGAACAGAGGAGAGACATGATAAGCTTCTAAATCTATGAGTTGAGATATTTAAGAGAGAGTGTATAATTAAATGGGGAACATAAAGGTCAGACCAAGAAGGAAAAAAAATATATAGGAAACAAAATCAAGGCTTTCACAATCAAAAGTTTTGTTTTTGATTTAATATCAATCTTCACCAACCATGAAAAAACCCTAAAGATCTAGTTTATATTTTATCTTTTCCTAAATCCTGTTTTTTTTTTTTCTTAACGAACATCTGAGCAAACGATAAAACCTGAAGCAAGATCCGTCAATTACAACAAGGCTTCACAGAAACGGTGGTGCAGACAAAAACCAGAGCTACAAAGTAGAGAATATATATACATGTATATATAAAGCAGAGAATATGAACATATTGATTTATATATATATATATATGTATATGTGTACCTATTTAGTAAAATATGTACCTGGAACAGGAACAAGAAGAAGCTGAAAAGTGAAAAGGCCGTTTAGCGACTCCTTGTTGTCTGCCGTATAAGCTGTTGAAAATTGTGCAGAGATCTCTCTGCTTCCTACTTATATCTATTTTGTTTATGTATATAATTGTAAGTGAAGTTTGTAAAGACTACAAAAAGCAAAGACTAATGTGAGTTTATTATATATTGCTCTGTTTTCTTGACGAACAAGCCGTGACTTGCTCAAGAGAAAGAGAAAATGGATGACAAACGAATAATAATTAAAATTCATTGAAATTAATAAACTTGGTCTTATGGATCTAATATATAGTCGCTTCTTTTCTTTTCTTTTTTTCCTTAACTCAAATGAATTCGTAAGATACTTTGTTGCTTGTCTTAATTTTAAATGATTTTCCATTCCCATTCTTGTCTCATAATGCTGACCAGACGAGTATCTAGCTGTTTTGTTTAATCACAACTCCTACTATTATTTTAACGTAAAGTTTTCAACTTTTGATTTGGCAGGACCGGTTGATAATTAAAAATCAGGTGTGGACTTCATTACTCTTTAATTTTAATATAAAACCGATCTCTAATAGCTAGCCAATTTCGTATGTACGTGTTTGTCTGTGCATATATGTACGATTACTAGGAGTGACTAGAGAGAGAGTAACATTTTAGTTTTAATTTATGATAAGCTATGTATATAATATTTTTTCAAAAAAAAAAACAAAACAGGTATACCACAAAGAACTCAATACAAAAGAAAAAGCTGATTTTTTTGTAATTTTCTTCCATCGGTTTAGTTGACTTTCTCGTTCGCATTAGTTGTGACTTGTGAGTCTTGTGACTATGATACCATTGGCAAGTGCAAGTGCAACATCTATTTTCTTTTAGCTGTAAAATCTGTAATCATAACTGCGTTTTGACAACGGATGTAAAGCATGTGCAACAAAATTCTGCATCACATACTAGCTTGTGCTGAAAGAATAAATCAAAGGATTTCGAATTCCCAAAATCTAGAATACTTTAATTATACTGCAGTTAAGCTAAAACATTATAAAATTGGATTTTGATATCTGATCAAATCTTTGCATTAACATATTAGCTGGGGAACCACGTGATCTGATTTGCCTTACGAGTTACGAGCAAGAAACTAGTCTAAAATTACTTATGATGAAAACGAAATATTTTTTTTTAGGTGAACTCCAGGAGTAAAAAAAAAGTAAAAAATACAGAATAAAAAAAGAAGAAGAAGAAGAAGAGACATTTCTTTTCTTTTTTTCAGGGAGGAATTGTCAATTGTCGACCATTACTTCTTTTGCGGGCTTTTTCCAGAATCAATGAATCTTTTTCTTATCCATCTAACGAATTAAGAGCCTGACGTCATTCCTGACATAAATGCTCTTTCTGTATTTATATCTATTGCCCACTTCTATTTATTTATCAATCATATACTTTTTTCCAGATTAGAAAATAATTACTCACTACTTGCAATATTGTTCCAAATAATGATGCTACAGTGTCTAAATCATGTGAGGCGCTAATGAGACATGAATTTGTGATTCGATTTTAGATTTTTTTTATTCTTGCTTTAAACTTTGTAAGTGTTCTGTTGTTGTCTCGCAATCTGGCTATTAGATAAAAAAAAATTCTGAAGTTTAATTCCAAATTCCTTTGATCGATTGCAGCAAGCACATTGTGAGGCGTAGACCTTTTTAGGTGGGGGGGGGGAAATAAAAGAAAATAAACCATTATAATCATTGGATTCCCCACTAAACCTTTGGAACTATATAAATTCCCGACGAAACCACAAGTAGATTTTGACCCGGCCCGAGAACCCGGATCCATGGATCTTGAATTTGGAACAACCTTTTATACTTTGCAGTCCACTGACGGAGCCATTGGCCCATGGGCCTGACGACCTAAAATAATGCACAAACGAGACGCAACATTTTAAACGAGACGAAAAAAATCTCAAACTTTTTATCATGTTTTGGCTCTCTAGAGTGCAATCAACAATGCTATGATTTCATTCACACACCAATACACCGGTTATTTCCGGTTCAATCAAATCAGGATTCACCTTCGTTCAACGCTCCTATAGTATCATAGCAGCATCAGGCATTCAGGCCCGTGTCTTAGTATTGTTATATCTAAATTTTTTAAGAATATCCATTTCATCTAGTATAAATCTTGATGGGTTTGCATCAGGATTCGGTTCAAACTGGTTTGAAAATAATCCATTAGAAAACAATGCAATTTTGGGAATGTCTTTATGAATCTGATCAAAAGCATTAATATGCGTTGCTTTAATCTGGATCAAGAAGAGCAAGTCATGGTTTATTCCTCATTTATCGCCACTAAGATAACAAAGAAGACTAACAGCTTCTTTGACTTCAAAAATCATTTATTACACATTGAATTGTTCACCAACTACCACTACACTCCACCAAAAACAGCTCTTTTTACCCATTAAAAACAACGGAAACTAAATGAAGAAGCAGAGGAAAAAAAAAAAAACAAAATGAAGCAATTGGCTCCAATCCTCGCTGTGGTAAACTTGCTTTTCCTGGTTCATGGATATGACGTATCTTCATCATCAGCGGTTGGAGATCCTGGGATGAAGAGAGACGGTCTCAGAGTGGCGTTTGAAGCTTGGAACTTCTGCAATGAGGTTGGTCTCGAAGCTCCTCACATGGGTAGTCCCCGAGCCGCAGATTGCTTCGATGTCTCTACTAAATGCAGCAAAACGCACAGAAAAAAACTATCAAACTGCACAAGTAAGCTTCGTATTCTTCTTCCTCCTCTGTTTTTCATCTCTCTGTTTCCCTCTGTTTTGAAAAAATATGATTTTTGAGCAGGTGGTTATTCCTTGGTGCACAAGGTATCAGATTCCGACAACAAGCTAGGGATCGGGAAGCGTAAATCAGGAATCATATCAGAACCAGCATTACAAAACCCTGACCTTTACGCGGTCGAGAAAGAACTCTATCTAGGTTCTCTCTGCCAAGTCTCAGACAAACCAAACCCATGGAGTTTCTGGATGGTGATGCTCAAAAACGGAAACTACGACACAAAATCCGGTCTTTGCCCTCAAAACGGCAAAAAGATCCCACCTTTTAATCAACAGGGAAAATTCCCATGTTTTGACACCGGCTGCATGAACCAACCGGTACTGAACCACGGAAAGACCGAGCTCCTTGGAGACGGTTACACAATGAGGGGCTGGTTCAATGGAACGTACGAGCTTGAAGCAGATTTGGGAGATGGGTTCGATGGGATAAGTTATTACGAGGTTGTGTGGGAGAAGAAAGTTGGTGGTGGAGGTTGGGTATTTAAACACAAGCTTAAGACTTCACCAAAGTATCCATGGCTTATGCTTTACCTGAGAGCTGATGCAACCAGAGGATTCTCTGGTGGATACCATTATGACACTAGAGGAATGCTCAAAACAGTAAGAAGCACATAATTAACCTTTTTTCTCTAGCTTAAAAGAGTTTTGATCTTTTTGTGTTTTTCAATTTTGAAGTGTTGTTTTTATAGCTTCCGGAGTCACCAAACTTCAAAGTGAGACTAACACTAGATATCAAACAAGGAGGAGGACCCAAGAGTCAATTCTACCTACTCGACATCGGAAGCTGCTGGAAAAACAACGGCGAGCCTTGCGACGGTGACGTAACCACCGACGTAACTCGTTACTCGGAGATGATCATAAACCCAAAGACCTCGGTTTGGTGCAACCCGGAGACTCTCCAAAATTGTCCACCGTACCACACGTTTCGAAACGGCACGAGAGTCCACCGTACGGAAAACCGGAGATTCCCTTACGGGGCTTACCACATTTACTGTGCGCCTGGAAACGCCGAGCAACTCGAGCTTCCGGTGGGGACTTGTGATGCGTTTAGCAACCCACAGGCTCAGGAGATTCTTCAGCTTCTGCCTCACCCGGTTTGGGGTGAATTTGGGTATCCGACCCGAATGGGTGATGGTTGGGTGGGTGACCCGAGAACTTGGGAGCTTGACGTTGGTGCTCTCTCTAGTAGCCTTTACTTCTACCAGGTGACTGGTTGAACCGGTTTGTCTTATTTTATTTTGGTTTCTTTCCGGGTTGAATTTTGATTTTGGTGCGGTTTAATTGGTTTTGTCTTAGGATCCCGGTACGACTCCGGCGAGGAGGATATGGACATCGGTGGATGTTGGTACGGAGATTTTTATTGATCAAGGAATTGCAGAATGGCATCTTTCTGATTTCGATGTTCTCATTACTTAGATTTCACTTCCCTGATTACCTATTAATAGGACCCAAATTGAATAATGCTAATATCAAATTAATTATTTTTCGAATTGTTTTTAATTTTAATTTCTATAACAACCAAACCAAAAATCTAACCAATCCAATCAAAAACAAAGTTCTTTTTCTTTTTTCAGATCAAAGCAAATAAATTCCGACGTATTGTGTAGTAGCGGTGTACCAGAAAGAATGCAATGTGTACTAATTTGACCCCCTAAATTGGTACTTGCGATGTGATTGGGTCCTACCACGTGGCAGCTTAATTATTCTCTACCTTCCGATTTCCCAATGTCCAAATACACACAAAAAAAGTCGTATAAAAAGTACAACATAGAGAGGGTGTTAAAGAATACAAGAAAACGTAATAATAGTTGTACTCTGTTTTTAGCTAAGATCGAAGTACAAGAATTTGCAAACACAAAGAGTAGTACAACTGGTGAATTCTCCCGTTGTACATCACAAAACAGGGTTCCAAAATCTATTTAAACCCGGTGACAAAAACACCAAACACAAAGAAAGAAACTCAAAGGAAATGGCCAAGTTCAAAGGGTAAGCCGTAACCCTTTCTTTAATCATCGGTCTTGCAAATGAAAGAAGAAGACAAAATGGTAACGAGACAGACAGGGAACAAGCAGAGCATGGATTGAGTTTACTAAAACATCAAACGACTGTGTTTTGTCTCTTCCCATGCACTGCCTCTTCCCTGGCTCCCTCTTTCTCTCTTCTCTCTTTTTCTCCTTCAATTTTTCACATCTTTTCTTTCAATGGATTTTATTTCTACTGCTAACGCCCTTGTGACACCTAAGGGCTTTGCTCTATGTTCATCAAGTGGAGCTGAATGAAGCAATGGCATCCATTTCTTGGCGCAAGAGAAGGGCATCGATGAAGGAGTCCAGATTCTCTCCCTGCATCATATCTTCAATGGCGTGGTGAGTGATTCCCACACGGTGATCTGTCACACGCCCTTGTGGGAAGTTGTACGTACGGATACGTCCGGATCGGTCTCCACTGCCAATCTGTTAACGGGATTTACACATTTATCAGCTCAGCTAGAAAATGATGTAAGAAAAATTGAAAACATAAGATAAAACAAAATTTGTTATTTACATATGTAAGGTACCTGTTCTGACCGTAGCTTTGATCGACTGCTCTGTAATCTCAACCTTTCGATCTCGTAGAGCTTTGCACAGAGTACTTTAAGTGCTTTGGCTTTGTTCTGTTATAAATAGAAAAAAAGTGGAGATTTTTCAGTAGGATGTACAAGTGTGTGAGAATAAATGATAGCGGTTGAAGTATTTAGCTACCATATGTTGTGATCTTTCGTCTTGGATCGAGACCATAATCCCCGTTGGAAGATGGATTATTCGGACTGCACTATTCGTTGTGTTGGCATGTTGACCACCGCAGCCGCCAGACCTGTAAGTATCAATCCTCAAATCTTCATTCCTTAGCTGAACATCTACCTGTAAGCCAGATGATCATAGAGCATTTAGGTTTGTAATATTAATCGAGAAGAAAGGTACAATGTAAAGTTCGTAAGATAAATTAAATAAAAGGTGTCAAAACTAAGATTGGAGAAACTTTGATACCTCATCAGCCTGGGGAAGGATGGCAACAGATACAGCGCTGGTGTGAATACGTCCAGATTTCTCTGTGATTGGAATACGCTGTGGAAAGATTTTTTTTAAGTGTTAAATAACTTAGAGAACATTCATTATATGAAAATATGTGAAATGCCAAAGGAATCAGAGTGTGGTTCATATATATCACACCTGAACCCTGTGAATTCCACTCTCGAACTTAAGTTTACCGTAAACACTGGCTCCACAAATCGCCGCACTGGCTTCCTGGCAATTACATTCAAGATCTTAGCTGCAGTAGAACAGAGCAATGGTGGAATACTAATATCCACAGAAGGAATAAAAATGCTTACTTTATATCCTTTCATATCTGACTCGGTGATGTCTACAATTTCAAACTTCCAACCTTTCTTCTGTGAGTACCTTTCGTACCTATCAAATATCAATATCCCAAAACCGGATTAAAAGAAAAAGAAAAACATATTAAAGTTAAAGTTAAAGTACGAAGAAGGATAACTAGCTTCTACTTGCAGTGTATTGATGATGAACTTACATTCTGAATATGTCCATGGCAAACAAAGAAGCCTCTTCTCCACCAGTACCTAACCAAGACATCAACTTGTCAAAAAGAAGATATCTTTTTAAAAATTCATGGATATTGTGGGAAGTGGCGTGGTGTTTAAGAGCATATAGTTCATAAGTCTACCTGCTCTCACCTCCAAAATGCAATCCCTTTCATCAGCTTCATCTTTAAGAAGCAGAGACTTAAGAAGCAATGTCTGCAGTCTTTTTTCTTCTTCCAAGGCCTCATCTAATTCACTTAAAGCCATATCAAGCATGTCCTTGTCATCCGAGCTCTCTGAGACCAGAGATTTCAACCCATCAATCTCCTGCCAAAAGGAATTAAACCTTATACATGATGACCTTTTGGATAAAGAAAAAAAAAAGTAGAGACTGTAAAAATCACAAATTCAGAACCTTTTGTATGGCCCTCAAATCAGTGATCAGCTCCATAGACTCTCTCAGCTTCCGGAGTTCCTTGTTAGCTCTTGAAAACTCTTCTTGTGAGTACTCAGGCTGTCTTCAATCAACAGAATGTCAAAAATCAATTAGCAATGAGTGAGGTGTGATAGATAGCAAAAATCGTTGGATGAGGAGTTACCTGGTTAATAAGCCTCTGAAGAAAAGCATTTCGATGTTCTATCGCCGATAGTCTCTGATCCATTATCTTGATAAGATCTGGAGACAGCTGAGGTTCCATTTCTGCCATCATAGACCGAATGAATAATCACGGTTTAGACTAAAGGGACATTCAGTGCAATGTTTGAACAGCCATCGACGAAGCTATTGATTTGTATTGAGAATATTAGAAGAAAAAACAAAAACGTACCTGTGGAGTACATACGAGCCATCGTCGACGAGAGAAACGGTGGTATGCTACGATCGACTGGATGCGTTCCTCTCGAGCAAGATCGAGCAATCATAACAATTGCCCGAGACATCCCCCTCATCTTTTGTCTTTAGCAGAAATCTTAGGATTATCTTTAGGTCTTTCTGATTAATTTTCAGACCCAACGGTGACGATGATGGAACTTTTGCCGGAAAGGAAGGACTCGAGGGTTTTGGTATATTTGTAATTCCAAATCTTCTTAAGGGTTATCTCGTCATTTCCTTTACTTAGTCTTTTTTTTTTTTTTTGTTCGTCTACCCCTTATTACATCATCACGTGTGACCAGTCGGAGAAAAACTTTAGGAGCCAATCTCGACCGGTTCGGAATGATGTATGTGGGAAAAAATTTGTCCCTTAACTCGGGCTCTCTTTGCAAGACTATCCGCTCGGAGATTTTAACTTTTAGGGATATGGACTAAAACAAATTCCGAGAAGCTTGTGCGGAGGTGATGGAACGAGTCTAATTCAGCTCTGAAAGATGGCCAGTCGGAGAGAGACTCTGACATACTTACAAGATCCGAGCAATCAGTCTTAACGATAACTAAAGAAATCTGCATTTCCTTCAAACATGACATAGCCCATAAGAGACAATCCATCTCAGCGTGAAGAGCAGATAAGTTTTTGCGACATCCTTGTTGTCCAAAAATTTCGCTTCCTCTTCCGTCTTCCAAGCTCCACCCGAGACCACTGACAGGTCCATGATCAATCCACGAAGCATCAATCCAGCAGATCGGGATCCGTAGGACCTCAGGAGAGGATGTCAGGATCAGAGGTGGGACCGAGGAACCATGAGAAGCGTCCTCAACATCTTCAGGTTGATTCGCGATCCTCTAGCTTTCCGCTTCCACCTTTACCTGAATCAGAGTGTCTCTCGGAAAAGTTTCTTTCCCGTTGAAGATCTTGTCGTTTTTTGCTTTCCAAATGTACCATAGGATTCAAGGATATACATCCTTTTGTCGTTTCTCGCTTTCCTTTACTTAATCTCTCTCACCCATTCTTCTCTTATTTGCCATCTATTGGGTATAAATCTAATATGTAGGTCCTTAACTTATAATAATAAGATTAAGAATTTACAGAACAAAACTTTAATAAATTAGAAATCATTTACAAATATTTTAGAAAATTACTTATTAGACATAGGTACAACAAAGTAGATAAATTTCATATATCAAAATATAAAAATAAAAATGAAACAACATATATTGTCAATTTTTTTTCCTCATCTTTCATACGTGAGACAAACAAAAAGCAAATCTTACAACTTCATCTCCGCGCATATTACCTCCTACCGAAAACGAACGTTGTATTTTTCACCTTTTACATGAACACGTACTAGTCCACATTGTGTTTTTTTTTTTGGTAAATTAATTTATAGTCCAAGCGTGACAGGCACGTTAGCTTCTTGAATCCAGTTAACCGGACCTAACCAGTTAGCGACGGTGAAGTCATTGACCTCAGCAGCAGACTTGGCGATCTTAACCCAGTTAACTCTCCTATTGGTGATAGCTCCTGGTCCACGGTTGTTGTATTCAACGTACCTACATGTCTTGTGGAAACTTTCTCCATCCCAAATTTTCCAACCTTCTGGTCTAATCACATCTCCGATCTCAGTGTTAATGATCACGGTGGTCGAGTATTGCTTCCACGGCCTTCCCAAGTATGACTCTACGGTTAACCTCTCTGCCGCTAGTTTCTTGTCAGGAACGATGCGGCAGTTCTGGAGGACGATACCGATCTTCATGGCTAATCCCTTTTCGTTTCCGTCGGCTGTGACCGTGTTGAATTGTCCCTTGTTTCCTTTACGCACGACGATGAGTGAGTTTTGGATAACTGTCGCTGATTTTCCGAAGATGAAGTCGACTGTTCCTGAGACCACGCAGTTCCTGTAGTATTGACGACCGTTGTTCACGTATAGAGTGTCTTGGTAACCGTCGAATCTGCAGTTGAAGACCACGGCTCGGTCTCCGTTGACTCGGATAGCCACGGCTTGGTGTCCCATTGGACCGGCTGTGTTCTTGAACCCGATCCATTTCGCCATGAATCCTTCAGATTCAACCTCTGTACACAACGTACATATATGTAATATATTAGTTAGATTATTATATATAGAGAGAGAGAGAGAATTAATAATTGATTAAGGGTTAATTTGGTGAGACTTACGGACGGTGCCACTAAGAGAAGTGGTGGTTCCAGGGCTGAGCTTAACACTTCTGTTGTAAGTAATAACGGTCTTTCTTGCACCATCTCCGAACATGAAGATGTTGTTCTTCTTCTTCGGGATAATAACTTGCTCTCTGTAGATACCAGCCTTGATGTGGATGATGCATCGTCCTGGGTTTTTCTCGGGACAAGCGTTAACGGCTTCTTGGACCGACTTAAACTGTCCGCTTCCGTCCTTGGCCACAACAAAGTTGGCTCTGATTCTAGCACCGCCTCCTCTTCGGCCACGTCCAGCATTAGCCATGAGCTTCCTGTCAGCACCAGAAACCCATGTTGGGACTCCGGTCTCGTCAATGTCTTCAAGAAGACGGCGAGCAGGACCATCTGGGTCAGCCACGGGGGATTCATCAGCGGCAGGAGTTGCTCCTTTGCCGATGGCAGCTGCTCCTTTGTCCATGATTCCGCCTGTCACGTTCTTGAACTCGTCGACCTTGAGGTTAAGCTTGGCCATCGCGCTGACGACAGTGTGGAAGATGTCGATAGCGTTGCTAGTGAGAATCTTGGAGCTTGCAATGCCTTCAGCAATCGTCTTTCTCAAATCATCTTCTTCGATATCGTCAAGACAATCGGTTTGGTAGTTGTAAACACCAGTTAACCATTGTTTAAGCTGGTCGATTTTGCTCCCGATCTGGTTAAGATCTTCACCCATTTCCTCAACAATGGTACCAAGATCCTCAAGTGCGTACATGAAAACCCTCTTGCAGTAATCAAGAACGGCTTTGTTGTTTGGAGAGATGCTCGAACCCATGTTTCCTTCGGTTTTACCCGTGAAGTTTGATGATTTGGTTAATGCATCTTGGGTTGCGAGCATGAAGGCCTTGATTAGCTTGTTTGGGTCATCGCTCTTGACCGGCTCGAGAGTTTTGACACATGCAGCTTTGTCGGAAGTTGCCTGGCAAATTCCTTGAACCGCCTTCATCTGCGGAGACAGAGGAGTGTCTCCATTTTTGTTAACGAAGGCAACGACTCCTATGACTACTCCGACCACTAAGAGGATGGAGGCTACCGAAACAACAACTTTTCCAATCATTTTTTAAGGTTTTTTTTTTATAAACAAAAAAATAATATTTTGTTTTCTGTACTTTTTTTTGATTTTTTTTTCTCCCTCCGGTTTATTTAGAGAAGTTAATCGGAGAGGGAGGGGCTTTATTAGAGAAAAGCCAAGTTGTTTAATGACTTGGGCCAGTGAAAATTATGATGGATTCGGGAGGTTTTTATATATTTTTTTTGGTTTCTAAAATTAGGGACGTGCATGGATTTTGCATGGAGAGAGAGAGATTTACGGTCGACGAGTGGCTGAGAATATCTGGCCAAAAAAAGCTTTAATTAACTGACGAGATTATGTAATTGCTTAGTTGTGAGGTTTAAAATTGGTCACCGCAAGATAAATATGGCGTACGTCTCCATATTAGAAGGTGTGGTGGCTAAATTGACTACAAATTAAAATCAAGTACTTATACAGATAAATTTCTTTAAAAAAGCCTAAGATATAATATCTTATTTTTGTAATTAAAAATGTCGGGACCACGTACAAAAACCTAAATAACATTTTGTCATAATAAACTTGTTTATTGCCACAAATTCTGTTTTTATAAGTTTTTGCCAATTGGACCTTAATTAGGGGCTTTGTTACATTTCACTTATCAAGCTTATATCGAAAAAAGACCAAATATACTAACGTTGATCGTCTTACGGTAAATCAAGATTGATTTTCTGAATATTAAACATGTTTCTAGCTCTAAATTAACAGCTTGAAATCTTGATAAAGGTTTTGCAAGCGGGTCCTTATCAATTCCTTCTTGGTAGAATGTCTATCTAAAGCTTTTATCTTCCTAAATATGACCAAACGTTCGATTTGAAAAGCTTCTGACGGTGTATAGTTAGTGGTAGTTTGCTAGCTTGAAGTTGTTTGTTAAGCTGTTAGAGTGATAGTTGCACATTTATGTGACTAATTTTATGTAAACAAAGCTACTTTACAGTTTGGTAATTTAGTTGATGAGACGCATTCTTTTTGCATTTCTCTCACTGTCTCGCTCGAGCTAACAGTATTATAATATAAGATCCACAAAAGATGACATTTCTAAGTTGTATTTTAGATTCTGTGAAATATCTAAAACTACAAGCCAGGAAAGTTTAATTGGAAGAGTCTATATATCACTACACACACACACACACAAAAACAGGATTATATTGCAGCAACAAAAATATGATTAGCTGTTCAACTTGGTAAAAGGTCGTTACATACACGTGAATTAAAATCTGTCGTTTTATGCTTTAATTTTTCTATTATGTAGTCATTCAAAATTTTAAGTCAAAATATAGAATCGACGAAGAAGAAAACGAATTAAAGTGTATGTAAATAAAAATAAATTATGCCAAAAAAGTTATTACAATTAAGTTTATTATTATTCGATAATAATCACGGTTTTCCATATCCTTTCCAACCACGAGGTCCATACATGATTATAATCCATAACATATTAATTACAAACATACATCAGAAGGAACCTTTCTTTACAAGATTCCAAGAATATCTGAAAAACCCAATCGATGCAAATTATTCATCACCATCGATGACGCCATACAATTTTTTTTATATATAAGAAATATTATATATTAATATATAAGGAATAAATCAATAGTAGTAAAACGACAAAGGTGGTGGGAGCAACGTATCGGTGTCTTTCTGGTTAAGTTTGGTCTTAATGTTGAAAGTGTTAAAGACTTTGCCCATTCCATCGAACACATCCACTGACTCACCACTCATTCTTTTCCCAAGCCCGATCCCTCCTTCAACCTCTTTCAGCAACGTCTTGTCGTAAATGTCATCGAGACAAGTCGAGTGGTAAGTGAAGATCGAAGTCATCTTCTTCTTACACGTGAAGTAGTTCTCAGCCATGCTCGTTAGGTTTTTTCCTGCCGCTTTCCAGAAATCTGCAAAGTCGTCCAAGGCGTTGTGCAGCTGTTTTTCGCAACCGGCGATCACATTTGTTGCAAAGGCGTTTCCTTTGTATTTGGGTTTGATATCGCCGAGGAATTTCAAGCCCTTTCTAACGGAAGTCTCTGCCGCCGTCGCTAAGTAACGGACCAAAACGGCGGGATCATCGCTTGGGACGTTTCTTAGGGTTATGCTACATAGACGTTTGTCTTGCACGACACTGCAGATTCCTGCGACGGCTTTTTCGTGTTCTGGTGTAACCGCGTCACGTTTGGTCGGGACTACGTATGCGGTTGCGGTTAGGGCGATGCAGAGAATGAGAAAGGCGAGTTTTATTGGAGTGTTCATTTTTTTTGTTTTTTTTTTTCTTTTTTTTTCTTGGACGTGGATTGGAAAGGAATAGATAGAAAAAGGAAGAAGAAAGGGTACGTCTATATATATAGATGTTTATATGGTTTTGCTAAATTTGGATGTTTTTAGTTTTTGGTTTTGACTATTTTCAAAGACGAATGGATGATAATGAGTAAATTGTGGCGTTTTTAATTAATATGTGGACATGCCATGATCCTGTCTTCAAAGAGACACTAACTCTTCATCTTCTTTTTTTCTCCTTTCTAATTTCCGACAGAGACACTCATTCTATCTTTTGTAAGGAAATTAGGGGAGACGATTAGAAAATGATCTAACCATAGTAAAGAAAAAGGGTATAAATATCAAGATAAAAATTATAAGTCCATAACATAAAAATTAGTTGAAAGAATTTAATAGTGTATGATCAGCGTACGCTTTTACCACAACATCAATGAAATCCAACAATAATATTGGCAATTTAGGCAGAGTCAGCAATTTTGTGGGGCGGTAAAACAAGAATCCAGGGATTTTCTTTTTTTTTTTTGTAAAAAATAAAAATTAATAATAAATAACACATAACGGAGATTTATGCACATTAAGTTTGATTAGTGTATATGGGAATAAAAATATCCGCGGAGGAGAAAGTGGTGTGGGTGGCTAATGTAAACCTTCGCCTGGAGCTGCGGCTCGAGCGTTCAACAAAGGTTGAAGAGCTTTGACAACAATACTCATATTCGGCCTAAAATCTGCTTCATATTGCACACACAATGCTGCAACCGCCGCTAACTGCGTTTCATCGTATCACTTGAGGTTAAGAACGGATCGTTTTAAGTAAAAGCAAAACTTGAGATTACCAAAAAATTAATTAAAAGGCCAAAGACAGTTCTGGTGATTGTTTATATACCTTAGCAACAGCTTTTGGAGGGTAATCTCCACCAAGTCTTGCATCAATGCATTGTTTAACCTTGTCTTCGCTCAGCTTAGGTGTAGCCTGATGCATAAGGAACAGTTTTTTTTAATGGTTTGAAAATCGCGGTATATGAAGACAAAAGATGTGTAAGATTGAGAGAAATCAGTACCCAAGTGACTAAACTTTGCTGGCCTCTGGGTAATCTATGATCCACAGGTTTTCGACCTGTAAGAAGTTCGAGTAAGACAACCCCGAAGCTGTACACATCACTCTTGGCATTTAGTTGCCCGGTCATTGCGTATCTGTTAAGACAAAAGGAAGAGCATTTGAGACTTGAGAGCTCACACTATTACATGTCGTCATCACAAGACAAATCTGCGTCCACTTACTCAGGGGCATGGTAACCGAAAGTTCCAAGAACACGGGTTGAATGAAGGCGAGCAGCCATATCAGGAGCTTGATTAGAGAGATCAAAGTCAGCAATTTTAGCAACATCATCATCAAAGAGTAGGACATTGCTGGATTTAATATCACGGTGAATGATGTGAGGGTTTGCTTTTTCATGCAAGTACTCAAGGCCTCTTGCAGCTCCAACTGCAATTTTGACTCGTTGATACCAAGACAATACAGGGCCTGGCTGTGCTCCCTTGACACCTTTTCTCCCTGAGGAATCATAAGATGTTTAAGCTAAAGTAATGCCCACAAAATCTAATATATTAGGTGTGCCTGGACTAGTCGTTTGTTACCATGAAGAATATCATGAAGGGATCCGTTCTTGGCAAACTCATACGCAAGTATCCGCGAATTCCCGTCAACACAGTAACCAAGAAGTTGAACAAAGTTATCATGCTTCAGCCTCGACACCATGGAAACCTGCAGCAAGCGGTAGAAATTCCCAAAGTTACAATCTTGACATAAATGAGAAGACATGAATGTTAATAAAACTAAAGCAAACCTGGGCAAGGAATTCATTGTCAGGCTGTTTGTTAGAATCCAACTTTTTAATGGCTGCAGGGAGGTTATTATTCAGCACCCCGTAATAAACTCTTCCATAGGAGCCTTCACCGATGAGAGAATTTGATCCAAAATCATCCGTTGCTTCCTTGAGTTCACTAACAAGGATGATTGGTACTTCGATTGGCTGCACCTTCACAATTTGAGCGCCCTTTTGCGCGGTTTCAGAGCCCTGGTGCCTCCCATCAGTGCCTGCGCCAGAATCCAAACTTCCATAAGGAAACAAAAACTAGCCAGTCTTGGATTTTTTGCTTAGTAAAGAAAAACACCAATTAGTAGTATTCCAAATACCTCCAAAGTGTTTGGCTGTGTTCTGGCCTCCTCCATAATCAGCAGCTTTATGCATATCATCCTCCTCGCAACAGCCAAAGCAGCTCATTTCTATCTGCGAGAGAACTGTCATATAGCAGCGTGACTTCCAAAACCAAAATCAAAACTTCACCTTCAAAAGAGATTCAAAATGGGAACACAAGTAGACAGCGAAACATAATGGCAAAAAGGTAAAAATAAAACTCAAATCGTCAGGTTATAGTTATACTTAAACCATAACAGACTCTAGTAACGGACAAGCTTTACAATCTCAAATCTAAATCTGACGTCAAGTCGGGGATATGAGTCAAGCGTGAATTTTAAACAGTCCCGCGACGAATCAGTAATGATACGAGATAGTAATGGCAATACTCGAAGATCAAAACATCATTTCCAAGTCCCAAATCGAGAACTCAAGGAGCAGAGCAAGCAAAAAATATCAAGAGCGAACCCAAAATAATCTACCCAAAAAAGAAGAAGGCTTTTTATACCTCTCGATCCAAGCAGAGAAAACACAGACGAATCAGTGGAAGTGAAAGGGAATGTGAGAGATTTCCGGAGATCTGAAAACGGCGAAAGTGACAATCTTTGAGCGTACGAAATTATAGGGGAAGAAAGTTGAAAAACGCGGAAACTTAATTGCAAATAAATAAGAAATTAAAAAAAATAATTATATTATTCTCGGCTTGATCATCGGTGGAGTGAAGCAGGTGGATTATATTAGATTAGCTCTCTAATCTAACTTTGACTTGTTTTCAAACTTAGATTAGTCACTTGACAGCGTGTCAATACAAGCGCCGTTGGATTATTTGACAAATCCAAAAGCCAATCTCGCCACCTTTTTTATTTTATCGTTTTAAAGAACCGGCGTTAATTCCGCCGTCGCCGCCATTCAACGAACCATGTTTTTTTTCTTCTTTCCCGTTGGGCAGTTGGGGTTCTTTCGTTTTTTTTTTTTCTTTTTCTATACGATTTGGATAATTTGTCAATTTTGTCTTCATTACAATATAATGTCAAAAAATCATGCATGGTCGAACCTAATATTTGAAATACATATTGATTCTTTTCTTAACATGCATCACTCAAATATATATTATTTCTGATAGAGACGTCTCTTATGAACTACTCATTGCAGTTATACATTATTTAAAAGTTCACACTTTCTTATAGTTTTCTTTTTTTTTTTAGTTAAATTGTGTCATCTTTTATATATGGGCAGGGGGTACTAAAACTATTAATCTTAATAGCTAGCTAGCTGCGTATGTTACGTATCATTTTATGTTTCCGCGTTATCTTTTGATATTGCGTTGCTTTCGTAAGAAACAACGACCATATGCATAATTTAGATAAATGATGCATATGGAGTTTGGTGAGTTGTGGGTCGTATATACGAAGTCGTTATCGAGCATGTGAACAAAATATGGCCATGTTCGAGAGGAATCATTGTGTCTTTTTGGTGACCAGCTTTATTTTAACACTAAAATCAATCCTTCTCTAACCATATGATTACCCGTTTTATATTTTCTTGGATTTTTTTTTCTTTCTCTTCTTCTTTATAGATTATGATAATTATTTATTCGGCTCCTAATTCAATATTTTTTTTGATTTTTTTTTTCCTTCTGAAAATGGCTTGACCTGGAATGGAATGTATATCTCACAGTCACAGACAACCAATAATCATGAGCATCATATGATTATAAGAAAGATGTGGAATAAATCATACTTTTAGGACGATTAGGAAATTATTGCATAATTTAATGGAATTAGATCCGTTGAGATTCTAAAGCTACCAAGACGATCGAGGAACATGGAAGAATATGATCCGACGTGGCGCATTGGATTCTCCGTTCTATTTCATGTGACTGGTCTCTTTTTGTACTCACACTAACAAAATTCGATTATTTCTCTATTCCACCTTAATTTATTAGAGGTCCATCATAAACAAGAAGGATAGAGAAAACATAAAACGAGATTAAACACAACAAACCAAATCTATGATAATTATTATTTTTATTAATTTAAGTGGGTTAAGTAAGTAGGCCTAATATGAGTGGGCCAGTAAAGCCCAGACCATTACGACCAAATGGAGACGGAAGGTTGACCCAATCGTGTCAATATTTTTTTGTTTCTATCGGTCAAAGTCAAAGCGCGTTCACTCAAACCGATCACCGACACTTTCTTTGTCAACTAGCGAATTCTACGGTCGTTCACTAGTCGCTGAAACACTCGATTTATGCCCCAAATAACTCGCAACTAACAAAAAAGCTTACCGTACACAGCTCCACAGAGAACAAAAACTCTCAGTGCACGAAGTGATCCCATGTTCCGCGAAGCAGCTGATTATTGATCTCCATTAGTACACTGCTTCACATGGGAAAAGAAAAGAGGTAGACAAAAGTCACAAAAGAATTAATTGTATGTTTTTTTTTTATCTTATAGTTTTTTCACATATTATATCAGTGTGGAAGTGGTCCCACCACTATTTTGTTTTGTTTTTCCTAAAAATTAAAATTATTTGTTTTTGCTGTACTAATTTTGTGGGTTCTCTCTCCTACCATCACTCTTTCTCTCCCCTAACCTTTTGTACTACCATAACCATTACCATACATACTCTTCTCCATCACGCCACAAACGCAGATTCACACATATTCATCTTCTTCTTCTTCTTCCTCATCGCTTGTTCATCGCCACTGGCTGTTTCTGTTCTAAGGTGTCGCCAGCTGTATTCTAGAGTTACTTTTCTTTGTATTGATTATTAGTGTTGGGACAGGTCAGTTTTCTCTTCTTGTTGTGGGACTGAATAGCTCTTGGATTAAATTTTAGGGCTATTAAGAGGTTTCCAGGGGTCTCCTATGGCGAAAGGTCTTTGATTTATCGATTTTTTGGGATTATGGGCATGTATATTGGCTTAAATGGAACCATGGATCTGTCACTGTGTTCCTTTCTAGATTTCTAGGGAAGAATCGAGATTGATTGAGAAGAGGCCTGAGTGTTTTCCTCTACCTTCCGATCTACAAAAAAGATCAATTGGGTTTTGTTGTATTTCGTATTTGAGTGTAGAAACGCTTGATTTGGGGTAAATTTGTGGAGTAGGTAATCTGTGATGGAAGCTAGAATCGAAGGTGAGGCTCAACATTTATATGGTCTTAGAGCCATGGATCTGAGGTCTGTAGGTAAAAGGAGTGTGGAGTGGGATTTGAATGATTGGAAATGGGATGGTGATCTCTTCGTAGCTACACAATTGAACCCTGGTGGTGGCGAAACGATGGGGCGCCAGTTTTTCCCAATAGGAAACTCGTCAAACAGCTCTTCGTCTTGCTCTGATGAAGGCAATAACACTGAGTTAACGGTCACAAGACCAAGAGAGGTTGAGAAGAAAAGAAGAGCTGTTGCGACAGGGGAAGATAATAATGGTGGTGGTGGTGGTGGTCTTACTTTGAAGCTAGGAGATGATGGTTATGATCTTAATGGTGAAAGAGAAGGGGGCTCTGCGGCGAAGAAGACGAAATTCGGAGGTGGGACAAATCGCGCGGCTTGTCAGGTGGAAAACTGTGAAGCTGATCTTAGCAAAGTTAAGGATTATCATAGACGTCATAAGGTGTGCGAGATGCATTCTAAGGCTACTAGTGCAATTGTTGGAGGAATTATGCAGCGGTTTTGTCAGCAATGTAGTAGGTACGCGTCTTTTGAAGCCTCTAAAACCTGATTAAGTAATCGAAAAAAAATGAACTTTAACTTTTGTTGTTCCATCTTGCAGGTTCCATGTTCTTCAGGAGTTTGATGAAGGAAAGAGAAGTTGTCGTAGACGTTTGGCTGGGCATAATAAACGCAGGAGGAAAACAAATCCCGAACCTGGCGCTAACGGGAATCCTCTGAGTGATGATCATCAATCAAGCAATTTTCTGCTCATTAGTCTCTTGAAGATACTCTCCAATATGCATTGTATGTTATTTGATCTCTCATAAAACATTTTTTTTTTTCTCAAAGTTGGTGTTTTTTTTTTTTGTTTTTTAAATTTTGTGTTCCATTGCAGCCAATCGATCAGACCATCCCGGTGATCAAGATTTGATGTCTCATCTTCTGAAGAGCCTTGTGAGCCATGCTGGTGAACAATTAGGGAAAAATTTGGTTGAACTTCTTCTTCAAGGAGGATCTCAAGCTTCCTTAAATATTGGAAACTCGAATTTGCTTGCAATTGAGCAAGCTCCTCAAGAGGATTTAAAGCAAGCTCCTGAAATTCCTCGGCAAGAATTGTATGCCAATGGGACAGCTACAGAGAACAGATCAGAGAAACAAGTCAAAGTAAATGATTTTGATTTGAATGACATCTATATAGACTCAGATGATGGTACAGATATCGAAAGATCTCCTCCTCCTACAAATCCAGCAACCAGCTCTCTTGATTATCCTTCGTGGATACATCAGTCTAGTCCACCTCAGACAAGTAGGAATTCAGATTCAGCATCTGACCAGTCACCATCAAGTTCCAGCGAAGATGCTCAGGTATATAAGCCTCTCACCTCATCCATCATTGTCTGGATCCATTTGCCCACTGATATTTCACTGTAACCTTATTTTTTTTCCTGACTCCATCTTCAGATGCGCACAGGTCGGATTGTGTTCAAACTTTTTGGGAAAGAGCCAAATGATTTTCCTGTTGTCCTGCGTGGACAGGTACTGTTCTGCTTGAGAACTCATTTTCTTACTTTGCGATATCGGAACTTATATTGATGTGTTGATCTCTCAATATTCAGATTCTTGACTGGTTATCGCATAGTCCAACTGACATGGAGAGCTACATTAGGCCTGGTTGTATCGTATTGACCATCTATCTTCGTCAAGCTGAAACTGCTTGGGAAGATGTAAGCTTACCTTTTAATTTTTTTCCTTCCTCTTTTACATTTCATCTCGTCTTGTTTAGAAGTTCCAGACTCATGAACTTGCATACTCTTTTGATTTTGGTTTGCAGCTTTCTGATGACCTGGGCTTTAGCTTAAGGAAGCTTCTAGATCTCTCAGATGATCCTTTATGGACAACTGGATGGATTTATGTTAGGGTGCAAAACCAACTTGCGTTTGTATTTGACGGTTAGTTTGAAATTACTTTCACCAGTTGAAGATTTCTCTGGAATTAAAAGTACTTAACGTAAATTCGGGGTTGCAGGTCAGGTTGTTGTTGACACTTCCTTACCGCTAAGAAGTCGTGATTATAGCCACATTATGAGTGTTAGACCGCTGGCTGTAGCTACAACAGGAAAGGCTCAATTTACAGTAAAAGGCATCAATCTCCGTCGACCTGGCACAAGGTTCTGTTTCCTTTGAAGTTTTGGCCTTCCGTATTCTTCTTCTTGATTTCTAACAGTCTTTGATCAACCTTTTTTACAGGTTACTTTGTGCTGTAGAAGGAAAATACTTGATTCAGGAAACAAAACATGACTCCACGAAAGAGAATGATGATTGCAATGAGAATAACGAGATTGTTGAGTGTGTCAGTTTTTCTTGTGATTTGCCTATAACAAGCGGTCGAGGATTCATGGAGGTGAGAGAACTTTCTATTTCTGATCTGATCATCAATTCACCGTCTCCTGTTTATTTGTCTGACTCATGCTTGGTTGATGATTATTTCAGATTGAAGACCAAGGACTCAGCAGCAGCTTCTTCCCTTTCATAGTGGTTGAAGAAGATGATGTTTGTTCTGAAATACGTATACTAGAAACCACATTAGAGTTCACTGAAACTGATTCTGCTAAGCAAGCTATGGATTTCATTCATGAAATCGGTTGGCTTCTTCACAGAAGTAAGCTTGGGGAATCAGACCCAAATCCAGACGTTTTTCCGTTAGAACGATTCAAGTGGCTAATCGAGTTTTCAATGGACCGAGAGTGGTGCGCTGTGATCAGAAAACTATTGAACATGTTCTTTGAAGGAGCCGTTGGTGATTCTTCCTCTTCCTCTGATGCTGCGCTATCAGAACTGTGCCTTCTTCACAGGGCCGTTAGGAAAAACTCTAAGCCTATGGTCGAAATGCTCTTGAGATACGTTCCCAAGCAGCAAAGACACAGCTTGTTTAGACCCGATGCTACTGGTCCAGCCGGTTTAACACCTCTTCACATTGCAGCCGGTAAAGATTGTTCAGAAGATGTGTTGGACGCTCTAACAGAAGATCCCGCAATGGTAGTTTTGATAATTCCCTCTTTCCTTCTGCCATGAATTTGATTCTTAGATCAAAAATCTTATCTTTCTGCATCTGATTCAGGTGGGGATTAAAGCGTGGAAAACATCTCGAGACAGCACAGGCTTCACACCAGAAGACTATGCACGCTTACGCGGTCACTTCTCATATATCCACCTGATTCAACGCAAGATCAATAAAAAGTCAACAACTGAAGATCACGTTGTGGTCAACATCCCTGTATCTTTCTCAGACAGAGAGATGAAAGAATCAAAATCAGGTCCAGTGGCTTCAGCCTTGGAGATCACCACACAGACTAACCAGCTTCAATGCAAGCTCTGTGACCATAAACTGGTGTATGGGACAGCACGCCGGTCAGTAGCATACAGACCAGCTATGTTGTCAATGGTGGCGATTGCTGCGGTTTGTGTCTGTGTGGCACTTCTCTTCAAGAGTTGCCCAGAAGTGCTCTATGTGTTTCAACCGTTCAGGTGGGAGTTATTGGACTATGGAACAAGATGAGTGTAAGTCTACTAATAAGAATCTTCTAAGATATAAATGTAAAAGTGTGGTTTCTATATGTAACTATATGAGTATAAGATATAGAGACATGTTTGGTTTAGAAGATTGTTGTCGTTGTGTGTAAAAGCCTTCTCCTCTCTCCGCTGAACCTCAGGATTCTCTCTCTCTCTCTCTCTCTCTCTCTCTCTCTCTGATTAGTATATATTTTTTGTTGACATAATTATAATGTTCTATTTGTAATTTTACAATGGAAATGATGTTGTACCAGTTATTTTTCTTCTTTTGGGTTTAGTGATTCAAAAATAAATACTAATGAAACTTGCATTCTTTAATCACTTGCATTTACGACATCCTCAATGGTTGCTTCGATGCCCATTCCAATACTTTCATGACTTCTTCCTTAGCTAGTACATGAACTGCGATGCAGATCAGAAGCTGTAAAGCTGGAATCCGAATCTCACAACCTCAAGAAGACAGCTCGATCAGTCGCCTTTGCTGCCATTGCCTTCATGTCTACCAGCTCTGGAGTCTTCTCAGAACCAAAACGGCTTAACAGGAGCTGAATCACGTCGTGTTACATATCAGTCTCTATCACGTGTTACTGTTGAAACCGATTTACTGATAATCATTGCAATTCTATTAAGAAATACAAAGCTGAGAGAAAGAAGAGTGAACAGATTCAGACAGAAACATTAACTCATATCAAAAGAGAGTAAAAAACATACATGATAAAAGTTTGATGATTGAGACTGAAAACCACAAACGATTTAAAGAGCTTCAAACCAACGTAAAACGTAGTTAAGAAAACGACAGGACGAGTCTTAAGCCTTGTCTGCCTTGAGGGGCTTAACAACCTCCCAGGTAAAGTCAGGATCTTCCCGACCAAAGTGTCCGTACGCAGCAGTCTTTAAGAACCTGCCATTGCCACCTCTCGTGAGGTCAAGGTTAATTGTCATCATGCCTGGCCTGAAATCGAAATTCTCCTTCACAATCTTGAGAATCTCCTTGTCTGGAATCTTCCCGGTTCCATATGTATCAACAAAAACCGACAACGGCTCGGGGACACCAATGGCGTAAGAGACCTGAACAAGCGCCCTGCGTGCTAGGTCGCTGGCTACAATGCTCTTAGCAGCTTGTCTAGCTATGTAAGCACCGCTTCGATCCACTTTCGATGGGTCTTTACCAGAGAAGGCACCACCACCATGAGCTCCCCAACCGCCGTATGTGTCGATGATGATCTTGCGTCCGGTTAAACCAGCGTCACCGTGTGGGCCACCAATGACAAATCTACCAGATGGGTTAAGGTGAAAGATGGTTTTGTCATCGAGGTACTTGTCAGGAATCACGGGCTTGATCACATGCTCCTTGAGGTCACGAGCGATCTCGTCGTTGGTGACAGTCTCGTCGTGTTGGGTCGAGATAAGAACAGTGTGAACACGGACAGGGACCATAGCACCGTTGTCGTTGTAGTACTCAACGGTGACCTGAGTCTTCCCGTCAGGTCTGACCCACGGGCAAGTCCCGTTCTTCCTAACCTCAGTGAGACGGGCACCGAGCTTTGTGGCCAAAACATGGCTCAGCGGCATCAACTCAGGGGTCTCATCAGTGGCGTAGCCAAACATGTGACCTTGATCACCGGCTCCAATCTCCTCAGGGCGTTTGGTGAAGTGACCATGAACACCCTGAGCAATGTCAGGGCTCTGCTCCTCGATGTTGACCAGTACTTTGCAGTTGTCAGCATCGAGACCCACGTCGGCTGAGACGAATCCGATGGCACGGCAAGTGTCACGGACGATCTTCTCGTAGTCAACTTTAGCCTTGGTGGTGATTTCTCCAAAAACCATGACCATGTTGGTTTTGGTGCAAGTCTCACATGCGACTTTGCTTTCAGGGTCTTGCTCGAGGCAAGCGTCGAGGACTGCATCAGAGACTTGGTCACAGAGTTTGTCTGGGTGTCCCTCGTTCACAGACTCGGATGTGAATAGAAACGACTCCATATCTTACAAGCCTGCAACATTTTAACAAATACATGAGATACTAAATTCAAGAAATATGCAGACATATTTCCGAATTCAGAGCTCAAAAATTAGGCAAAAATTCCGCATAGATTTTCGGAACCCATAAGCAAAACGAAATCCCAACGAGACAACGAATCAAGGGATTGGAAAAACATAAAAATTTGGATTACATTAATGGAGTCTATTCAAAAATGAAACTCGACATCAAGTGGAAAGAAAGAATAATAGAAAAATAAATTCCGACACAGATTAATCAAATTTAAGTGTATCCGTTGAAAACCCAGATCAGTAACTGGAAACCGAAATTAAACCTAGCAAATCTCATGTACTTAAATTAGTAAATATCAAACCTCACATATGCCCTAAACCTAAACCAAACAAAGCGGCAAATGATTGGCAACAGATCTGGATCAAATAGTGAGAGACAGAGAGAGAGATAGTTACTGTGATGAGAAGGAGAGAGAAAGAGATAGATACAGTATAGAGAGAGAGACCTGTGAAGAGGAGCAAATTTGAGGAAGGAGCAGAGAAGAAGCCGACACAGCAAAGCACTGGACGCAACCCTTAACGCCATTGCACGTCTTCCTTTTATAGACTCTTTTTCTCTCTTTACTTTTCTTTTTTTTTTAACCTTTTAAGTCAGTTATTACTGGCTGTATCGGTCGGATATTTTCTAGTGGAATTCCATTTATTCATTTTTACTCTAGAAAAACAGTCGAATACTATAATTTTTTCCGCAAAATTTCATAATCATATACGAACTAATTTTCTATTACTATTCGAATGTATTAACATTCACTATTGTTAATACATTTCATTTTAATTCACTATTGTTTTGTTTTTCATACTTGCCTAATTAACTTTTTTTTTATTTCTAAGACAAGTTTTGTTTCTGAGAAAACTTTAGAATTATAAAAGATGAAGTACAGGAACTCACAGAGGTATTATGAATGAAGAAGCTAATTTGTTTCAACATGTAATTCTTCTTAAAATTATATAAATAGCGGACACACTAATTTTTAGTTGTGATTTTAAGCTCCAATGGAATCAGTAAAGCAGGTTTAATTATTTAGTTTGGTGAATCCACTGGATTTATGCTATGCAAAACCTCAACGGTTTAGATATGCGGTAGTTGGTGATGGAGAATGACAGTTACCAGTTTTTCTCTCTATCCAAATATTTATACACCTATATATATATATATATTGAGTTTCTAATTATATATCCTTTTTCTGTAAAGTGCGAATCTTGCTTTTCTCGAAACTACCGGTTAATCACCAACCCTAGCCGGTAAATTCAGATTGACGTACGACATGGAATGAATGCCATGATGCTATGTTCTTATCAGTTTATCTGATTGGGGCTACTTGTAAGATTTTCCAAATGGATTTTGAGTATATAGAGTTTTCTGGTTTAGAGGTTAATTTAAGGCCAAAGTTTCCTACGAAAACCGTATGTGATGAAGATCTTGAACTACGAAAATAAATTTTAACTTTACTGAATCACCCATTCTTACTGCAGTTTCATCTTCCCTATATATTGATCTCTCCAATCCTTTCATATTTGATCAGGATTGTGTTACCGAAACTGAACCATAAATGTTCATGAATTCGGTAATTACCAGTTTCAAAAATAGCAGATCGCTTAAATTTTTTGTTTCTATTTTAGCTAATTTACATGAACAGGAAGCAGTTCGAGCATTTTGCATTCATAAGCTTGGTGTATAATGTAGTCTGCTTTGTTTGGTGTTATAAGTGAGCAATCCAAATAGTGTTTGTTGTTATAATCCAAACTGATCATAGTTGATAGTGATGTTCATTTAACTAGATTGTATTTCTTATACAAAAGACGTAATGTCTGATTTTAGTTTGATTTTGTTTGTGTGTAGTCTGTACTAATGGGAGAGTATAATAACATGGTTGGTTAGTGGTGGCTAATAAAAGAGCCAAGTAATTAAGTGGCACACTTACTCTATTTAGTGATTCATCTTCTTCTTTGTTTTTTCAGCATGTTTGTGCACTTCTTAACCATCTCTTCATTTTTGTTTTAGTGAATTTCATGTAAAAAAACCAAACAAGAAGGAACAAGAGCGTAAGGTATAAAAATCGAGGTTAAAGTCATGACATGAAGATATACGAGAAGAAGCAAGATGAAATAGATTAGTGAATCAGGTGTTTTAAACACATGTATTGCTTCATGGAAAATCCTAAAAATCTGAAACATAACAGAACGAATTTTTTATCATCAACCAATTGCGAACTTTGGATCAAAATTTTTTGAGAAAAAAACATTTTCTTATATCTTAACCATGATGACATAAACATTTCATGGAATACGAAAAGAACTAAAACTAAAAATTAATCTAAAACCGAGCTCAAAACAAGAAGAGCACCGGCAGAAAATTTTGTTTTATCAAAATTATATCATCATATTCAAAGTGGGTTTTGTAAAACAATTGTGACCTTTTGCTTCCTTTTTTAATAATGCAACAACTTTTATATTTTTTTAAAAAGAAAAAAAATATTAATATTATTATCTCCTTCCATTTTCTTTCCTATAAATGATATATGATTGGCCAAAAAAAAAACCACATTTTAATGGACGTTCGATTCTTGTTAACGGCCGTCAAGTTTGTCAACGGAAATCCTTCACGTGCGACGACCGTTTCCGTTTGCACTAACTGAATTTTGTGGAATTAAGGGCGCCAAATTTTTGAAAAGGCAGATTATGACGCGTGGAATCGTCTCAATCTGACGGTAAAGATATGATGTAAATTAGAAGAATCTCAGGGTCAAAATCGTCTAAATGTTGCTGGTCATCTTCATGCCCGGGTTTGTTATACCATTTTTGCGAAACAAATATCTCTGTTTCCCCGCCTCTCTGTTTCTCCAGAAATTTCTAATTTCTGCTTTTCTCTCAGTTTACTCAGATCGTAGCTCAAATATTTTCCGTTGATCTTCTTCCACAAATCTCGCCCTTCAATCCGGAGCTTTAGGTAAGTCTTTCTTCGTTGTTGATACTGTCGCTCGATTTTCTTGGTTTTTGTTTCGTTTCATGGCTTGTATCGGATACATTGATACTTTGTTTGCGATATTTTCGTCCTTTTCGTCCTTTGTTTTTTCTTGGTTTATGTTTCGTTTGATGGTTTGCGTGAAATTTTGTTGCTAGAGGTTTGGGATCGCCATGACTAGGTTTAGTAACCTCGATGCTGGGCTTTCTCCGTTTTTTTTTCAGTTCCGATTCATGGATTGTTACTATCGAAATCAGAGAAATCTTGCTTGCCTGTTTAGTAGATGTGAAATTGGAAAGGCGTTGGTATGTAATTTGTTGCTAGAGATCTGCGATCTTCGCTATGGTTAGGGCTTGCTAATCTTGAATCATATTTCTAAGAGTTTATTGTGATTTACTATCTGCTTGTAGGCCAAGCATGAAGCCGATCAAGCAAGACCCAGACAATCCAATTGAGCAAGGCAATTTCTCTGAAGCCTTTGCCAATAGCCTGAAGGTTTCATCTAGCAAAACCGAAATTGGTCAAATCGCTACACCTGTGGATGCAAGTAGGAGTCAGATGGAAGAGGATACTGCTGGAGGGTCAAAATCTCAGCTTGGCTCTGCAAAAGAGACAGCATATCCAATTCATAAGTTCTGGGAAACTCAACCTGTTGTGCAGTATAAGGATATTGGAGACACGAGTTTGCCTGAAGGCCCAATTGAGCCGGCGACTCAGTTATCTGAGGTCCGGCAAGTGCCCTACAAACTTCCTACGGGGTTGAAATGGACCACATGCGATTTGAGCGACGATGATATGTTGACAGAGGTGTGGAACTTTCTCAATAACTACCTTTGTGAAGAATATTATAACCGCAGATATATTCTCTCCAAGGAGTATCTAAGGTGGATACTGCTCCCACCTGGTTATAAGCAGAGCTTGCATGTTGGAGTTCGTGCCGATACCCCAAACTCGAAGAATCTCCTTGGCTTAATCGCTGGCGTGCCAACAAAGATCAGGCTTCGTGGTGAGGTTGTTACAATGGCCAAAACCAATCTTCTTTGTGTTCACAAGGATCTCAGGTCTAAAGGAATTACTCCTTTCATGATCAAAGAGGTCACTAGAAGGGCTCAGTTGGCGAATATTTGGCAAGGGGTTTATTGCTCACGGAAAGTGGTTCCTACACCAATCACCACATGCAAAAATTGGCTCAGATTTTTGGACCCCAAGAAGCTAATCGAGATTGGGTTGACAACGTTTGGTCCAAGAATGAATATGAAGAGGATCATCAGACTCTACAGCTTACCAGATGCACCGCTTACTCCTGGATTTAGGCGAATGGAACCACATGATGTCTCTGCTGTTGAAGGGTTGCTCAACGACTACCTTAGACAGTTTAGAGTTGCAGCGCACTTCGATTACTTGGATGTCGCGCACTGGTTTGAAACAAAAGAAGATGTCGTCGAGAGCTACGTAGTAGCAAACCCGGAAACTGGTGATGTCACTGATTTCTGCAGCTTCACCATTTTAAACTACTCTATCCATGGTAACCCGAAACACACAACAATGAAAGCTGCATATTCTTACTACAATGTCGCCACAAAGACCTCGTTTGTCCAGCTGATGAAGGATGCCTTAATCGTCTCTAAGCAGAAGAATTGTGATGTGTTCTTTGCGGCCGATGTGATGCACAATGAGAGTTTTTTTAAAGAATTGAAGTTTCGTGAAGGAGACGCAGAGGGTTCTCACTACTATCTGTACAACTACCGTCTGAGAAGTGCATTGAAACCATCAGAACTTGGGCTTGTTCTCATCTAAGTGGGAGCTTGTGAAAGGAAACTAAACTTTCAAACAATTCCAGCAGTCATTTTCTTGTCTTGCGTTTGATTTAGTTACTGATATTACGGCAAGTCGTCAACGCTTTTATAACGCTTAGTTCAATTGCTTTGAAGTTTCAAGTTTAGGATCTCTGCTGTTAATACGATGAAACTAGTACTCATTTGTAGCGTGCAAGTGTTTGAATTTGACTTTCAAGGTTTAAAGTAGCAGTGACTCCATGTACTATAAGATTGTACATCGCTTGTTATAGATGCTTGCGTCAGGCCTCGGTCTAACGATGGCCAGGCTCGAGAAGACCTAACAGTTGCACTTCTGTTTGTGTGATGTCTTGGATGAGTACAAGTCATGGAGTTACTAAATAAACTCTCTAAGTTCTGTCCAAATCTTGTTTGGTCACGGTTTGCTTGCACAGAGTGTGGAGGAAAAGAATACTCTCCCAGACATTAACGAACCTCCAGAGGTCCTCATAGGTTGAAGAAGAGGATGACCGTCGTTAGTGGCATAAGTGCTTGAGATTCCATAACTGCAAGATTAGTCTCGCGAGTAGATGATCGTATTCTTCAAAGGCGACTGTTCTGCGGAAATGAGCCTCTGTTTAATATTCGGTTGTTTCATGAATCCACTGACCCGTCTGGACTTATGTTAATGGTGAATCACAGTCGTCGGATGCAAACCTCAACGGTATAGATCTGCGGTAGTTGGTGCTAGAGAATGACAGTTACCAGCTTCCTGACTAAAAGCAAGAGCTTGACGGCATGAGTCAGCACATCACCACCAAGAATCCAATGTATATCTTCTTTTAGCCTCAAAGTCAGACCAACCAAACCAAAAGGTCCAAAACCGTATCCTAAACCAAAAATACTGTGCATAAACCGATTTGATTGGTGCCAGCTCAGCAGTCAGCACACAATTATGACTTATTCAAATCAATTTATAGCTCACCGTATCTGATGTTTCTTTTTAGCAAAACCAAAAGATTACGATGATTCACTCGTCAAATAACAAAACAAAAAAAATATTCAAGTTCTTAGGCGTCATTAACAGCAAGATCTAAATTAAGTTATCATTAGAAATTAAAAATAACTACCACTAATCTAAACCAGGGGCTCCTCTTTTGTCATAACATTGTTTGAGAAAGCCAAAGAGACCGGAGATTGTGGAACTAGGAGAAGAGTTTTGCACTTCCTCTCCGCCAAGCACCACGAAGTTGCAATCCACCGCTAGAGCTCTGGCTACTTTTCGAGTTATCATTCTTAGATGCTGGTTCAGGCTCCGGGTTGGAATTCTTAAGGTTTAGAGCTGCAGACATTGATTTCTCGCCCAGACGTGCTCTGTGAAACTTTGAAGTTTTCTTACATTGCTTGCCCGTGTTGTCTAACCCCACTCTAGCTGATGAAGAATCCACGGTTGTTGTCACTTTTGTTTTGCCTTTGTCTGAACGGTATGCATCCTTGTCTTCATCCTTAGGTCTGTCAGAGAATAGCAACTTAACTCCCACGGAGTCACTGCTACTTTCAACCTTCACAGCTTTCCCTTTGTTTTTCTTCAATCCGCAACTCTCTTGCGCCTGAGAACTGCTCCACACAGTGCACCTATTCTCCACTGTATTGTTTCCTCTTCTCAAGCAAGCATTGTGGGTATCAATGAGCTCCTTCTGTCTCTTAGGGTCAGGGCAGAGTCTAGCCATATCAAGAACCAAGTGAGACAAACCATAGCCTTTCACATACTCTAAATATGTTCTTGCATCGATCGAACCATGACGATACTTTCCTGATGTATCCTTAAAGGCCATGAATAACTCTTCATCGTGACCGAGACTGGCACGTATTGTTTCAACCAAACTCTTGTTGGTAGACTGCACATCAGAAACACCTTGTGGTTCTTGGATGTTCGGCACCTTAACAATGGTGGATGATGCCCTGCGATTTTTCACAGCAGAAACTGGAGGAGAACCGGAATGAGAAGGCTGATCTAATGATCTTGTATCAGACATCTTAGAAGTTGAAGATGAGTGATGATTACTCTTTGCATTGCCGGAATTCAGTGAAGAGGATGAACATCCACCAACTGCAGTATGTTCATTGCGAGCATCCTGTGGAGCTGCAGAAGCAAGATTTCTAGTAATTTCAGCCCTGGCATGGTGCCTAGTTTGAGACTGAGATTGAGCAGAAGCACTAAAAGATTGAACACTGCTGGTAATAGATGCTTGCGTTGGGCCTCGGATTAACGCTGGCCAGGCTCGAGAAGATCCAAAAGATGCACTTCTATTTGTCTGATGTCTTGAACTAGTAGTAGTCAAGGTGTTACTAAATAAACTTTCCAAGTTCTGTCCAAATCTTGTTTGGCCACGGTTTGCTTGCTCAGAGAGTGGAGGAAACGAAGATTCTCCCAGACGTGAACCTCCAGAGCTCCATACAGGTTGTAGAAGTGGATGACCGTCGTTAATGGCATAAGATGCTGGAGATTCCAGAACTGCAAGATTAGTCTCGCGACGAGATGATCGTCTTCTTCCACGGCGACTGTTCTGGTGTTGGAAAGCCGCTTGCATCTGAAACAACCGAATTTTAAACATAAGCAAGCAAAAATAAACACGAAAGAGCGATGCTCTGTAGAAGAACATGCCTGTATCGAAGTGCTTTGCTGAGATCGAGACATTCTACCTCCATGATCAACAGAATTATGCCTCTACAAAAAATGCAAGTGGTCTTTAGACATCACTGAGTGTCACCATCGAGCAGAACATAACATATAATGGGAATAAAAAAAAAGGGGGTTTACTTTCAACTCAGCTTCGAATTGGAAAACTATGAACTTTTTAGCAAGGCAAGACTCGTCTTCACATAGAAAATGGTCGCTGCGGAAATGAGCCTGTTGCAAAAACAAGTGAGAAACAATTACAGATAAAAAGAGTTAGAACCCAATGCAGCCAGAATATAATACCATAAAATTACATTCATACCTCCAAATCATCATAGTTTCCATAATATTCATATTGTCCCGGCTTCAGCCTGCAATGCCAGATTGAAGCAAATGCCATCATTTTGAGGACGATCAAAGTTCACAACTTTTAATAAATATATATTTCATTTACCTTTGGCATATATGACAGGTGTAGTGGTCTCTAGACATATGAGTGTAAAGCTCATTGCCACCATAGAATGGAATCTTACAGAACTCACACATGGGATGACCAGTGAAGCCTCCTCTCTCACTCTCACTTCCATCCACTTCCGAGTCACCGCTACTTATATGTTGATTCAGTTGTGCCTTAGTAAATAGCTTTTGCTCACAAATGAATACCTGTCATAACAAAAGCATGAGCTTTTTTCCATGAGATGAGAAATCGTTAGCAGAAATGTTAGGAAAAAGAGGGTAATTTTGGGGTCCTGACCTTACGGCCTACAAGACATAAACTGCACATATGCAATTTGTGCTGATGATTTAAGTGATCCTTCAAGTGTTCAACGCTCTTAAACCGCAAACGATGGTTAGATCCTCCTTTTGTTTGGATCTTTTTCGTCTTGTCACAAGAGGTGCAAGAGAGTCTGCACATTGCCTTAACCCTTGCGTACTGGTTCAAGTCATCAAAGAAAACTTTGGTTTCCTCATGATACCAGAAAGATCCTACTCGACCTTCATTTGGTTCCAACGGGAAGGTTGAGAAATCAGTAATCGTCTTTGTATTATCACCAAAAGCCTGCAGCGGAAAGAGCAGATGGTGTGAATGTAGCCCGAGATTCGAGTAATTTCAAAGCAGATTTGCGAGTTTTAGTTTCAGTTCATCACACTATCTTAGCAAATAAAAGAGTTGAACATTTCAGAGATAGTAAAGGAGAAAAGCCCCAACCTTTGTAACGAAGACGATGGGACATTCGGTTTTGCAGATACAGCACCGACGATCGCCGAATATGAAGCGAAGACGAACGACACATGTAGAACAAACCTCTCGGTGACCACAAGATCCGTAGGCAACCCATCCGAGATTCTCTGCGCAAACGGCGCAACAATCATCCATTTTCTCTACTGTGTTTCCTACGACGCAGCAACGAACCAGAGTAGAGAGTATTACCAAGTGAGAAATGAATGTATGAGGGAAAAGAAAAAGCCAGGCGAGGAATCCCCCGAGAGACGAAAACAAATGATATATATATAGTTTAAGTCAGACATTCTATCAAAACGGGGATGTAGCTCAAATGGTAGAGCGCTCGCTTTGCATGCGAGAGGCACGGGGTTCGATCCCCCGCATCTCCATCTTTTTTGCTATTTATATATCTTTTGGTATTCTAATTACAGGCCCATGCCCAATCTGCTCAAACGTAAGCCCATTTATTTGTGGTAAATCGTCAAAAAGGGGTAACTACGTAATTTTGCATAAGCGGAAGTCCAAAACCCTAGCCTCTACCTCAGCATATAGAAGAAGCACATAACTTTTCATCTGCCGTTGGCTAGCCAGAAGCAAAAATGCAGATCTTCGTGAAAACCCTAACGGGGAAGACAATCACCCTCGAGGTCGAGTCCTCCGATACGATCGACAATGTCAAGGCCAAGATCCAGGACAAGGAAGGAATCCCTCCGGACCAGCAGCGATTGATCTTCGCCGGGAAGCAGCTCGAGGACGGACGCACCCTCGCCGACTACAACATCCAGAAGGAATCGACGCTTCACCTCGTCCTCCGTCTCCGTGGTGGCGCGAAGAAGAGGAAGAAGAAGACCTACACCAAGCCTAAGAAGATCAAGCACAAGCACAGGAAGGTCAAGCTCGCCGTTCTCCAGTTCTACAAGGTCGATGGCTCCGGCAAGGTCCAGCGTCTGAGGAAGGAGTGCCCTAACGCGACATGTGGTGCTGGAACCTTCATGGCTAGCCATTTCGATCGTCACTACTGTGGTAAGTGCGGTCTCACTTACGTCTACCAGAAAGAAGGAGGCGAAGAGTGATCTCGCTTTATCCTAACATCTCCATCTTGGATTACTGCTTTTCTTAATTTTTGGGAATTTTCGAAGTGTTTTTGCTGTTATGGATCTTATTATGTTGAACATCTATGGTTCTGGATTTCGTATCTAGAACCCGAATTTCTAGGTTTATTTTATGGATATTATGCCCTCGTTGTGTTCTTCGTTAATGCTTGTTCAGTCTATTATGCTAATTCATTACTCATATCACCATTTCTTCGAAATTACCTCATCATCTGTTCTAAACTTATTGATATTTGTATATCACACAATCAACGAGAGATTACAATGTTTGGCTATACATAAATTAGGTTATAACAAAAGCATTTGGGAATAGATAAGGAAAGAATGTGTTCTTGGCTTTTACAATTGCAGCATAAGCTCCATAGCAGGGGATGTGAGCAATTGCCATGCATAAGTACCTGAGAAAGCAATGTTTCTGAATCTAGAGAGCTCTACAATAGTTTATGAAATTAATTCCGTAGTGATGTGATGAATATACGCAGTTGCATACCATAGTGGAGCCCATGGCCTATCAAGCTCGAGGAATGGATATGGCCACCTAAGTAGATACTAGATGGGTTACCATATAACTTCATACTTGCTGTGATATGTTGTGGTTAAGGATCAATGGAGATGATTAGCGCTTACCAAGCGAAGCCACATGCGTGGATGATCCATTGGAAGACGATATAGAGACAACTCCATATCACAAAGTATCCCATTCGAAACCAAGGGAACGGCTGAAACAAAGAAGCATATGTTATAGGCTCGCACTTAAGATTTCTTTTCTTGTTAATGTCAAATTGCTTACAAGGCGATTGAGTACTGTGTCGATTAGGAGGAAGCCTGCATTCGCCGTGTGCATGCAAATCATCAACTGCTCGAGCATAAAGCCCATGAAGTCAAGTTGATTCTTTTGTTAGAAAACAGAGAGATTTAGCTAAATGTTAATTAGTACCATGTTTAAGCCAAGGTGAGAATTCGATTGGAAGGGAACTATAAGTAGCCAAAACACAACGTCCGTGAGCACCACAGCCCCTGCACTTGTCTGCAACACAAACCCAGAATTAGTGTATGTGTGTATAAAGCAAGGTCTTGAATCTCTGTGCTGACACTGACCTGAAAAATTGTCTGCATGAAACAACCATAAACCCCTAATCTTTGCCTGAATTCATCTTCGACATTGTCTACAACCGCATTTTCCAGAGTTGGTTCTTTGGAACATTCCAAGCAACCATATACCGAAGCTAAAATCCCAACCTAGAGAAACACTCGATGAACATAAAGGAAACCTCGATTTATATTCGAAAAGCGTTAAAAGCTGCTACGACGTTACCGCAAAGTAGATCATCACAAGCATGAAGGTCCATCTGTTACAAAAAAAAACAAGTCAAAGGACGAAAAGTTGGGTCGGATTATAATCAAAATTTCGGATTGCAAAAGTAGAAAGTTCACTCTGTGTAATAGACGAAGATGCTTGCGTCCCACTTAATGAGGTCCCAAGCCAATAGAGCAGTCATGGAGAGAAACGAGATGGAACGAGTGAAAAGGATCCAGCCAGGATGTAACCTTCTCCAGCAGCTGGCCCATAACCGAACCGAACCAAGGCTCTCTGACTCTGATCTTGACATGAGTAACAAGCTATTCTGCGCCACCATAACGCCAACGTCTATGCAGCCTCTTTCTCTGCGCAATAGAAACCACAAGGACGCAACGATTGCAGCCAAGACTATACCAAAGCAGATGAAATCGTACCAGTAGACGATCAATGCCATAATTTTACTGCTGATCAGATGAATCAATGAGAAGGGGGTTTTGGAAACTGAGAGGTTTTGATTTGAAGTACATAGTTGATTTTATTCGGCAGTTGGGTTGTTTCCGACGTGAGACGACCAGCAGTTTTGACCGTTTGGTAATCGTCTAAATGGACAGGTAAAATATTACAGATGATAACTCGTATAAACAAAATAACATGTTTATTCGATTATTAACGTAAATGGATTTCAGTAAAATGTACTCATATATATAGACGAATGTTCCATTCTACTATAATTTTATTTATCTAGTGTGATAACTATTTGCACCCAGCACCCTAGACAGTAAAACAAATTGACATCCCAAAATTCCATGTTTTTGAACTAACCGTGTTTGTGTCATTGTAACAAAGTTAACTCCAAATGACTAAATGTAGGAAGAAAAAAATGAAAAAACAAAATTGCATGAGATTTTGTGTTATAAGCACAACACAAGTCCACATGGACCGCATCTGCAAATTCAAGGGTTTCTAAATAAATGATGCTTGATGAGATCATAACCAGAGTTAATGGACATTGACTTGGTTAAAGACTGAATGGGGATATGGCATGTATCATGTGTTCTCCTATATTAATGGGATTGTTTTCCACTTACTAACGTAAAGTTAATTTCTTTACATATCTGTAGAGTATATTATTTAAGTAACGATGAATGGGATCGGAGAAGAGAAAATTCTAGTAAAACTCTTCGGAACCTAACAATGTTATCCTTATTTTATTCAAATTTACCACCGTAACACGTAAGTGCTTACGTATAAACGATCATTACATGGTTTAAGAATACGATAGGTAACTGATAACGGAAGATTTTTGATTTTTTAAAAACTTTTATTTGTTGATATCAAACGATTGGGGAATTACGAGTGAAATGCTAATAAGTTACATGGAATATCTTTGATCGATATCTTTCACATCGGCTTAACGACGCTGTAACCACCGTCGACGGCGAGATTCTGACCGCTAACGTAAACGGAGTCATCGGAAGCCAAAAACAGAGCCGCTTGAGCCACGTGGCGAGCCTTGAGCACCACACCTTTCAGAATCCCAGTAGAGGCGCAATATCCCTCCACCATCCTCACCGTTTCCTCGTCACGGCTGTTGATCCCCGTCGCCACCGCGTACGGTGCAACGCCGTTGACTCGAATCCCGTGCTTCCCCAGCCCTCCACAAGCCGACCTAACCAGCCCGAGAAGTGCGTGCTTCGACGCCGTGTACGCGTGAGGTCCCGGACCACCGATCTCCGCCGCAACGCTCGTCGTACAGACTATGGACCCACGCGTGCCCTTCTCCACCATCGCACGCGCCGCGTGTTTGATAAACGCCGCCGCACCACGAACGTTGACCGCCACTGTTCGGTCAAACTGTTCGAGATCCAAGTCGAGGATGCTACAGGGCTGTTCCATGACTCCGGCGTTACTAAACAGAACGTCAAGCGTTCCGTGTTTTTCGACGGTGAACTTAACGGCGTTTTCCACTTCCGTCTCGTTTGTAACATCGCAGCGGTAAAACACTGCTTTGTCTAACCCGATTGAAACGGCGACGTTTTGACCAAGCTCTTCTTGTAAGTCAACGATGACCACCTTTGCTCCGTGCTCCGTGAACAGCCTCGCTGCTTCGGCTCCGATCCCACTCGCTCCACCTGTTACAATTGCGATCTTGCCTTCCAATCTGTTGTATATATATATTCCCATTTTCTTTAACGTTATTTATCTACTTCAATTTGTAACAAGGGTTATTAAAATGTATATATATATATTAATGTTTTGGCACTTACCTGAGTCCTGACATTGTTGATGGGTTTCAAAGGAGATACAAAAGAAACAAACTGTCGAGTGTCGATCAGCTGAGTGTTAGTATATATATATATATACTTGATGTTTTTATATATTAACTCGTTTTGAAATATAACTACCCCCTTTAGAACCATATTACTTAATAATACTCCTTCTCTTTAATGAAATTTTCACCTATATTGACAAAATATTTATTGCTTTTAATTTTTGTCATTTCTTTCATGTTTATTATATGTATCCGTCATTTTTCTATGCTAAACACTTTCTCTTAAAATCGTAACTATAAATCAGTATTACTTAATTTTCTACTCCCTCTGTTTCATAATTAGTGTCATTCTGACGCATTTCACACAGATTAAGAAATTAATAAAATATACAAATATACCCCTAATTAATATACTTTTATAACATTTAATTACAAAAACTATTACCTTTAAATAAGAGATAAAACAGGAAATAAGAGTAAAAAGTTACATTGAAAATGCAGAATAACACTCTTTTTGAAACAAAAAATGAAATCTAAAATGACACTTATTATGAAACGGAGTGAGTACTATATATAAGCTCGGAATTTTAAAAGCACTAATTAAATTATTATTTTTTTGGGTAGTGAAGAAAAGTTTCACGATAGGTACTCGACGACCAAATTTCGGTCAGAATTCAACGACTTGCACAACAAGGTTTTGCCAGCTTAAAAAAAAAAAAACTAAATAAAGACCCAACGGCATCACTGTCTTAAGAGTAAAATCATCATATATGATAGTCGGCACATTAGACTCTTAAACGCAATTAGAAAAAGGTTAATATAAAAGTCAAAAGGAGAACCACAAAGGCGGGTAGATAAAGAGCAGTTTTCTTTTGATATTCGTCTATCATCATATCAACAAAATAAAAACAAATCATTCTTCTTTGGGCTATATTATGTACGATTAAAAAAGCAATTTGAATTAGTCCAGACGTTGCAGTCAAGGACACTCATAATCAACTTGTTTGTCTATAGTAACATTCTTCAGCTCCTGCATAGGCTTTTTGGCTCTCCATGGTGAAATGTATGTATTACTTATGGTTATATCATATTGTCATGTTTACGAGAAAAGTGGCTATCTTCGGTTTGAATTGAAACAGATTGTTCAAACTTGATGAAAATGATCGAGAATTTAGTGAAATTAGTTGCAACTGTCCATTTCCTACCTATTATCTGGTAGATCTTTTAGATGTTGGACAAAGTTTTGGTATATCGGTTGGTTAAATTCAGGAATTAAATATTTTGTATTTCTAATACAGTACTGACTACTGAGCATGTGGACGAGATATGAGGGTCACATAATCCTAAATTATTGCCCCTCCGTCATCAATTTCAATTTAATGGATACTGAAATAGGGTCCATATAAGTCATTTCATAAATTATTTTACTGAAATAGGGTCCATATAAGTCATTTCATAAATTATTTAAATTTCATCTTTAATAATGTTTACTGAATTTGTTTAACTAAAATATATAACACAAGTAACCCTTACATGTAAAAGAGCAAATAGGCCACCTAAAAAAGAGCATTAAAAGCCGAATAGAAAGGCCCATTATCCCATATTATTTGATTAAACAAGTTTGTAATAGTTATAGTTTGTTTATTATCCTCGAGATGTGCAATGGGTTGGATAATGGATCCATATATAAAAATGCAACATCCCACATTCCCACGTTTCAAGGAAAATTCCAATGTCTCTAAGTCAACTTTTGACCCACTAAATTTGTTATACAATAATCATCATCATGGGATCTTTGTGGCCCAGTTGTAGCTACGGCTTAACCACCGTGTAACCGCCGTCAACGGCCAGGTTCTGTCCGCTAACGTAAGCCGACTCATCCGACGCTAAAAACAGAGCGGCTTCTGCCACGTGGCGAGCTTTCAACACAATGCCCTTTAGATTCGCCGACGCTGACGTGTTCTCCTCCACCACGTTTGGCTCCATCTTGAAACCGTTGCAAACTAACGGTGTGGCAACCCCAAACGGCGCAACGCCGTTTACTCGTATCCCGTATTTTCCCAATCCACCTGAAGCCGATTTGATCAAACCCAATAGCCCATGCTTCGACGCCGTGTATCTGTTATATATATTTCACATTAAATATGTATATATTTTCAAGCGACAAAAATGAATAGAAAAATAATTTCGTTACATTATAGTATGACTATTTTTGCGATCACCATCAACTAAGAAAATGTTAATTGTTAATTGTTTGCGAATTTCGATTTTACCCGTGTGGTGCTGTCCCGGAGATCTCAGCTGCAACGCTGGTGGTGCAAACGATGGAGCCGCGCGTGCCTTTCTCCACCATGGCACGTGCCGCATGTTTGATGAATGTGGCTGCGCCACGGAGGTTAACGGCGAATGTTCGGTCTAACACGTCGAGATTTAAGTCTAAGATGCTCACAAACGGCTCTATAACGCCGGCGTTACTAAACAGAACGTCAATCTTTCCGTGTTTTTCTACGGTGAACTTAACGGCGTTTTCTACTTCCGTCTCGTTTGTGACATCGCAATGATAGTAACTTGCCTTGTCTTCTCCGATCGAAACGGCAACGTTTTGACCGAGCTCGTCTTGTACGTCAACGATAACGACTCGAGCGCCGTGTTCAGTAAACAACCTGACGGCCTCAGCCCCAATGCCGCTTGCTCCGCCCGTTATGATTACGATTTTGCCCTCCAATCTGCAAAGAGTACAAAACATTACATATATATATATATATATATTATATATGTAAATATTTGGAACAGAAATGGTATGATAGATGCGGAAATTGCCTGCGTCCAGACATTGTTGAGCCTGTTCTTGATGGATTTAGCTTACGAGAACTGTGTCCGGATATTTATATTTTCATGTGTATATATAATATTTATATATGTAAGAAAGTCAACTCTATCGTGCCATGTGGGTTTCACCTTTTTTTGTTTGTTTTAATGGCTCAAGAATTGTTTTGACCATCTGAAACTCTGAATCATGCACCGTAATAAAACACTTGCTCTTTTTTTAAAAAAAAATAACGTACCTTTTTGGTTAAAATTCTTTTCTTTTTTTTTTTAGTTAAATCATATTTTGCTTAAATAGACGTATTTAGCTCTAGCAAGTCGCAATTGTATTACATAATTGGCTGTCTTGCCCGATTGAAACGGCGACGTTTTGACCAAGCTCTGCTTGTAAGTCAACGATGACCACCTAAGCTCCGTGAACTGCCTAGCGGCTTCGTTTCCAAACCCACTGGCTCCACCTGCTATGATTACGACGATCTTGCCATCCAATCTGCTATATGAACATTCGCGTAAATAGATCAATCAGCATAAGTGTGCGCGTCTTCTTTTGCGACCTTTTTTGGTTTATTATTAGTAAATTTGATTAAAATATTAAAGATTATGATCCCATGTTTGTGAGTGTTGATTTAAAAACGTATATATCAATATTTAACATAGGAAAAAATAATCTGCATAAATGAAACAACTGGGATTTATATATAACTCATTAATTGCAAGAAGTGGACACACAAAGCTATTGAAAACAGCACACATGAAGATCTCTCAGACAAGATAAAGAAAATGATATTGAGATATTGATAAATGGATGATGGACGCAATGAGATTTTGATAGTTGGTCTAATGGGCCTAATTGGCAATCGTGGCCATCAAGTCCTAACCTGATGATAAGAGCCCACTATGATAGCTAAGTTGGTTTCTTTGCTCGAAGAGCCATGGCACACGATGAATTGTTGTGTGGTTGAAACTTTAAAGAAACATAATTTGACTAGCAGAATAAAGTTAAAAGTATTTGTGTTTTTCTCTAATCTTGTCATGAAACTTCATTTGTTTCCTTAACTAAAAGAGTGACTGACTGACTGGTTGGACATGGAACTGTAATCGCATGTTTTGACATTAAATTTTTGACTGCAGAAAATCTGCAGAATTTTTTTGACTACAGCCTTAATGGACGTTGTTTTGTAAAAAGAGTCAAAGCCATATTATTATTGGCTTTAGAAAAACTAACGTAGCAAAAATAATGAAGACGTTGAAGGCTGTAACTGTGATTGGCTAATAGCCTAATAGTAAAATATCAATTATTTTTAGAAAATAAGAACAAATAAAAATGCAATCCCTCAGCCCCTATAAATTAGGATTTAGCGGGTTTTATAGTATCTTCAGGGGGCAAAAATAGAATACATAATAGAATGACCAAATACTGTATGTGTATCCTGAGCTAGTACTAACTTGAATACGATCTCGACTAACATGTTTTAATGTACACGGTATAGTTCGTAGATTTACAGATCAGTGGATAATAAGAGTGGTTTTTGGTCAAGCTACATTAGGATTGACACGTGGAAAAGGGTCAACGAGTATGTCTAATCTACTACCCCTCAATAGTGAAGTTGAAGAATGTGGGCTTTGCTTTTAAGGTGAGGAAGAGAGGAATGAATGCGAAAGAGTTCTGTTTTGGTCTAAGACAATAAATTAAAGAGTCGCAAAAAAAATAAAAATAAAACAAAGATCCTGATTTTAGACGGTGACCTATGCATAAGGCAACTTATCATTTTCATTATTGCAGACAGCAAGAATATCAATGATACACAAAATACATTTCACTATCGATCGAGTCAATAGTGCGAAAAACCAAAAGCAAGAGTTCCCTTTGCTAGCTCTTCTTTTTGTTGGCCAGTCACGTTTTGTTGATAAGTTTTGTTTTGGTAATAATTTAATACTAAAACATGCGTTAGGTGAACATTATAGTGAGCTAATATGCGTAATATTTAGTGTTTGTCTCAGTTTATTGATACTTAAAACATGCGTCTTTTCTGTTTCAATTCCTTTCTAGCTGCTGCAATATTTATTTCTACATAAGTTTTTTGTTCTAAATAAATTTACTCGGTAAAAAAAATGAGATATGCGTAAAATCTATTTGGTTATGTTGTCTAATCTATAACTCGCACGCGTACATGCTGGATTCAAACTTGGATTATATCTTTAAAATAGATCACATCTATTTGAGAATTATATTTGGAACTCACTCAGCAATCGTTCTGTCTTTATGGGTATCACATATTCACATGTTTATACGCCATAATTTATTATCTGATCTCAAAGCTGTGATATAGCTCTAGCAACAACAAAAAAAAGCGCAAATCTACATTAGATAAATCACTTGGTTAAGTTAAAACTCCGGGACCAAATAGTACAAACTTGATTGTACTAAAACAAAATCGATTGTTATGTGTTGAGATTACACCAAAGGAATGTGTGATTATCATTATACCAGCAAAAGAACCAAAATTTAACAATATTTATTAGAATAATTGTATGTTAAATTATCACCTTACCAGCAAATCGTATAAGATATATCATCATATGAATTCCTTTTCGACATCATCATAGGATTACAACAGCAAAATATATCATAATTTTGTTCTATATAAAAGTGGCTTTCTTTACCCAACAAGGTCGGTCTAAATTTTTTCGTGGCCTCTCATACATAATATTGCTACTCAAGTGCGATACTAATTTTCACTTTTTGGAGGATGATTAGAGACCATTCCTTTTCCTCTTACCCTCATAAATAATGACTAAATCCAAAATCAAAAGGCTTAAAAACTATTGCTGCATCACTTTTCCTTATTGACATCGAACATTCATGTTCTTCGACTTTTGTCTTCGTCTGGTTCCAATGTGGTATAGAAGTTGACCCTTGTATTGTTTTATATATTAGTACCAAAGTGCTTCTTCGAACGACATGACTTAACTTTAACCAGATAGCCACTCCCTTCATGCTTTTGCTTCTACATTGTAATAATTCAGGCTTTAATTTCCTTTTCCATTTGTTTCCCACTCTTGTTCTTACGTGCCTTTTGTTCACGTATTAATCAAAGGATCGTATGTACGTAAGTGTAACATCATAATGTATTTGATTTATGGACTGTTGATTTGCATGTGTAAATAGATCATGCGCACATAATTCTTAACTTTGTCGAGCCTGTTTTTTTATAAGAATTTTGTAATGCAAATACGTGTTGGCATCAGTTTGTCTAAGTGCATTTCCCCTAATTATTTTGTTTTGTTGAAATTTTATATTTATTGATCAACAAAACAACGTTTATGTACAATGCCCAATTAATTTTCAAATATAAAAAATACAAGACTCTATTACTGTTATCATATTTCTAGTTTGAAAATAACACAATCAGAATCAGTACATGGAGGAATATATATTATTCATTAAGATATTTTTTTTTAATGTTAATATATTAGTAGCTTGTTTTCGTTTGGAAATAGAGCTATTTAAAGATTGCTTACCGTTAACATTTAAGCCTTTTTACATATTTGCCCCTTATCATTACATGTACGTATTACGAAATAAGGAAGAGATTTTACATGACTCGAGGTCAAACACCAGAGCAGAGTGGAGGGGCATAAAACACAAAACACATAGAGTAAAGAGAGATTCAAGAAGGTTTTTCTTTTTTCTTTTTCTTTTGTCTTAAGAGCTAAGATCAAATTAATTAACTAATTAAACATTCAGCCTCATTGGGTACTGTTTTATTGAGCTTACTGAGTATATAATCTCAGTTCGACGACGACTGGTTCAAGGGACTCCTCCCACAACTCGCCGGCTTCGGACTGTTTCCGACTATACGAGGACTCATCTGACCCAACCTGAGTTCACCCACTCGTGGACTAAACACCTGAGACAAACTCCGATTATTGACCGGAGTCGAACTCGAACTCGTGACCTTAGGACTACTCGTGTGTCTGAACTCTCCTCTGCTTCGTGTAATAACCTCATCAAGAATCTCTGAGTCTCCTGGATACGAAGTTGTGGATCCAATCTCCGTCTCCTGTTGAAAATTAAGTTGGAAAAAAAAAGAAAAGAAGAAGCTTTAATAAACAAAAGTAAAGAAAGAAATAAATAAAAAACAGAATAAATGGATTTGTAATTGGGTTTTTGGTTACCGCTGCGAGATTGAAAGGTAAAGCCGGGGCTTCTTCATACTCTGCTGCGTCTAAGTCTTGAAGATGAGCTCCTTTAAAGAATCTAGGGAGTATGTATTGTCGTACGGGAATTAAGAACATGATCATTAAAGGGAACATGACTCCTGCGATTGGGATCCATGTGAGGCCAAAGCATATTAAGAGATAAATCGTTTGGAAAATGGTGAACATTGCAATTGTCTTGAATGGAACGGTTTCCACGAACGTCGCGTGGTAATCTTCAAGAACCCTGCAAATACAAATTTAGCAGAATTGAGCAAAGGGGAGGCTTTTTTTGAAAGTTGAATGAGATAGAAAGATTGGAACTTTAATTACTTGAAGCGACGGCTTGGGGCTGTGAAGAGAAGTAGGATTCTTTCCCAGAATTGGTTTCCAGGTAAGCTTTCTATGGCCATGAATGCGAAATATCCCCAAAGGACTGATGTTGGGATCATTTTAAGGATAGGCATAGCTGCAACGCATCCTCCTACCATTGTAGACTGAAGGAAGTTGCTCAACCGTTGTTCTTTGACTTCGACTGGTAACAAGTCATCAATTTCTTTCTCTATATCGAACAGGGTTTCATCAACTGGAGCATTGAGGTTTCCGGTGAATGTCGTTGCTTGGATTGTCGATTCTTTCAGTTCTTTTAAACCCTGCAAGTGGAAAGAAACTCTTCTTAGCTCCGTGTTCTCTCGGAAATAAAACCTAAATTTCATGAGAGATATTCGTACTTGAGGTTGCTGGTATACTAGTGGTGTCTGCATATGATGATAAGCTTCTTGCATATTGTTATAGAGTTGTCCCAAACTAGCATTCGTTTTGATGCTTCTTCGTGCTGTTGCCACCAATCT